TTTTGTGTAAAAGTAATGATGTGATGTAAAGTAAGGGTATTTGTGAAAAAAATGTAAGGTATTTAATGCAATGTTAACTTTGTAATTGGATGTTCTAAAATAAAAATATGTAAACATTGTAAGTGAACGGAGGAGGGAGTATTATTTAAGGATTTTTAAAAAAAAAAAAGTTCAAGCTTGTTTAGTGAATAACTTTTTTATTTTACAAATTTATCAATATCTTTTAAATTTTACCAAACTATAAAATGTTGACACATTAGTTGAGAAAAATCACATAAATCAAGAAGAATAAAATAGTTGGCATATTAATATTGGCTTTTGAATGTAATAATGGGGAAATTAGTGAGTTTTGGTTGTTGAAACTGTAAATAATTATTAAATTGATGGAATGGAGGATTGTCACACTGCCTAAATGACCCATAAAAATTAGTGGGGTGGGTATAAGTTTCTAGTTGAAGTAACCAAACTTGTTTTTACTTATGAAACTTATTTTTATTTTGGAACTTTCACTAAAATGAGGCCATAAAAGATTTTAGAAGTTACATAAATAAATAAATAGATTTATCCACTAAGGTGTTGGGAGTCGTCAATATTTAGTTTGTAGTGGTTATCGAAAAGATTGCTTCAAAAATTGATACCCCCATGCCACATGGCTTAGCCCCACTTAAAATAGACTTCAAACCACATTAAAATAAGTTAAAATTCTGCCCTTTGAAGTGCCGGCTGCGGATTTCTGTTGTCAAAAATAAAAAATAAAAAAATATGTGAGTCGAATCTTGTCTATCACACAGTATTTGCTTAGTGTAATATTTAGTTTACAAGTTGTGTTAGGTTCAGCTAAAGATTTACTCAAAATATTTTTGAAAAATAGTAGATACGAATTTCTACATAATTAAAAAAAAAAAAAAAAAAAACTATTACGTTGTTTTCAAATAATTTGATAGTATGAGAGGGAATTCGTGCTTTTAGTTACATTAAACCAAATATTTATGTTCATTCAATTTGCTATTACTTTTAAAATAATATTTCTTATCTTTCATATCTATATATTTATTTGTTTTTTTTCATAGGATTTTAAAAATATTAGTATTATATTAGTATAAAATATAAATAAAGATAAAAAGACTAAATTAACCCTACTAGTATTGTATGATATAAAGGTAACGACATTTGAATTAAATAACATAGCTGGTTGATTGAATCTTTCAATATATATATATAAAAGGATAACTTTGTAGGCATTTTATAAAAAAATTGTGGTGCAGGTAGAATTCTGTTTATGATAAGAAAGCAACCATTATCTAGTTGAATATTGCTTGTTCAAAATTGGAAGTTTGGTTGTGCATATATTTTCATTATTTCTTTACAATAATATATATTGTTTCTTTTTTGTTTCACTGAAAAAAAAATCACATTATATATACAAAACCATTGATTTAAGTATTTTATTTAAACAGTATTTTAATGATACTCTTTTCGTACTATTTACTATGCCATTTTTTTTTTCTATCGGTTCTATTTATTTTGTATTTTTTTTTAAAAAAAAATAGATATTTTAAACTTATTTTAAATTTTTTAATTTAATTAAATTAATTAATTATCTTAATTTATAATTATTTTTATTAATATATTTTTAATTATTTACTAATTGTACGATTGTAACCTAAAAATTTTATTTATGCCGTTGACGTGAATGTACGAAGATGCTAGCTGTATTGCTATGGCCATTCAATTTATATCGTCCCTCTGTTCACATTAATTATATTATAATTATTTCAATATTTTATTATGGCGGCTATAGTGTTAATAAAAAAATGATATTCTTTGATTCTAGTTTATCTCTTCAATTACCTCTTACTTTATAGGCGAGTCGAAAACCTTATGAGGAGAGGAGATTACCGCCTCGAAAAGCACTGTTGGTGAGATTACTACATAAAATAGAGAGTATGCGTTAATATAACAGTTAATTTTAATGTGTGACGTATTCTTATAAATACATAGAGTAATATAAATAAATAACACATACTTTTATCATAAACAAAACAGATGCGTAATAAAAATATATTCTCTCCGTCCTAGATACTGTGTCTGCTACACGATATTTTAGGAGGGGTATAATTAGTAGATAATTAAAAATGTGTTAGTAAAAATAATTATTCTATAATATAAATAATTATAAATTAAGATTAAAATAACTAATTAGTTTAATTAAAATGAAAAATAAAATTAAAAAGTTTTAAATGAGATTAAAATGTATAATCATTTTTTTTAAAAAAGAAAGTGACATGGTATGTGAGACGGACAGAAACGGCAACGTGAACATGGTATCTGGGACAATCCCAGATGAAGTATATTTCATTCGTCTCACTTAATTTTTCAATTATTTTTATTTTCTTCTGTCCCACGTAATTTGTTCTTTTTTTTTGAAAATACAATTATACATTTTAATCATATTTAAAAATTTATATTTTTTAAATTTTAATTAAACTATTTAGTTATTTTAATTTTAATCTAAAATAATTTTTATTAGTTATTTTAATCCGACATGGAATGCCATATCTGACACTTCATATTCTTCTTCACGTTTCATTTGATTTAATTTTATTTTAAAATTAGATACATACGATCTCTTTCGTGAGAAAAATCTCTGTTAAGCACAAAAAATAATAATAATAGTAAGTGGCAGTAGGATTCTGGGTAGGGTCTGAATGAAAGCCAAAAGGTCTGGAGGTCGGGCAGAATAAAGGTCGGGAAAAGGAAGAAAGGTCGGGCGGAGTCTAAAAAAAAAGGTGTACCCAAGTCGGGTAAACCGTAGATCGGATGGAAGGCGAAGTCGGGCAGACGCGGAGGTCTGTCAAGAGGAAGGTCGGGCAGACGCGGAGGTCTGTCAAGAGGAAGGTCGGGCAAGGAAGAGGTACGGACAGACGCGGAGGTCTTCGGTCAAAGACGGAGGGCGGCTGATGCGGAGGTCGGCCAAGTGTCAAAGACGGAGGGCGGCTGATGCGGAGGTCGGCCAAGTGAGGTCGGGCGAAGAAGCAGGTCGGGCGAAGGACGAAGTCGGGCAAAAGAAATTTGGCAGTGGACAGGCAGGTCGGGTAAGAGGCAGGTCTGAGTTCTGTGACTGGTGGGAACGGTTGAAGGAAGTTGTAATACGTGTCAATAGAGGAGAAATTGGTGGTCGGTTGACAGCGGTTGCTGTAACCGACCAGACGGCGGTTCAAACCGTTTTCTTCAAAGGTTATTTAAGGATTCAGATTTATTCTGAAAAGGCATCTTCAATCAACTTCAACAAAGCAAAGTCAGATTTGGGGATCACCACTTTAAATTTCAGTCTTTTATTTTCCAGTTTATTTTCTGTACCATACAGTGTTTAGAGATTCATAATCTCAAGCACTAATTAATCAAGTTTAAGGATATTTTCTATATCTTTGAATTTTACTTTATTTTTGTTGAAAAATTACATCAACAATCTCAAAATGCATGTGCACTACAAAAATTATTATATACACATTTTAGCTATATTGTATAAAATGTATCTACAACATTCTACAAGATTCTCTACAATACTTTTGATTTTATTTTACTACTATCATCAATAACGCTTTAGACTTCAAAAAGCTTTTAAAACTCTTGTCTAACAAAGTTCAAGGTTAATATATTTTTATTTTGAGTAAATTATTTAATTTAAAATATATATTTTATAAATATAAATCAATCTAATTAACTATGTCATATATAATTAGTTATATCTAGTTCTCTTTAATAAATGTGTTTTTATCTTTATTTAAAATTTTTTATATTTTTTTGATAAAATTAATTTATATTAATTATAAATAAATAAATAATTTTATTTAATAATATTATACTCCCTCCGTCCCGCAATAAGGATTGCGTTTGTTTTTTGCACGTAGATTTTTGAATATTAGTATTATATTGGATTGTAGTTAAAAAGACAAAAATATCCCTATTAGTATGGTGTAATATAAAAGTAATGAGATTTGTGTAATATATTGTAAGTTGAAAGAATATTTATTACGTGAAGTAAGTAGTAAAATTACTAAATTAAGAAATGGTAACCTTGTTTTGGGACGGATAAAAATGAAAAATAGTAATATTTCAATGGGACGGAGGAAATATAACATTTTATTTTCTAAATTTTTTTATCTATATTATATATTTTTTGAGATATAACTTTTAAAATATTTAATTATATATATATTTAAAAAATATTATAATATATATTAATTTTTGTTTTTAATCTATCGTCGCTACTATTCATATAATAATAATAAAATAATATTTGACTCATTGTAGGTGATGTGGGATTGAATTTTTTACTGTGACTATAACTGAGAGGTTATAGGTTTTAAACTTATATGTCCAAGGTCACCTGTCATACATAGTTCGTCTAACTACCGCGAATTTTTATCTCATTAAAAAAAAAAATCTATGCGTTCATAAACATATCGAAATTTCGAGTGGCCCACGACAAAATTATATGCACTCTTTTGTCTACCTTACGTTCACTCTTAGATCATCAGTATCAGTAACGTCTTAATCTGTTTAATTCTATTTTCCTAATTCATACCACTAACCAAATCCCGCAAAAGAGCCCCAATTAATACTTTCTCCTCCCTATTTAAAATTACCGTTATGCCCTCGCAAGTATATCGGCATTTTAAACTTATTTAGCACATGGAGAAGGGTGTTTCTTGAAAGTAGGATCAAAAGTCTTTTCTTGTGTATGGATTTTCAATTATGTGACAGATTGTATTATGTTTTTATTTTCTTTTAATTAATTTTGATAATATCGAATTGACGGAAACACCCCTGAGTAGAAGGACAGCTGGAACACGTAATGCAGAGGATTATAAAGCTGAACACAGACGGCATCTCAAGCGTCGCAAGGAAGGGTAATTGTGTCATTTCAGATTTTTGTTTTGGTTCGATCTTCAAGTGGGTTTTCTTTCTTAATCGCCGCGAATCATTTCTACATCACACCTCCGCCATGTCTCCCCCACGATAAATACTGCCGCAGTTTATATATGTGTGTGCGTGTCTTTTTTTAGGGAGTGCCCTTTTGCATTGACTATCAGTATTGAATTGAAACTCTCCCTTTCGCATTCAGTTGTTCGGTGCCGGGTGACTTTTTTGTTTATTTTAAGGCTTTATGTCTCTCTCCTGCGCGCGCTATCACGCTCTATATATGCGAGCTGACTGATAGTTCAGTGTTTTTTGATTCCCAGTTGGATTGAAGGTCCGTAGCCTGCAACAATGGAGTTGTCGCAGGCGATTAAAATGTGGGTCTCTCCGCTTTTTGTCTTGATGGTGAGTTGCCGCCGGAATTCGATTCCGGTGGGTCGGACTCGGGACGAGATTGTTTCTTTTTGTGGCGTTTGTTTTCGTTTTTGTTTCTGTTTAAATGCTTGCTGAATGGGATGGGATTTTGGTGAAAATTGAGGTTTTTTATGTGTGAAAAGGTGTGGTTGTCTCAGGTGTTTATCGTGGCGGCGGCGGCGGCGGCAGGGCGGTCCGATTCGAGGTTTCTTTTAACAGATAATGCAACCGCCCGGTATTGTTCTTGCTGGTTGATTGTATTCAGCTTCTCGACTTCATTTTTCAGATTGCTGTGTCTATCTGCGGTTGTATGTGTGATTTTCTAGTGGTCCTCTGTAATTTGTTAGAGTTTCGGCAGAAATTGAAATTCTGTTTTGGAAGATAATTTGGCTTTTCTCTTTTCATTTTGAATGTGTAGTTTGGACAGATAATCTGTTGCCCGGTAAATCCGCTTTAGTTCTTGATGTCACAGTTGCAGTTTGGATAGTCTTTGTTGAATTGAAGAGATTAATCCCAATTTCTTTCCCCCCCCCCCCCCCCCCCCCCCCCCCCCCCCCCCCCCCCCCCCCCGATTTCAGACATTCAGAGAACTACTGTGCTATGTATGACATTTGTGGGGCTCGTACCGATGGTAAAGTCTTGAATTGCCCTTTTGGTTCCCCTGCTGTCAAGGTAAAATCAGTCACTTTGTTGTGTGGATTATTTTGATTGCGAATATTTCAGACTTGGTGTATTTGTTTTGTGATTTTTAAGTATTGGATTTACTTTGATGGCAGCCTGAGGCATTATTATCTTCAAAGATTCAAAGTTTATGTCCTACTATTACTGGGAACGTGTGTTGTACGGAGGCGCAGTTTGATACGCTACGGGCACAAGTCCAACAAGTAAGAAGTTTAACCATGTTTAGGATGTAATTGAGCTTAGCATGGCTGTGAGTTGACATTCTAGTATATTGGAATTAAGCAACTGATGATGATGTTGCTTAGAGTTGCATTTGCATTTCCAGATTGCATGATACTGAAAAACACATTGTTTATTAAGATTATTGAATGTGAGCTGAGAACTGAAATCCTAGAATTATAGCGATACAAGTTAATAATTCTGTTTCCCAACTGTGAATTTTGTAGGATGCACGTCTCATCACATTCATTTTGGTTCTTGATTGTTCTCTCTATCTCTCAATAAAAATAATTACTCATAATTGCTTAGTTTATTTGTTGCAGGCTATTCCTTTTCTCGTAGGTTGTCCAGCATGCTTGAGAAATTTCTTGAATTTATTCTGTGAGCTTACATGCTCTCCTAATCAAAGTCAATTTATTAACGTAACTTCCGCTGGCAAGGTCAGTTAATCATTCAACCAAATATAACATGATGGATGTGCTGTTTGTATCCCAGGATTTTTGCGATCATGCTGTTTGTTCATTTCATACTGATCAATTTTCTTTTCCTGCTTTCTGCTTTCTGTTCAGGTTGGGGATAATTCGACTGTTGATGGGATTCAGTATTACATAACTGACGCTTTTGGTGGGGGAATGTATGAGTCATGTAAAGATGTAAAATTTGGAACCATGAACACTAGAGCCATAGAATTCATTGGTGCCGGTGCTAAAAATTTTAGAGGTAAACTGGTTGTTCTGTCATTCAATTCATGTTAGTGAGTTGTCTTTAATCATTATGTGACTAGATGACTTATTTGTTTCCATTGATTTTCCGTTGTCTTCTTCTTAGCCACACTGAGGCTGGTTTTTATTTAATTTTTTCTGGCAGAGTGGTATGCATTTCTCGGTAAAAGGGCTCCTCTTGGTGTACCAGGATCACCATATTCTATTGATTTCTTGCCTGCTGCTCCATTGTCATCCGGAATGAAACCCATGAATGTCTCCGCATATTCGTGTGGTGATACATCTTTAGGCTGTTCATGTGGTGATTGTCCTTCTTCGGCAGCCTGCTCAAACTCAGATGTTGCTCCTCCTCCCAAGAAAAATTCATGTTCAGTGAAAATAGGGTCTTTAAAGGTGAGAACTTTCTTCCCACCTGCTCTCTCATTTTCTAAAGATGCTTGCATTTTTTTCTTCTCTTTTTTTTTTTTTGTTGACAAATTATATATACTTATAATTTTGTGAGTGAGATGGCATAGAAATTTGACAAGTTACATTCCTCAGTGAAGCACATCACTTGGAACTTGATTCATATTTTCTCGACATTGCAGCCAAAATGTGTTGAAGTTGCAATGGCAATTGTGTATATTGCACTTGTCTCTGTGTTTCTGGGATGGGGTTTCTTTCACAGGAAAAGGAGAAGGAGCCCCGAGTCTAGAACCAGACCATTGGTTAATGTTCCCAATGGTGGAGTTGTTCGCCGTATGAACAGTCAAAAGGATGAGAATATCCCAATGCAGGTGCATTAAAAAATGGTTAATTCTCTTTTCTAATTTGCGGTGACTTTCATGCCCCTTCTTTCATACTGAATCATGTTTGTCTCTCTGATCTATTCTATTTCTCAGATGCTTGAGGATGTTCCCCAAATTTCAAATGGTGTACAACTTTCAATAGTGCAAGGTTATATGTCAAAGTTTTACAGGTGATTTACCATATAATCACTAGAGTAGTCCTTGCAAGAATTCCTTAAAATGGTTTGCTCATGTTGTTGATGGGTATGTGACACAGGAGATATGGAACATGGGTGGCTAGAAATCCAATTCTTGTATTGTGCTCATCAGTAGCAATTGTTCTTTTGCTTTGCTTAGGTCTCATCCGTTTCCAGGTGGAGACTCGGCCTGAGAAGGTATTTTATGGTGTAATCTAGTACTGCAATTATATGGCATGTTTGTATCTAAAATTGTTGGTATTGCCTGAACATAATTTTAGAGTAATTTTACAAAACTTACGGAAGTCATTGCATGTATGATTCCAGTTATGGGTAGGACCCGGAAGTAGAGCTGCCAAAGAGAAAGAGTTTTTTGATAGCCATCTTGCTCCGTTTTACAGAATTGAGCAGGTACTACATATTAACTATTGAACATCGCTACGTCTTTACCTGGAATCATATTGAGATCTAGCACTGAAATTTGTTAGCTAATAATTGCAACAATTCCCGACACTGATAAAGACGAAGCACCAAGCATTGTTACTGATAGCAATATCAAGTTACTGTTCGATGTGCAAAAAAAGGTATTTATTTTCCGCTGTTCTTATTTATGTCAGACAAGTGTTGATTGCTCAAGTATTTTCTTGTGTACTTAATAACTATTCTACTGAACACAAGCAATCAGCTGATAAGATAATCTAACTTGCAACATAGGTGGATGCTATCAGAGGAAATTTTTCTGGCTCTATGGTGTCTCTCTCCGACATTTGCATGAAACCACTTGGGAAGGACTGTGCCACTCAAAGTCTTCTCCAGGTAACGCATTTTTATTAAAACCATGAGAATTTCTTGAAAGCTTGCTACTGTTGGTTTTGGTAATTCAGCTTTCAAGTTTCGATACTCACGGGTCATATATGTTGTGACAGTATTTCAAGATGGATCCTCAAAATTATGAGACCTTTGGTGGGCTTGATCATGTTCAATACTGTTTTCAGGTATTCTCTAAAGTCCCGTTTTTTATTAAGACTTTGAAAGGCCTTTTCTCCTTGTCTTTGGACTTAAACTTGTGGAGTTAGAAACACTTATTTGTTGCCTGGATGTTTCGTCTAGCATTATACGTCGGCAGACACATGTGCCAGTGCATTTAAAGCCCCTCTTGATCCAAGCACTGCTCTCGGTGGTTTCTCTGGAACTAACTATTCTCAGGTAAGTTTTTGGATTCCTTCTTGATTTTATTTTTTTGTTTTTTACACATAGGCAAACATGTTTTTGTCATTTCGAGCAGGCTACTGCATTCGTTATTACGTATCCTGTGAACAATGAAATCAACAAACAAGGCAATGGAACAAAGAGGGCAGTGGCTTGGGAGAAAGCTTTCATTCAGCTAGCAAAGGTTTGCATTTATTCTATTATTGGTTTTGACCCTAAGAGACTACAAATCACATACACGGGCAGAATTTTCTTGAGCTAATCCACATTTGATGTTGAAAGCCAGTGCAATCAATGTGTGCAGGCACACACACACAAACCCTTGAATTCTGTCCTTTCCACCTTTTGCTTTTAACTAATGTGGATTACAATTTGGTTGAGACATAAGAATCTGCAGCCAATGCCTCTCCGCCTTGTCTTTCCTCATGTGGGAATTTTCCTTGCTGAGTTTTATATAGTGAGTTCCAATGATACTAAGACCTGTTTTCTTATGCAGGACGAGCTCTTACCCATGGTGCAGTCGAGAAATTTGACACTTGCATTCTCAGCGGAAAGTTCTATAGAAGAAGAATTAAAAAGGGAAAGTACTGCAGATGCTATCACTATTGTGGTATGGATGGATCTCTCTCCGGAATACTAAAATCTCTATGCAATAACTATGCTTGTTTTCTGTTTGAAAATGATCGAACAATTCCTTTATAAAATGAATGAAACTCACACCTTTCGAATATCTGGGGATGCTTTCATGCTGATACAATGTGAAATCCATTTTTCTGAGATTAAACAATATGCCTTTTCTAATCTCACATATGCTTTCTGTTTCAGATAAGTTATCTTGTTATGTTTGCTTACATATCTTTGACACTGGGAGATGCTCCTCGATTCTCCTCCTGCTATATCTCCTCCAAGGTAAAACTCCATGAAATCTACATTCTACACCTTTATAGATATATATATGCAGATATAGATTCTTAAGTGTTACTTTTAAGTGTATTCTACAATGTTATGCACAAAATTGTTATGCACAAAATTGCTCGTATAAATTTGAAGCCAAAATTTCCTCAAACCAGTTTTATGCTATATGCTTCAATCAAATCCTTGCAATAAATTTAACTCGTTGCTGCACTGTGGTTTATATATACTATTGTTGTTTTAGATGCTATTCTTATTCATACCTCAATCATTAACTACTAGCATTGTCATGACATATTCTCTTCTTTTGTTTGATACTATGCAACTTCTTTTTGGTAGGTATTACTTGGGTTATCAGGGGTTGTGCTTGTCATGCTTTCAGTACTTGGATCAGTTGGATTTTTCAGTGCAATTGGCGTAAAATCGACGCTCATTATTATGGAAGTCATTCCTTTTCTTGTTTTAGCAGTGAGTTCTTTATCTTTAGGACACTCGAATTGCCTAACTACATTTTCTTACTTTCCATACAATTGACCTTAATTTTCTTTAATTATGGCTACTAATGTTTGTTTTGAGTTAAAATATTGCAATCTCAAAGACCAGGTTGATATTTTTCCATGTTTGGCAGGTTGGGGTGGACAACATGTGCATACTTGTTCATGCAGTAAAGCGTCAACTCGTAGAATTGCCAATTGAGGGACGGATTAGTAATGCACTTGTAGAAGTTGGGCCGTCCATAACACTAGCTAGTCTGTCTGAGGTCTTGGCATTTGCGGTTGGAAGTTTCATCCCAATGCCAGCTTGCCGTGTCTTTTCCATGTTTGCTGGTTAGAACTCTTTCATTTGGATCATAATTTCAATCATCTTTCGTTGTTCTTCATTATGGTGGTTGCAACAGCTACTTCATAACATGTTTGAATTTTATGTATGCTCTGTTCTCAGCTCTGGCTGTTCTTTTGGACTTTCTTCTACAAGTCACTGCATTTGTTGCCTTGATTGTCTTTGATTTCTTGAGAGCAGAGGACAACAGAGTTGACTGTATTCCTTGTGTCAAATTATCCAACTCAAATGCGGATACTGAAACTGGTATGCATTTCTTCAGACATAATATCAGAAATCTTTTTTTATTTTTTTTCGGGTTAGCATACTAACGTGAAAACACTGATTACAACGATACAAGCTAAAACAAAGAGTCTTGCTTAAATTTTAGGTACTCAAAATCAGAAGCCTGGTCTGCTTGTTCGATATATGAGGGTAAGATATATATATCTGATTTATTTGATGTTATAGCAATTAAAGATTCGAATATATCTAGTAAATGGAAGTGCTCTTGTATAGGATTTTCATGCTCCTGTTCTCAACATTTGGGCTGTAAAACTTATCGTCGTCTGTGCTTTCGGTGCATTCACATTGGCGAGCATAGTAAGTTACACTTAACCTTATGGGCAATTTACTTCAGCAGCCACTTGATTTTTGACTGGAGAGTTTACTTTTATTCACTTATCCACGAAGGCTTTGTGCCCAAGAATCGAACCTGGTTTAGAACAGCAAATTGTCCTTCCTCGTGACTCATATCTTCAGGTCTCAACGCCATACTTTTCTGTTACTTCATATTACTTTGCCTAATGTTAGAAACTTGATGTTTGTAAATGGCTTAATCTCAACAGGGCTACTTCAACAACATCTCAGAATACCTTAGAATTGGTCCACCGCTCTACTTTGTTGTGCAAAACTATAATTACAGGTATTTGTTTGGACTCTATTCTATTCCACTTTTTTCACCCAAATAATGAATTGTTTATCTTATTTATGTACTTTATTTCCTCAGTTCTGAATCACGTCAAACAAACCAACTCTGTTCCATCAACCGCTGTGATTCAAATTCTCTCCTAAATGAGGTGAATCCATTTTTGTTGACAAGAGTGAATGTTGGCTGATAGTTGATAATCGCGGCCCTCCAAAAACCTAAAAATTTCCATGTATGCAGATTGCACGAGCATCTCTAGTGCCGGATTCAAGTTATATTGCAAAACCTGCTGCATCATGGCTTGATGATTTTCTGGTCTGGCTCTCGCCTGAAGCTTTTGGGTGTTGTCGGAAATTCACAAATGGAACCTTTTGCCCTCCCGATGACCAGGTATACTGATCTTTCTCCAATCAGACAGTTATATTGTAATGTTACATGCAACTACCCGCGGAACACATCTGATAAAAAAAATTTTCAGCCTCCCTGTTGTTCACCAAATGGCGGTATTTGTGGGCTCAGCACTGTGTGCAAGGACTGCACAACGGTAACAACACATTTTTAGTATTTGTCATATTTTTCTACCATCCGATATAGCTACTTTGTTCTACTTTCATCATTTATACAACCTTTCGACTCAAAGCGATTGCAAATGACTAAGACATTTTTATGAACTAGTTCTAATGATGAAATCATTTGCAGTGTTACCTCCACTCAGATTTACAAAACGGCCGTCCGTCCACTGCTCAATTCAGGGACAAGCTGCCGTGGTTCCTCAGCGCCTTGCCTTCTGCTGATTGCGCAAAAGGTGGAAATGGAGCTTATACTGGGAGTGTTGAGCTCCAAGGTGGATATTCAAACAACTCTTTTCTTTTTTATTTGATATAAACTTAAGAAATCTCAGTGAAACAAACAACAGTTTCTCTGTAATCTCCGAAATTAATCAAACTATTATTTCCTTGTGTGTTTAGGCTATGAGGATGGAATGATCCAGGCTTCGTCGTTTCGGACATACCACACACCCCTTAATAAGCAGGTGCAGTTTCGTTTTGAAATGATAATATGTCAGCGTTTGATTATTTTTTATTTTTAGGGATGAATCACCGAAATTTTCTATAACTCCATTCTTCTAGGCTGATTTTGTCCACTCTATGCGGGCTGTGCGGGATTTCAGTTCGAAGATGTCCAAGTCATTAAAGGTATTTTTTGGCTATATTTTGAACCTTAGTTCAAGTAATTTGTAAATTGCTAATTAAGAAGCCGGAAATGGCTCAGTCAATCTAGTTAGAACAAATTTGAATAGCCAATATTTTGTTAGGTACCATTCTTATTCATTTCTTTGCTGCAGATCGACATCTTTCCATATGCCGTTTTCTATACGTTCTTCGAGCAGTACCTTAATATTTGGAAGACAGCTTTGATCAACCTCGCTATAGCTATTGGTTTGTTCTCTTCTTTTTCTAAGCATCTGCAGTTAAAATAAACAGTATCTATTCATATTTGTTGTTCCATATACATTTGTTCCGATCAATCCCGAACTTACCTATTTCTTTTCTTTACGCGATGATAGGTGCCGTATTTTTGGTTTGCTTAGTTATCACATGCAGGTTGGTAATTGTGTCCTTCAATAATGCAATTCTTCGATACCCAACATAAATGTTTTCCTTACAGATTACTTTCGCTTTTTATGTTCAGCTTTTGGATTTCGGCAATAATTCTACTTGTGTTGGTGATGATCGTCGTTGATCTTTTGGTAATCTTCATATTTTTTTTTATTTTTTTTGAAATTCTTTTTTTTCGTGTGTGCTTTGAAGATGAAACTCAAAACGTATTTTTGCAGGGGGTAATGTCGATGCTCCACATCCAACTAAACGCATTGTCCGTAGTTAACCTTGTGATGTCAGTCGGCATTGCAGTCGAGTTCTGCGTCCACATCACCCATGCATTTTTGGTAAGTTTCCCTATCTCGGAAACCTTAATATTCTATCTTCTTTAAAATTTCGCGCAGCGGGAAGTGAATCCTATTAATGTAATAAATGCCAGGTGGCTAACGGAGACAGGAATCAACGGATGAAGGAAGCTCTGACGACAATGGGGGCCTCCGTTTTCAGGTCTCGATTCTTTCCATTTTATGTTGCAATCGATCCCCTCTTTAATTGTTCTTCATAATTCTCTTACAAGGTTCTCGAACGATCTCTTTCTTGCAGTGGGATCACGCTGACGAAGCTCGTAGGAGTGCTCGTGCTCTGCTTCTCTAGGACCGAAGTTTTCGTTGTATACTATTTCAAAATGTATCTTTCGCTCGTGCTTCTTGGGTTCTTGCACGGACTTGTCTTCTTACCCGTAAGATCTTTGTCCATTTTATTACCGGATTTTAGCATTCTTAAAAAAAAGGTGTTTTGCGCGAATATAGCTTTAAGGTTTGTGCTCGTGGTTGTGCTCGTTTTGGCAGGTAATATTGAGCATGTTTGGTCCGCCGTCAAGATGCGTACTCATCGAGAAGCAAGAAGATCGACCCTCGACTTCTTCGCAATTTTGATTCTTTTTATTTTTTTTATTTTTATCTAATTATAACTTTCCTTAGCGTTTGTTTCTTGAAGATTTCTTCTTCGATAGATGAGGATTGAGGCAAACAACGATGTGTACAAATAATAGGTTAGTTAAGGTTTTAACTTTGACGATGTTGTCCAATTGTAAAGCTTCACTTTGGTTTTATCCTTTTCGACAAAGCTAAGGTGGTTAGAATTTAATGAATTTGATTATTTATAACTATGCTTTGAGCATTTTAAAAAATATGTTGAATCGTATAACATATTTATATAAGATGTAAATATATTTAATTGTGTTGTAAATTTGTTAAATTGCTCATATATTGAAAAGTTATTGAAGTATTATATGTTATGGTGGAAGAAAGTGCATCATCGAATTTAGACTTGGGATTACTTTTTAGAAATTGAATTTAAATTTAGGTGTAAATGATAGCCCAAATCCCCAATATGGATATTTTATATAAATGTTAGCATTTAAAAATATTAAATGGATAATTATTTTGTAACCTTTTTGTAACTGATCCTATGTATTTGGGTTCATTTCATTCTGAAATGGCCATTTGTAATAATATTTCAAGCCTTTTAAAAAAAATAATAATAAATTGGTTTTTGGTTATCAAAGCTCAATTGGGCATATATATAAATTTAAATTTGTAAATTTATTTTAATTTAAAATCTTAAAATGAATCAAGGGTGTAGATACTTGCACTAATATTTCAATTTGGGAATGAATCTGGAAATCAGGAAACATATTAAATTTGGTTTGAAAAATACATCTCCAGTCATCCAAATTAAAAAATTTCTTTTAAATCTTGGGATATGTATAAAATGCTCTTTTCAGGGACACCCATTAATTAGATAGCTACAGAAACAGTTTGCTGATAAATGACATATTATACCATTAAGTAGTAATTTTAAATCACATTAAAATGACTAAAATAAGTAGCCTCTTAATTGTATTATTTATTGTAAGGAAAAGAAAAAGTAAATTGAAGAATTGTCTTAAACACTAATTTAATGGAAATAAGAGCTTTATAGGAAATTAAATTTAGTATATTTTTTTTTTAATTTAAGATTATATTACTAATTATTTGAAAACAGCACATGGTTTGGGGTCAAAACTGCATTATTACTCAACCAAGCCGAAATATAAAATAAAACAATTGCAAGAATATATCCGTTAAGACAAAATAAGGAACAGCGCGACCTTTCATCCAACGGTCATAATTTTACTAGCCGTTATTTTCAAATTCATGAAAAAGGAGAAAGGAAAGCGAGAAAGAAAGGAACAACGCTTCTGTGCAGACATAAATCCGCTGTTTGCTGCTCTTCTCTCTCTTCTCCTATGCCGATGACAGATTAGGGCTGAGGAAGGAGAGATAAACACACACAATTCCTAGAGAGAGAGAGAGAGGGGAAAGAGGAAATAAAAAGCTTTTTTTTAAATGTTCCTATCGACTGATTTGACGGGTGTTTAGTTTTAGCCTCATTCTCTCTTTTCCTTCTTCTCGATTTCTTGACGAGTGTAGATCGCCGGATTTATAGAGGTGTCTTTTTTTATTTTTTAATTTTCTTGATTCTGGAGATTTAAAAGGTTTTTTCGTATTTCTGATAATGTGTGAAATTGAAATATCGTCCTCTTATTTCCAGCTTCTCTGTTCAAAGAATTCAATCAAGATGGGATCGGGCGAGAATTTTCAAGGTGTGATCCGATCATCAAACGTTCAAGGTACTTTAGAATTTCAAAATTTTGAAGCTGAAAAAGAAAGAGATGAAATACCCTGATGAATCTTTTCCGGCAGGTGCTTTGAAACCCGCAGCCGCCGCCGCCGCCGGCGGAGGTGGAGGAAAGTTCACCTCCAATAGTAGGAGAGCACTGAGTGAAATTGACAAAAACATCATAGCAGCTCCTCCTTATCCCTGTGCTGTTCATAAAAGAGGGATTCTGACAGAGTACTAATTTTAATTTGATCTTTCATTTAAATAGCACCATTGATTGATTTTAAGGTTAAAGGTTTTTTAAAGTCACTTGTTGCTTGATTTGTTCTCGGTCAGAAAAAATGGCGTCGGTATTAATAAGAATCCCGGTTTGCCAGTCCATCGCCCTGTCACTAGGTTTGTTAATCAGTCCTCTTTGTGTTCTTGCAGTATGTGTTGTTTTCGAATTTCTTTTCTTGTAGATTATCACAGATGATAAAGGGATCATTAAAGATCTAATCTTGATCCGTTGAGTGATTGAATGGTCAGGAAATTTGCTGCACAATTGGCTGGAAAAGAACAACAATCATCACTTGCTGTAAATTTCCATTTCCATGTCCATTGTAGAATAGATCAAAACGGCCGTGTTGGTATCTAATTTCCACCTTGTTCTTCATTTTTCAGGAAGTCAAGCCACTGGTTGAATCATCTAAGAGTGTGGACGATGATTGCATTATCATCGATGCTGATGATGATCTTGATGTACCTATGTTTGTGCAGCACACAGAAGCCATGCTTCAGGAAATCGATCGAATGGTAATGGTTTCTTCCTCTGTTTTGATTTGGTTTATTATATGAAGCTGCAGTTCTTGATATCCATCTCTCTGTGTTTGTAAAATCAGGATGCAGAAATCGAAATGGTGGACATCGACGAGGCGGACGCTGTAGCGGACATAGACAGCTGCGACAAGGAGAATCCACTTGCAGTTACAGAGTACATTGAGGACATACAAAACCACTACAGCAAAACAGAGGTCACTCGTCATTCCTGGTGATTTCTTGTGAATTTTCGACGAGTAATGATTCTGATTGAGGATTTGTCTGGTGCAGAGTTTAAGCTGTGTCCCACCGGACTATATGTTGAAGCAATTCGACATCAATGAAAGAATGAGAGGGATTCTCATCGACTGGCTGATTGAGGTCCACTACAAGTTCGAGCTAATGGAGGAGACTCTTTACTTGACAGTGAATCTGATCGACCGATTTCTAGCGGTGCAGACGGTGGTGAGAAAGAAGCTGCAGCTAGTCGGGATAACGGCATTGCTTCTTGCTTGTAAGTACGAGGAAGTGTCGGTCCCTGTGGTCGAGGATCTTATATTGATAACCGACAGAGCCTACTGCCGACAAGAAGTCCTCCAGATGGTACGTTGATAGATAATCAATTATATAAATACATAGACATCTTCTTCATCTTGTAATATACAACAATGAATTGAATTGGTTCAGGAGAAATTGATGGTGAACACGTTACAGTTCAACATGTCAGTGCCGACTCCATATGTGTTCATGAGGCGGTTCTTGAAGGCGGCGCAATGCGACAAAGAGGTAGTTGCAGGCAGTTGAAGAATGATGGATGAGTTAATGGAAATAATTGATGATTTGAATTGATGTGCAGGTGGAGATGGTGGCCTTCTTCCTGATGGAGCTGAGCCTGGTGGAGTATGAGATGGTGAAGTTCCAGCCATCGGTGTTGGCAGCAGCAGCGATATTTGCAGGTCAGTGCAGTGTAAGCGGGGAGAAGCAATGGAGCAGGACGTGTGCTGTCCATACAAATTACAGCATGGAGCAGCTCATGGAATGTGCGAGGCTGATGACGACATTCCACATGAAGGCGGGAAGCGGGAAGCTGACCGGGGTGCACAAGAAGTACAGCACTTGTAAATACGGTTACACTGCTGCCAGGACTCAGCCTGCCCTTTTCCTCCTCAGCCATCGCCATGGATGACGAAGAATGATAGCTATACTATAGTTAATAAGGATGCTCTGGATCGATGATCGATCTTCTAACATCTTATGAGAGAGTCTGTGTTGTTGTTAGTTACGAGCAACATAAGTTGCCCCTCCCCTGCTGCAGGGATGGGATGGGGATGGATGATTAGGGGTGGGGTGGGGGGGTGGGGTTTGGGGGGCCTCTTCTTTTTCTTTTTCTTCTTCTTCTTATTGACATTTGTTGTGTGTTACTTACTTTGGTTTTGGATAATGATGAGAAAAAGATCATATCACATGGTCATGGTACTAATATATATATGGTTATAAAATAATGCATTGCTCTCTTAAACTCCTCCAATTTTGCCTCTAATTGATGACATTTGCAAATATTAAAAAGAGAAGACTTGAATCCATCTCAGCTAGTAGATAGAGAGCAGCAGCAGTATTCGAATAGAAATGGGATGCTGGTAAACGATGGATCCAACAATACACTCTTGTACACTTCAAATAGGACCAACTCTCGAAATGTTGTTAGTTCACAGTAAATAAGACAAGATATTTATTGCTCCGATTCAATTATAAATCAACTTACATCCAAAATATAATACAAAAGAAATGGCCTAGCTTGTAAAATACCTCAACAATTTCACGATGTTACAAATGTCGTACTAACACAACAACCATATAGGTCAGATGTCCTTATAAACCAATCTTCAACGAGGAATAAAGTATCAAACGTTCATTCAAAACATGGAGTATGGACACTAGGTGAGAGCGTTACACAATACTTCACTCTCAACTACTCTGCATTTGTCCGGTTGAATATACAACTTCTGAAAACTGAATTGTAAAATTTCTCATAAATATTATTTGCACTGAAATAGGGTGAAGTTAGGTATCCATACAACTGACACGGTTTGACCTTCCCATAAAACTCCAATTTGTCACTTATATGGCCATGAAAGTAGGGACAAATGAGATAGCGACAAATTCCACAGGTCTGTAGCACGATTGCGACAGTAGTTTGTCTGCAACACACTTATCCCAAATGGAATGAACATAGCAAATACAAGTGGGGAGAGATTCGACCTTGCCTTAAAAATCAGCTTCGTCAATTGTGTGGACTTGGTAGATAAAACAAAGGAATAGAGACAAGCAACTTCAAAGTATGTTGCACAGTTACAATAGCGATATGTCGGCAATAATTGTTTAGTAAAAATAGACGTATTTGCCACAGCATGAAGAAAAAAAAATATTTGTCCATATTTATTAAAATAACTTAGGGATATTTTCATTCACGTACCATAAAAAAAGTATAGTGTACCTCTCTTAACCCCTTTATATAAAAGATTCCAATATATGTAGTCTACCTCCCCTAACCCCTTTATATAAAATATTCCAATATATGTAGTAAAACTTTTAAAAGTAAAAATTAAGTATTTGGTTTGGATTCCAAAATTGAATTTATATTACTCCTATTTGGTTGTGTTTGTTTGTTGGTTTTAATAATTTTTTATTATTACAATTTTTTTTTCTCAAAAATATCTCTTTTTTTAAAATAATTAATTCAATTTAAAATTTTATTTTTTTGTCCATTCAAAATTATCAATTATATATTATAGTTAAAATAATTACATATTAATATCAAAATATTTTTAACTTTTATCTAAAATATGAACATATGCCATTACATATATATACATAAAGTTCAATATCAAAACAATACACATTTGCATTAACCAATAAATAATATTAATTATAAATCTACTATAAAAAAATTCAAATGAATAATTTTGTCCGAAAATATTATTTAAAATTCAAATTATAAACTCAAAACACATAAACTAACACAACCTCGATGTTTATAAAAAAAAAATAATATTTTTTTAATAAAATCAAAACTTTGAAAAATATATGTAAAAATAGCCTAAAAAAAATCTGTCACGTAAAAGATGGCTCGATAGTGTGGGGTTGGACTTATGATGGCTCGATAGTGTGGGGTTGGACTTATTACTGTGAAGTGGTTTGTTAGTGTGACTTGCCCATCGAACCTAATTTGCAAGATATTAGGTTTGACTGGGAGTTTACCCTTGTGCATACACAGATAAAATAGTATTTAGCAATGAAATAATTTACGACACACATGCATAAATACAAATATTGGTATGCTCATTTTTCCAAAGGTTCCAATCCACTATTTATCCAAGGTGAAAATTGCAATCGCTGCCCTTCTCAATAATATAATGATTATCTAACCTAAACGAGCAACACATACATACAGATAGGAAGGATAACAAACATATATATCGAAAAACAAACTTATGAAAAACAATCTATCTTCCCTCGTTTTCAGCATAAACAAGGGCACATAACAAATACAACCTCCACCCCAACCCCAACCCCAACCCAACCCCAACCCTGCAAATATTACTTAAGAAGTTTGATTCTTTAATTACCATCATCATCATCATCTAATCTGCAAATCCCACCAAGAAACAAAGGCACACAAGAAATTGGCAACTAGATTTTCCTCACCCTTCTAACACTACCTTTCCTCTGTGTAACTCCAACAGATTTCTCAGCTATATTCATCGGTGGCAGCAGCGGCTTCTTGTTCTCCTTCCTCATGCTGCTGCTCCTCAATGAGTACCTCGGCGTCGGGGCAGCCCTCTCTGGCGTGGCAGCAGCAGCCACTGCCGTCATCTTCCCCCGGCTGCTGTACTTGCTAGCCTCTCTTTTCATGGCTGACTCGACTCTAACGCCGAGATCATAAGCAGGTTTCTTCTCGTATCCAAACTCTGATTCGCTCTTCTTTCTCCTCAGCCTCTCGTTTCTTCTAGCAGAATATTCCTCGTAGAACCTGCCCCTCTCAAATATTGAGCCTGTTTGAACACCAGGAATCTCACCATCGTATATGGCACCATTTCTGGACCCGAGTTCCTTGTACACCATATTAGCCAGTTCCTCTAGTTCACAGGTTATGCTATGATACTCTGGTCGAAGCTCGGATTTCCCAGTGTCTCTTGTGTGGTTAGACACCTTGGAGTAGGAGAATGACCCTGTTTCTCACAAAAGATTCGAGAAATTGTCAAAAAATCAAAAAACATAACAAGTCATGGAAAAACAAGAAACCAAATTAAATGCTTGAAACGTTTTAGTTTATAAAAACTCATCCAAACCAATTACAAATCAGAATTACTTTTTATCATTCTTCTGTTATCCTTAAATTTAGACAATTGCCACCATCTTCTTTCAAAATCACTTCGAAAAACAAAAGAACAAATCCAAACAATAATACAGATTAATTCAAGAAAAAAAAAGTCACAGATTGTTCAAATCAAAGAAAATTCGGGTAATTAGAATTCATCGGCACAATTTCTGTCCATTTCCCCTTCGTTCACCCTCAAAATCACGACAAATATTATCGAACATCACATACAACAATCATTGACAAAAATGAAAAACTAATACAATAAGAAGCACAAAATAACCACATCCACACATATTCTGGAATCTTCATGGATTCAAAGTTACCAAGCGGGGAGCGAACAGCGCTACTGGCGGCGGGGGGCTGAGGAGGTTTACTCCGAGAACGAAGCCGAATCGGAGATCTTGCAGCAGCAAGTGGCGGTTTCCCGCTCGATCTCAACATCATTTTCGACATTTATAAGACGATGATCCCAACCAGGCTACAAGCAGAGAAGCCGATTTCGATCCAAGAAGACGATAGAAAGCAGATGAGTTCGGCGGAGATTGGAATCGCTAGGGTTTCTGTTTGAATTTGACAAAGTCTCGAAACAGTGTTGTGGAAGTCGGGTTAGATTGAAATCCTTTTTTAAATGAGGGGGGAGCGCTCCAACGGTTATATTTTTTTTATCCGACGGTTGTAACGATTCATTCGAAAATGAACGGTGGAGATGGCAGTGATATATGTTATTACATAGTAGGTTAATGTAATTACCATAATTATGACCATCCTATTTTGTTGATTAGAATAATATTTGAAGGATTTTATAACACTATTAATTATATATACAGTAATGATATCACACAATCTTTGAAAATCAATTCAATTTCAATTAATTATTGTGTTATAAAATAATATAAATGTATATTAAAAAATTTAAAAGTACAATTATATTTAAAATACATAAATAACAAACAATTGTTATAGATTAGTGTTATATAATAAGTATTGTTATACTATTGAAAAATTCAATTCTGTGGCTTGATACTAATGGGCTGAATCGATATATATATATATATGTTCTAATTATTTTTTTTCATATATTATATATTATGTTGCATTTGTTCTTATTACAAATAAAAGATAATCACTATTTAACTAGATATCTTTTTTAATAAAAATATTTTTTTTATACAAAATATTATATTAAAATAATAATTAAATAAATTTTTAAATCTTCAAATAATTTGTCTATTATACTTTAAATTTTACTCTAATATTTCAATTCACTCCAATTTATGTTATTTTTATTCCTTTAAAAAGAATGTTTAATGTATATCACTTTTTAAAATTTATTTTAAATAATTAATATCAAGGTTGATCCTGACTTTCGAAGAAATCGAAGCTTGGAATAACAATAAAAAATTCTTAAATATATAAATAATATGTTTTACATATAACAAAATATAAATAATTAAATAAAATAATTTTTTTTGTAGGATTTTTAGATGCAAAAATAGTATTAAATATTAATTTTGTCTAATAATATAATTCTAAAATTTAAGCCAAATTTTTTAAAAAAATTTAAACTCATTACTTTAGAACTATAAGTTCTACCAAGCCATGTCATTTTAATTTATAAAATTCAAATAAGTTCCATATATAAATATTATATATATAACATAAATGTATAATAGCTCGTGGGTGGCGTTCTCTCACTTAGTGACTTCATTAAATTGTTAATTTACATATGTTAAATTTTATTCAATCTTTGACCTTTGATACTTTATTTATTTTTATGGCATGAATATCAATAAGGTAACTTACTAATGAATGATTTGTGACATATAAGATTGATTTTATGATCACGAATATATCTTTCACACTGTTAGATCATTCCTTTTAGTACAAATATGTTTACGTTAATCGACCAAAAGCGATGTTGGTTAGCTATCTTGTATGTACATGAATAAATCATTATATTCTTTTAAATTTAAATTTTTAAGTACGATGATCATTTAACAAAGTATTAGAATAAAAAAAATTTGTATTCAAGTCCCACGGGACTGTTCTCATTCATTGTCGTCCACGTATAAAATTCATAGGTAATTTATGTCCATATTTTACGTGAGGGGACGTATTAATTGGTCTTCTCGTATATAAATAAATAAATAATACATATACTCTAAATTTTTAAATTTTTAGGTAAAATAGTCATTTAATATCTTTAACAAGCGATTATGTAAAAACTAAAAAAATAGATAAAAAATATGATGAATGGAAAATTGTAAACAAAATTAACAAAAACCAAACTAACGCTTGCCTTGTATTGTTTGGTGTCACGGTATCTTTTTCTAATATTAGATCATCTTATTTAAAAATAAATAAATGAAATACAAATTCCCTAAGAGATGACTTAGTAGTGTAGAGGTTGAACTTGTGCGCACTTTCGGATAACGAGTGCGGTTCCCATGTTATAAAAATAAAAAAAAATAAATGAAATACAAGAATGCATTATTACTATGATTTAATAAATAATATTTTGAACATTGATACGGCGGCATTGTATTTAATACTTGGACACCAACTCGTCCCTACCTACGTGCGCAGAAATATTCCAATATTGTTCAGTGCCACCCACTTTCCAAATTAGATATTTATTTGTTTGATTGTTTTTTTCTTTTTTTTCTTCTTCCAAACAATTAAAGTATCTTAAATCAATTTTTTTTTTTTATTTAAAATATTATATATACAAGAAAATCAATTCTTCATCCAAAATATTATACTAATTAAGATACATTAATTAAAATTCTATTTCATTTGCTATTATTCTCAAACTCAAAATAATTAACTCTTGACTCATTTAGAAAATCTTTATATATGTTAAAAGTTGTTGTTGTAATAAGTTGATTTACAGTTGAATTGACAAAATGCTTATCTTATCTACCTGGTGAAAAGATAGGACTTGACTTCCTTCAAGGGGTTGACTTAGTCACTACAAAATCAATACACACACATTGACACACTTAAATAATTAATTAATTAAGTAGTAGAAATGGGACCCACCAAAATCCAATTCATCTTCCCAACTATCAACAACCAATCCAATAAATCTATCGCGTTTGACTTTTGAAATGAGTTAAATGCACCTCAACGTGATCATTTCCGAGATATTATTCCTCCGTCCGGATACCATGTCCACGTTGCCGTTTCTTTTCGTCCCATATACTATGTCATTTTCCTTTTTTTTGAAAATGATTACACACTTTAATCTCATTTTTATTTTTTTAAATTTTAATTAAATTAATTAATTATCTTAATTTTAATTTATAATTATTTTTACTAATATATTTTTAATTATCTCCTAAAATACCGTATCTACGGTGTAGCAGACATTATCTGGAAAGGAGATACTAGTGGAGTATTTATTTATTTAATTATTCTAAGGTGTCTTCTTGTCGAATAGTACAGTCAGACTCAGTACAATATAATATATAAACTTGTTCAAGTGGCTGCTCTCCTGTGTTAATGTAAATGCACCTAATAATACTACTTAAATTAATTAGCCAGCACTTATATATATATCTTCACAATATGTGCATGTTTCCATGCATATATGAAATAAAATTTATTATTTTTTTTTCTAAAAATAAATAAATAAATAAATTCCATGAATAATTCCACGAGTCGTAGAGCATGGAGGCCGGAAAAGATAGCGATCATCGGCGCCGGCATAAGCGGCCTCCTTGCATGCAAACACGTCATCGAAAAAGGGTTCGAACCGGTGGTTTTCGAGGCCAGGAATGACGTCGGCGGCGTATGGTCGTGCACCATCGAATCAACTAAGCTCCAAAACCCAAAAGGGTATTTCCAATTTTCCGATTTCCCGTGGCCGAGCTCTGTCGAGGAGACGTTCCCGGACCATAACCAAGTTCTAGACTATCTCAAGTCCTATGCCCTCCATTTCGATCTCATCCCCTTCATCAAATTCAACTCTAGGGTTCTTGCCATAGATTACATGTCCGACGACGATCTCGACATGAGATCGAATTGGTACCTATGGGGTGGCACCGGCGCAGCCTTTTCACCGAAAGGGAAATGGAACGTCGTCGTCGAGGATGCTCTCCATCCATTGAATCCACCTAAGGTATTGAACTTAGAAGTGAAAAAAAATACTAAATTATCGAATAAAAAAAAAAAAATATATCAAAAAATATCGAATTTTTTTTTTTTATACGATCATGATATGTAGCTTGAAATTTTTAATAAAATATTACGATATTTTTAGTATAAAGTCACAAACCATCGTAATTGTATTTGTACGTCCACGTGCCTTCATGCACTCAATTTTTTTGTTTTCTAACTTATCAAGTTTTCTTAATATAAAAATAATTAATACTATTATATCTTTATTTTCTATTCAAATCATTATTGTATATAATTATTTATTTCTAAATATTTATCTTTTTATGTAATGGTTTAACTATTCTTAAACTAGTATAATTAATTAATTAAATTTCATTTCAGGTGTATAAGGTAGACTTTGTGCTTCTATGCATTGGAAGATTTAGCGATCTTCCTTACATGCCCGAATTTTGGAGAGGAGAAGGCCAAGTTAGTGAAGAGATGTTGAAATTCAATGGAGTTGTAATCCACTCCATGGACTATGCTGCCATGGACAGAATTGAAGCTCGAAAACTCGTCGAAAATAAACGAGTAGCCATCGTTGGGTTCCAGAAATCGGCACTTGACATCGCAGTCGAACTCGCCCAACTCAACGGTAGTATATATATAAACACATGAACCACAAAATTAAAATTAAGAACCTCATCGTTAATTCGATAGATATCATCACATTATAAATAATAATGTAGGAGTGAAGAATCCATGTACATTAGTCCTGAGGAGAGCACACTGGTCGGGCCCTGAAAATTTGGTGAGATTCAGCTTCAGACACTTCAACAGATTCTCAGAATTTATGGTCCACAAACCTACCCAGGGCCTCCTCCTTTGCTTTCTCGTATTTATTCTTTCACCTTTGGTAACTTACCTTACCCAATTATTATTGTTAGCATATAATATTCAAACAATTATTATTATTATTAACAGTGTCTTCCATTGAATTCGCAGCGATGGATCTTCTCAAAAATGGCGGAATGGTATCTCCGGTGGATCTACCCGCTCAAAAAATACGACATCGTCCCCACCCACTCCTTCCTCGAGCAGATCTATTCCTGCAGATTCATGGTCATGCCCGACCAATTCTACCGCAAGGTCCAAGAGGGAAGTCTCCTCCTGAGAAAATCTCGCGTCTCGGCGCTCTCCGGCGACTCCCTGGTTCTCGCCGACGGGAAGCCTCCGGTGTCCGCCGACGTCGTCATCCTGGCCACGGGGTACAAGAGCGACGAGAAGATTGCCAACATGTTCACGTCAGTCCACTTCAAGAAATGCATAATGGGATCGTCGTCTCCCTTCTACAGAGAGTGCATTCATCCCCGAATTCCGCAGCTGGCAATAATGGGGTACTCTGAGAGCCCGGCGACGATATTTACCTTCGAGATGAGAGTGAAATGGGTGGCCCATTTTCTGGCGGGGAAGTTCCGGCTGCCGGCGGTGGCGGCGATGGAGGAGGAGGGGCGGAAGTGGGAGGAGAACGCCCGGCGGTACAGCGGGGGGAGCTACAAGAGGTCGTGTGTGGGGGTGATGCTGCAGATATATTGCAACGATGAGATTTGTCGGGACATTGGGTGCAGTCCTATGAGGAAGAAGTGGTTTCTGCCTGAGCTTTTTACTTGCTATCATCCCCACGATTATGCAAATGTTTAATTTAATTTTATTTGATTTGATTCTCTCTCTTGTGTGTAATAAACAAACAGGGTTCTTTGTTTAATGTATACTGTTGACTTGAATTAAATCCAATTTGGGATATGTTGTAGTAAAAATGAGATCTTGATTACTCCATGGATGGATTATTCCGCAGTGGCTTCATTCTTCTTCTTCTTCTTCTTCTGTTTTTTTATTTTATTTTATTTTATTTTAGTTTTTTGGTTCTGTTTTGAAGATTGGAGAAGGCATTATTATTCCATAGGGATTTGAGTTTGGGGCCAAACCCTAATTAATGGCGCTACCTCATTCACATCACATGTCGTATTCGTACAGCTCGGTTCCGTATACGTACGTGTTTAGAACGTACGTATTGCATCAGCAGACGCATCCGTCTATTACTCGAGCTGCAGAATTGGAATTCACGCCAAGAGCACCTTCCATTCCGTTATAACCTCGAGAGCAGGTGCGTTTTCTGTGCTTAATTTTGATGCAGAATTGTCGAATTGGGGGTTTCGACATTCTAGATCCGATAATGAAGATCGAATTGGTGGGTGTTGGAACTTGGAACTGTGCTTCAGACATGATAATCTTCGATTTTGCTTGAAGTTTGTTTTAGTAACTGAGCTCTGTAATTTTAGGTTGCAGGATTGAATTGAATATAGTGTATAATTTGCAGGTTCTATGCTTTGATCTTCTGTTATATACAATATATCGTCATATATGTGGTGCTTGTGCAGGAAAAGTTGTATTGAATGTGGTGGTTTGATTGCAAGTTTATGGTCCTGTGAGGGTAATTTTACCCCAAGGACTGTAATATCGATAACAAGAAGAAATCGAAAATGCCACAGGCAAGCAAAGCCGAAAAGAAGACTGCCGTTGACGCGGCTGCGTGGCTGTTCAACGTGATCACTTCAGTCGGGATCATTATTGTGAATAAATCGTTAATGGCTACCTATGGCTTCAGCTTTGGTAATTTTAATGCGAACTATGAGTTGGTTGCGAGTGATTTATGCATTAGTCTTATTATACAGAGCTGTTTGAAAATTTTGGTGTGAATTTGCTAGCCTTGATGAACTCTTGGGATCCATTTCATGTTGTGCCGTGATTGATTGTCCAGAATTTCTACTTACGACATTAATTTAGTACAACATTTGCAGCTACTACACTCACTGGAATGCATTTTGCAACAACCACATTGACGACGGCTGTTCTGAGGCGTCTAGGCTACATTCATCCTTCTCACTTGCCATTGCCGGAAATTCTGAAGTTTGTATTATTCGCAAACTTCTCCATTGTGGGGATGAATGTAAGCTTGATGTGGAATTCTGTGGGATTCTACCAGGTATCTATCTTATGTATCTATCTGTCGATGTAATCAAGAAAAGAACAAACAGATTCTACCATTACATTACTAAATGTGATGCTTACTTATGACTATCAGATTGCGAAACTTACTATGATTCCCATGTCCTGCTTGTTGGAAGTTGTTTTTGACAATATCCGGTATTCGAGGGATACTAAGCTTAGCATCTTAGTTGTACTCCTCGGCGTTGGCGTCTGCACAATCACTGATGTGAGTGTTAATGCCAAGGGATTTGTTGCGGCGCTAATAGCAGTCTCGAGTACTTCTCTGCAACAGTATGTAAGTCTTGTAACTGTAATGGAAATCGATCTTAGGCTGTAATGACTGTTGTGTTTTTAACTTACCAGAATCGAAATCTCTTACCATATCATCTTCTACTGCGATTTGCCTTTCGTGGGCATTGTTTTTGCAGTATGTTCATTTTCTTCAAAGAAAGTACTCCCTTACATCCTTCAGTCTTCTGGGGCACACGGCGCCAATCCAGGCTGCATCGCTGCTGTTGATCGGGCCTTTTCTGGATTACCGGTTGACAAACAAGAGAATCAATGCCTTTGAGTTTCACACGCCGTCTGTTGTAAGCAATTCAGCTATAAAAGTCGCGACTTTTTTGTATCTTTTATGTTGCCTTTACACTTGATTCTGCAGGTGTTTATTATACTTTCGTGTACCATTGCCGTGGGGACGAATCTCAGCCAGTTCATCTGCATTGGAAGATTCACGGCCGTCTCATTTCAAGTACTCGGTCATATGAAGACTATCCTCGTGCTGGTACTCGGATTCATATTCTTTGGTAAAGAGGGCCTCAACTTGCAAGTAGTTGCCGGCATGGTGGTTGCTGTTATCGGCATGATCTGGTACAGCAATGCCTCGACGAAATCCGGAGGAAAGGAGAGGAGAAGTCATGGAGGATCATCGGAATCTTCGGAGAATACCGATGAAAAGGTATGAAGAAGCTTCACCACAAGTCACACACTAGATACAATCAATTAAGCAATTCCCAAATTTTGTTAATTCTTAGATGCATTACATTCTGTAGTGAATTAATTGATTAAATATATAAGAGTCAAATATTTAAGGTGATGAAGAAGGAAGATCTGGGTACAGAAACACACTGAATTTATTACACATACTTAGGAAACGTCTAACTGATGCTGAGGAACCGTTCATATCGACACACAGCCCAAAACTCCAGTCTATATTGGTCAAGTCAGTAGAAATTCATATCTTAAGAAAAAGCACAAGCATTAATACCCGGCCGTAGTCGACACTGGGTGGGTTTGGGTATAGCCTGGATCCATCTACATATCATGATGATGTTTCCACTGGCTCCGGCTCGGTGGGAATTGTCGTAGCAACCAAAGTGTGGAACGTTTAGTGTCCTTCGAACCAACGGGCAGCCCTTGCATAATCATAGGAAATATGTACCTTTTTGTGGAGCTGTGTTTCAGATGGTTATAGTACAGCCTAATTCCTTGGCAGCAGCATCGACAAACTGAATGGGCAGGCTGGTTGCGAGCCGGCTATGGGCTTCCCAGGTCAAACACTTTTCGATATCAGCTTGCCAATTGGTGATGCCTGCATTCATGTAATTGTAACGGGACTCGTGGATTCCATTGATATTCACTTGTTTGCTCTTTGATTTGATTGCGCCCGCGTGTAGAATGGCACGAAGAACTGATGTACTGAGTGCACGGACATGGGCACTTGGGTGAGAGACACATCGAACTGTTGCAGAAAGCCGACACTGCATGTGATAAACCATGGCAAACTTGTTACTACTGAAGCTTTCACCAAAAGCTGGCACAATATATTATCAAAATCTTTTATCTGAAAATGGGTATAAATTCTAGAGATTTTTGGTTTTCTTTAGGTAAGTATTTGGACTAAAAACCACAAATATGTTAGGAGCAGCTTTGTACCTTCAACAGGTTTGAAAGGCCATCTGCAACTGCCAAGCCAGATTCTCCCCATTCAAGCACTGGTTGAACTGCTCGGGCCGTCACCTCCAGCAACTGTTCAATTTTTTGAAGGGACGAGCAAGTGAATATACGGTACACAATGAAACTAATACAGATTCTCAGAAGTACAAGAAATGATATCTACACTTCAACTTTCAAACACAAAGAAAGGTAAAGTTAAATGGGAAAAGCCCCTTACGAATTAAACTAGGGGTGGGATTGGGATAGATATCCAATTGGATTCCTTGTAGGGTGGGAATAAGCACAATGAAATATTAATTAATAGGACAAAAGATGTATTTGTTAACGTTACCTCCAACTGTGGTAATGTGCAGGCCTCTCCATCAACAAGCATCCCATCTGTGGCACGGAGGAGGACATCTGAGGCACTAGCAAGAATTACCAATGACTCTGGAGCTTCATGGTTTCTCATTAACTCAACAATCACTTTCACAATTCGTTGGTTGATCCTCCACATCTTTTGGCCAAGATCATCATCCTTTGCAATCCAAGGTTTCAATTCCCTCTCGGCCTGACAAATAAATACATCCAAGAAAGTGACTAAACAAACAATTTAGTATGGACTGAAGCAAATGTGAACTCAGATGTGTTGTTTAGACAAGTGATATAAAATTAAGATTGCTTTTACATGAACATATGGTGATGAATGTCAATCTGAAAGCATATTTCAGTTCTCAAAGGATTCAATATGTGAGTTCTAGTAAAACAAAATCTGGACCTGAAGAACAACGGCTGTAGCAGCTTTTGCTGGGGATGCTGATACTACATTGCAGAGTGCAGCAACCACCTGTCATTTTGTAAAAATCAATCGTCATGTTATTAGCAATGTAGCAACAGGATAGTGTTTTCAAAAACTTCTATAATATCTCAAAAATGCAATGTAAAAGCATTTACATGCACATCAACCATATATCAGACCCCAACAGATCCTACCCCCCCCCCAACCCGTATACAATTGTCCACAGGGAACCAAGACCTCGTAGAAGATATCTTACTCATACCTCAACTTCCCAACAACTCAAATTTAAAATTTCTATGTATTTTTTAGTCATGAGACACATTCTTGAAAAGAGAGAATTTAACTAGAGCAGTCTAACGCAGTAATTCAACATTCTGTAGTTCCATATACTTCTCTGACTGAAGAATGTTCTCTTTTTTCTATAATTTGGACTCACAGTCGTCCAATCCAGTAAAAGGATCATACTCCCAAAACTATTCTTTTCAAAAACTACTTTGTATAATACCCATCAGCACCCATTTGAAAGCTAGGCTCCAATGCAATGACACTTGGGTTATTAAAAAACAACTAGCTTTTACCCTACTTAAGTACTGGCATCAGCATATCTAATTGGTTCCTCTAACCTATGACATCGATAAACTCAGATGTTAGAGGTAAGTAGAAGGTAAAAATAATTAAATTCACAATTTACCCTGATATTATGCCCGCACAACAACTCCCCTATATTATTACATGTTGGTTTTTCTCTATTAGTTATTATTAGTTGAATCTTCACATACCTGTCTCCATCCTTGTTGAGCAGATGTGCTTTCAGCAGTTGGTTGGATTTCCGGTGATACCATCAACTTGTGCCAGAGCAATGAAACAACAGAGAAACATAACTCCTGTTTTTCTACAAGCACTGACTTGAGAAGAACTTGAGCACTGCAATTGAATCCTATATGCCTATCCATTGTCAAAAAGTTTGCTAAATCCGAAGCATCTGTAGGAAAACTTGCAATTCCTTTTCCCATTGTACACCTTCCAACCTCACAGGTACCAGCATTCTTATAACCGGCCAATGCTTCAGATATAGGCAACTTTTCACATGGTATTGAAGACGGCTGACCTGATTCTAGGTGGAGACAACTGGAACATGTGTTGAGCTTTTTTCCATGAAAACAAGAAGCAATTACTTTCGGTAGTGGTGCATGCAGTAAGTGTGCCTCCAATGGTTCTGCTTTGTTAACGATGGACGCAACAACTTTACTGTGGATGTCAATTAGATTGAAAAGCGATGATGCTCTAGAGTGAATTTCGTTGTCCCACTTGCATCTTATCAGAACAGAAAGAGCTCGCATGCAAGCCTTTGAACGTCTGAACAAATCAGAGACATGTGCTGCAACCATAGCAGCAGCCACTATTTCATTTGAACTGTAACTCCATGATGTGCCAATGGAAGATGGTTTTAGAGAAAAAAGTGCCTCTAGAATTGTTAGCATCCGACGAGTATGGTAAACAGCTGAATCAACACCATTACGAAAATCACTGGATAGGCCATTTACTTTTGCAGGCTTAGCTAAATCACCAAGACTTCTGGCATCTAACTGTTCACATCCTTTTGAGATCAAAGGGAAGAGCTGAAGTTCGCAGGATAAAGCACAAACAGCCGCAATAACATAAGAATCAAATGCAGCTACCGGACCCTGTTTCTTTCCCTGTTTACTCTCCATGTCTCTATTCTTCCCATTGAGTCGTTTTGTATCTTCACCTGATTCTTCAGAATAAGAAATTTCACCTTTGGGTCGCTTGCTGCCATTGGGCTGTGCTTCATGGCTAACACAGACTGTTAAAACAACAAAAAGAAGGCGAGAGGAAAGCTCTACTGAAGCACATGAGTCTAAGAATAGGGAGTGAACCATAGTACGGAGCTCAGCAACAGCAAGGTTCTTCGATGCAGAACCAAATATATATCTAGTTTTTCTAATTTGTTCTCTAGAAAACTCAGGCGGAAACGTCCTCTGCAGTATTGCTTCAACAGTAGCAACAAATATCTTCATTAGACAGGTTTCAGATGGACTTCCACGAGGAAGATACTCAAGTACTTTAAGAAGAGGAATGTATAAGTTCCATGATAGTATAGGAGGTTGCAAAGGAGTTGCAACTATAATCTCAGGAAGATCAACAGCCGATGAGCTCAAAGGAATCAAACCATATGCAGCTTCCCATATCGTACATATCCTCCATTCAACTTCTGGCCCATGTGCACAAAGCATCGAAGCAATCCCTTGAGCAGTTGCTTCTACTGTAGCTTCGGCTGCAGGCAACTCTCTTTGCTGAAAGTTGCAATATTGGATTAAATATAGACATGAATATAGAAAATGGGGCAAAACATTAATGGAAACTACAGGATTCAAAGATTGAGATAGATGAAATACCTGCTTACGTTCAGATGAGATATAACCACCTAGAGGTTCATGCTGAACTTCAATACCATCAACATGTCTTAGTGGAGGAAAAAGTAAAGCAGGTTGAGAAAGTATTCGAAAAAGTAAAGCAGCTGCAGAATCTGCAGCAATTCCAGCTCGCATAGACATTGCAATCCCAATTGCTCGTAAGAAATGCAAGTGCATCCAATTTCTTGGAAGCTTGAACAAAGAAACAAACATCAGAACTTACATACTGCTAAGCAAAAACAACTCTTCATGAGCAGACTAATAAATATCACAGCAAACATAACCATTTTATGATGACAAGGTGAGAAGGTCTAACTTTTAGTCCTTGTATAATCATCTTTATAACTCAATATTGCACTCATATGTTTTTCATATCATCAACAAAATAAAGGAAGAAGAAAGGGAAAATAAAGGGATCTAAATTTACCCTCATTCCTGTGGCATAGTCTTCTGCTGCTCGAAGAAGTTCCACTAGTTGCACGGCAGCATCAAGTGCATCTGGAGCCCAGGATGGTGGAGCCTCAAGTAATCCAAGAAGCAGCCTTTGTGTGGCACTCGGACTAGCAATTGCATAGTACCTGCGCCAGAAAATGATATATGAGACAATGATGAATCTATTGTAGCCTCTGATAAATGATTGTTGGGAACTAACCTATGGAACAGACGTGCATAGGGTTCAAGTGCTGGAAGACCAGCCACAAGATGCTCATCCATAGGTGTTGTTGGCGGAGGAAGTAGAAGTGCAGGGACAGCTGCTGCAGTCAAGGTAGCTGTTTCATAACGAGTAACTTCCTCATCACACACACTAAGTATAACTCCAGCCCCATTAGCAACAGCCCATCGTGGAGTTGATGGCATAAGCTGGGGGTGCTTTCCAGATCCTCCAGAAGATGCTGACAATCAAGTAATTAATATTAGATATATGTGTGTGTGTGTCTATCATGATCTATCAGTTGAATAAAATTCACTGCTAAAGAATAATGTTTCGTAAATTTGCTAACAAGATGTTTTAGTTTTCAATATATAGAATTATAATTAACATGAAACTAAAGGAACATACTACCATCAGGAAGCAAGCTTAATAATAGGTTTCCACCAACATTAGGTGAAATCCCTAGCAGTGGAAACTCTTAAATTGCACTATAAGAGTCAGTACATCATTTAAGTCATGTTGTGTATAAGGACAGATAGTCAGTCCTACAGATACAGAATGCCAGATTAGGTAAGACGTGAAAATAAAAAATACTAGAAGTTCAGCATGGGAAGTTGGAAGTGAAATTCGAAAATTCCAAAAGGGCAGATTAAGATCATGCATATAGTGGACTAAATGGAGAACAAAATAATAATCATCCTACAAAATTATACTGACCAGTTGAAGGTGGCTTGAGTTCTCCGGCTGCATATTTTCCCATAACACCTCCACACCTAAATGTTTTAAAGAAATATGATTAGTTATATGAAATTCAAAACCTTGAAAGCACAAGGCACAAAACTAAAATTGAAGCTTAATTAGCCATTTCACAACTTTAAGCATGTGATGTCAGTCTCACTCACCATCGAAAATAATCACTTCTAATACCAAGAGGTGCAGCAAGCAATATATCGGTTATCCATGGAGACAATGGCCTAAATGGTTTCCTCTCTGGTTGCGTGGGAGGCAATGAAGATTCTTCATCAGTTGATTTACAAGTCGAAGCATGGCTTCCACTGCTGTTTCTATCTGTTTCACTTTCCTGACATTCCACCTTGTAAATAGGTCTGTTGTAATGTGTCAAAATTCTTAATATTTCCCCACACGCAAGGGCCCATTGCTCTGAAAACTCATTCTGTAATTGCAAAAGGTTACCACCGTCAGATTTCATTTAACATAACAAAAAGTAGCTCAAGCATTCTTATCCCATTTCGAGCAACAGAAATGAAGAGCCCAAACATGGTAGCTTTGTATAACATGCATGGAGAAAATTTAGATTGTAGATACAGTGTATTACTACCTCACTGTTGGGGCAAACGAGAGAAATGAAAGAAGCAAATGGGGGATCACTCCGATCATATTCAAATGTGCCATCGATAATACATGAAATAATTGGCAGAATAACAGCATGGCCATGCTCTGGATGGTGAAGAACAAATGTTGCTGAAAAGTGAAGCAAGTACTAGGTCATAAGTGCAGCCCAAAGTATTCTGCAAACAATGTGAAACAATCCAAGCATGGTATAAACGTACCAAGAACATCATCAAAAAGTCTTCTCTCCTTCGATGGATATCGACTTCGGATGAGCTGCAGTACCAGTATGCACCATGACTTAGAATATTTTCTTAGAAGCCATTTAAAAAATAAATTAAAATAAAGGTATTCTATAAAGTGAAAGACAAAAATAATTAAAATTAAATAAAAATAAAAATAATAATAATAATAATAATAATAATAATAATAATAATAATAATAATAATAATAAAAGGAGAAGAAAAGCTATTTCTTGCTTTATCTCCATATATAAAGCAGTCCAGAAAAAAAAAAAAAAAAAAAAAAAAAAAAAAAAAAAAAAGAATTACCTCTGCTATGTCGTCAGGAAATTGCTCTGAGGTGAATTGGCCAAAGTACTCAACATAAGCAGTAATTTGAGCCTACAGTAATTTACATTTGTTTATGAAGTTAAGAAAATGAACAAGGGTAGACTAAATATTAAGGAAAAGCTACAAAGTGATACACTGAAAAAAATATAAAGTACAATTGGCAATTAGGGAAAAATCTACTGGTTAAAACCCAATTATACAAAAGATATATGAGAATCTGTGATTCAAAATCATGCGAACTTATATTGAACAATTTTTGGCCTAAACACAACCAGTCCCAAAGCATACCTTCCTTTGTTCTGTGTCTTGCGGAGGCGGCCAAAACAATGAGGAAAACTGCAAACTATCAATCCACTTTTCATTTGAAGCTGCCATAAAACTTTTAATTTGAAACAAGATGGTCACTGTCAGCAAAGCTATCAATTTCACCAATCCAGGATCAAAAGACTATAATTCAGCATTTTTTTGAAACCCCAAAAATAGAACCGTTCAGATTTTGAACAGTTGATGCGGGCTCCAATCTTCTAGTCAAATATTAAAACTAGTTTATAGCATGAATACTTTCCAGGATTCCATACAGAATAATCTGAGAGTATATAGTATGCCTGTGTCCTGCAAAATAATAAAATTACCAAATAATAAAACTCTTCAGTCAAGCAACACCGATCGCCTAGAAAGTTGAAAGACAAAAGACACAGGATGAGATCAGAAGTACAAATTCAAGAAAAACAAATAAATAAGTAGAAGAAGAAGAAGAACTTCCATAGACAACAATAAGAAAATATTTTGAATAAACATAAATCAAACGTGCCAATCCACAATTCACCTACAAAAGTTCTTCTTGCAAGTTATATTTGTGGTTTGGTCGGTAGAAGGAAAAGGAAAATGGTAAAGAAAAAAACAAAACTGAAAGACCAAACTCCACTGTTTCCCCCAAGAGAAATAGTAGTTTCCTAGCAATTTCTCTCACTAGGATCCGATTTGCGAACATATCCCTCGCAGCAGAAAACACGGAAATTATAACTCTATAAAGCACACATCAAATTCATTTACACCGGAATTAGACATATGAGAGCGAAATCAAACGCAGTACCAATTGTAATGCATCAATAGATCTAAAAGCATAATCATTCAATTAGAAATCACAGCTAGTAAACATAGAAAAAATAAATAAATAAATAACTATTCAAGCCAAATGAATTTCCTTGTACTATATGAAAAACTAAACCAGAACGAGAGCTATCATCATCCCCAAAATAATTAATCACGCAAGCACATAACACATCCTGTGGCTAATTTTTTCATTTCCGAGAACTAAAACTAGATCACTCTCCACAGTAAATTTCACTTGACCTAAATTTCAATCAATTAACTTCTACTTCCAAGATGAGCAGAGTTTCAACATTCTCTCAAATAATCCAACAACGATCACTCATACTACACACAAATCACTTCATTAACCTTAAGAAAATTACTAAAAAAATCAAACAAACTCACAAATCTTCAACCACACAAGCTAACCAACGCAAAAAATATCTTCTCCAAAATTAAATAAAATAAAAACACATCAAAACCCTTCCCCGACCGAAAAGAGGAGCATACCGGAGTTCAAAATCCTCTGAAAATCCTACTGCAAACGGATTCCTCTGCTCGGAAATTCAGCAGCTGGTAGCAGAATATTTTGGGGGGTAAGATATTGGGTGGAGAGAGATTGGAGAGAGAAATGGTAGAATCGCTAGAGAGAGAGAGAAGAGAAGAGAAGGGAAGGAAAGAGGAGATCTTTAACTGGAATGTCTCACGTGCATACGTGGCGATGATATTTTCCTCATGCCTCGCTTGGCCATGTAAGCATCCATCCATCCATCCATCACATGACATGCCATCATGCCATGCCCATCGCCTAATTAGTGTCCGTCCACGTTATCGCCAACCCTCATTATTATAATGTTATTATTTTTTAACTTTCAGAGATTAGTCCTTTAATTTTAATTTTTTTTAACAGTAAATTTTTAATTGGAATCGATGTTCTGTTTATACAATATACTTTTATTTATGTGACACTATTTATTTTTTAAAAAATATCTCATAAAATATATTTTTTTTCACAAAATATTAAATTAAATAATAATTTTTTATTTTTTTTAAATTTTTAAATTTTCAAAAACCTCCAAAGATTTCTATTTAAACAAATCCTTAAGATGACTATAGTTTTAAATTTATATTTTGGGTGTATTTGTTTGGGGGATTGGATTTTATTTCCACTATTCTATCCCATTTTTCTCTCCAAAATTATAAAATCAAACACTTATTTTTTTTTATATTATACTCTATTAGTATTATATTGGATTATAGTAAAAAAGACAAAAATACCCCTATTAGTATGGTGTAATATAAAAGTAATGGTATTTGTGTAATATATTGTAAATTGAAAGGGTATTTATTATGTGAAGTAGGTAGTACAATTACTAAATTAGGAAATTATAAGATGGACGAAAATAGAAAATAGTAACCTTTCAATGGGACGGAAGGAGTACTAAAAATCAATTTTACATTCAAAACATCACATCAACACCTATTTATATCACATTCGTACAACTATTCAAATTCAAAATTTTTACTATTCAAATCCCAACTCAAAATCCAAATTCCCAAAACAAACACACCATTTATTTATTGGCGCGTCAGATATTTATAATACTATGTTCTTTGGTATTTTATAATTTAAATACTAGTAACTATATTTTATTTATTTATTTTATATTTTATAAAAAAAAAATGAACCATTTAATTATATTTTATTTATTTATTTTATATTTTATAAAAAAAAAAATGAACCATTTAATTATTCAATTGAGCTATAAAATTTTGTATTTTATACTATAAATTTCTAAAATGTATGTAAATTATTTTGAATAAAGTTTGATGCTTGAAATTATGAAATAACTAATAAAAGTACTATTTTCGTCAAACATAAAATATTCGATTTATTTATTTTTTCATTAGTCTCACATAATATAATTTTTAAAATATAATTATACACTTTAATCTTATTTAAAAATTTATAATTTATAATTTTTAAATTTTAATTAACCTATTTAGTTATTTTAATTTTTTTATATAATAATTATTGCTCATTATATTTTACGTAATTTCATAGATCTACATTAACTTGAACAAAATATACGGGAAGGAGAAAGTATGTTTGTGCGTTGTTTGGCATCAATTTTCATCTCTTGACTTTGCTTATTTCAATTTGTTTATAAAATTGTTTAGGTCACTTAGTTCTATTTTCTGATAAAATATTGTACTTCCTCCGTCCCACATACCGTGTCTGCTACACTGTAGACACGGTATTTTAGGACAAGTATAATTAGTAGATAATTAAGAATATTTTAGTGAAAATAATTATTCGATATATAAATAATTATAAATTGAGATTAAGATAACTAATTAATTTAATTAAAATTTTAAAAAAAAATTAAAAAGTTTAAAATGAGATTAAAGTGTATAATCATTTTCCAAAAAAAAGAAAGTGACATTGTATGTGGGACGGACAGAAACGGCAACGTAGACATAGTATGTGAGACAGAAGAAGTATAAAAGGAAAGTGACATTGTATGTGGCGTAGGGATGCTCTTTTCAATGAAACCAAAGTAACAGTTACTTGTCCGGTAAATGATGGCCCGGTGTTGTATGGATTGGATTTGTGACCGTGAGATTATGGGTTCAAATCATCGATACCTAAGAGGTATTAGGTTCGACTGCGAGTTCCCAATTCAAACATGTCAATAGATCGAGAAAAAATAATTAATAGATAATGTACATATTTTTTTTTATAGTCATATTTTTAGAAATGTTGACAATGTTTATCAATTGTAATTTTGGAAAAAGATTATTATATTAAACATTTATTTTTCTATAAGACATCGTATTACTTTTTATTAGTATTTCAAAGTTTTCTAAAATTATATAATAATAAAAAAATGCTTAAGTTTGTGGTTTAGTCCCGAACTCCGGATGAATAATCACGTTTTATTTAATAAATTGTAGAACAAGAACAATATGTAGTGGGATTAGGGGGTGGGTGGGTGGGTGGGTGGAGTATAATTACTTATTGCTTGTGATTACCTTTTTTAGTAAGTTTATTTGTATTTTTTCTATATTATTAGAATAATTAATGATACCATATGTATATAAATAATGTAGAATTCTTATATGAAATATTATATATAATTATTAATATTTATTTAAAAATAAAATACAGGGCAAAAAACAGAACCAGTATTTATTAAGTTAAAGATTTGATTAGATGGTTAAATATTTAAGGCCAAGTTGCTGAAAGGTTTAATTGAGATCAATAAATAATTATTATAAAGCACTCAAGTGGTCACGACCCTTGTCTTCTTGCCTTTTATAATAAAAATAATAAATAAATAAATAAATAAAATCATTTCATTCTTATAATTATTTTGAAGACGTAATGTACATATAATAAAATTATTTAGACCATTTTCATTATATATATATAATTAATTAATATAATAAAATGAAATTGAGAGAAGAGATGGGTGGGGGTCCATTGACAACAATAAAATTAAAGCCTAAAGTTTTCCCTATTAATAAAATGAGCCTCATAATAATAATAATAATAATAATAATAATAATTGCAAAACCAGTTTGTGTCCAAATCAGAAAAAAAAAAAACATATGCCTAACATTTCTAAATTACCACAAAATTATGAATGACAACTAAGCAATCAAGATCAATAAATTTTCATTTAATTTAAAATTTAGTAACATTTAATTACTACCAAAAAAATTTCTCTGTCTTAACATATTAGTAGTAATATTTTGACCAAATTATTTACGAAGGCATCGGGCAGTCCGACTTGGATCGATCGGAGGGAGTAAAATGATTCCGTGGTTGAGAATGAACGGTCAGGATTCGCGGGCAGGTAAAGATCTGGTGCGGGCGGTGCACCACTAAGCCGAGATATTTTTGGTGCTCTCGCCCAATGGGAGTGAAGCATTTGATTGTAAGAGAGACTGTTTTTCTCTTTAATCAAAAGGTTAAGAGTTGATATGGGACACGTGGCTTAATCAGACTCGAGATTTATATCTCCCGCAGATCTAATTATTCAACTTGCCCATTTTGGGCCCACTTCTCATGTGCATCATGCATGTATGTATGTATGTATGTACTATGTATGATGACTTATTATATTATGACCATGGTTTAGTTGCCCTTACGAATATTCCTTCACTGATTATTTATTTTCTAATTTTTTTTATTCGTCTGTAATAATAAAAATAACTAGAAATAAAAAAAATAAAAAAGAAATAAATTATTACACTTATTTTTTTAAATTTTATTATTCTGACATTTTCTTATACTTTTGCGGAAGTGCGTTATTACTTTGGTGATAGCCAGTGGGATATTAATTACTTTATTTAAATCAGTCAAGATTCTTTTTTTTTAAATTTTTTTAAATATATATTTAAATTAAAATTCAAATTATGTTTACTATTATTCTTCGAAAATTAAACCCTAAATTTAATTTGTTTCAGTGTGTCATCCATGATTGTAAAATTGTAATGTTTATCTTTAACTCTTTAGTGGGGTTAGACTTTGTAATGAAAGTCAGCTTCAATATTAGTTTATAATTTATATTTAGTGCTTCACACATATAATTTTATCAGTTAAATAAATTTATCAAAGAATATATAAAATTGTAATACAAGAAAGAAACGTACCAACTTTGAGAACAATCTAGAAAGAACTATAGAAACAAGGATGAGCCATCATTGCTAATTTTCTAATGTAGAAATTTGTCAACTTTAGTGGAAGAAAATATAAACAAAGGGCAAAGTAGTCAATGGACGGTTTGGGCTGGCCCACTTAAATATATTATTTTATTCACTAAAATAAAATAAATTAAGGTAAATAATTTACCCTCGACAGTAACACCCATAACCAAAGAACTTATTCGCAGTTAAAAAATAATATTGGCCGTTGGATTGCCGACGTGGCTCCCTGCCAGCCGCCCACGTCATTTCAGAGCCACAGGACAAAATTTGGACGGTCGAAAGTCGAAGTTCCTTTGGAGACGCATCAAATGACACAACAAAAATATCAGATAGTGATTATATTATTTAATTAAAGTGATTATTGTCATCAGAATTCTGCTAATTATAAATGTAATATTTTAATCAATCATTGCCCAGTTCCAATCTGTTGAGCAAATTGTTTAGTACCTTGATGTGATATAATGTAATGGGCCTTAATTGGGCCTCCGATATGGGCTTTTAGAGTTCAGCTTTCAAGTCATCTAGTGGATCAGGCACAGATTGTCCAGCTCAATTTAATCCAAATCCTAATGCAATGTAATGGGCCTATGTCTGGACAAATTCACAAGATACTGTGTGTTCGTGTTAATTTCCCCAAGATTTTATTATTTATCAATTTGTTTTTTAAAAAAATATTAAATCAAACAAGTATCTTTTATTTTTATTTTATATTATTATATAAAAAATTAATTTTATATTAAATAACACCTATTTATATTAATATTAGGTCATATATATAACTGTTACAATTCAATATTTTTAGTAGAATATTTAAATCACAGCTCAAAATAACAAACTAGTGTGTTTCAACATGATAAGTAAGCACTATAACATTAATCCCTGTTAACTGACATTAACAAGGAACATTTTTTCACCTTATTGGAATCACTTTAATGGAGGATTGTCGGAGAGAGAGAGTCACATGGAATCTGCTCGACCACTTTGTTCTTGAGAAACAAGGATCGATAATCGACGAAGCAACAGATCGAAGTCATCTTGGCTCTTCAGAAGGCTGAGACGTACGTAACGATCTTCCGATCCGAAGACGCTCCCTTCTCGGCCGACGATGTTTCCTGCCCGGAGGACCGCTGAGCAGTCTTTGTCTTCTTCCCTCTCGCATTTCACCCACGCATACGCCGGCGATGGTCCCCTGACTCGCTCGAAGAACCTGCAGAACCGCGGAGGAATTTCCTGGATGCTAAAACGCTTCGACGACGATATGATCTTCCCAAGTTTCTCCCACCGATCGCTCAATGTTTCGTAGGCAAACCGGAAGATTTGCTTTCCGTCGCCTTGCCGGAGAATGGCTTTGATGAGTTGCAGAGCTCTGAGCTGAGTTTCCTTGGAGGTTCCCATTTCTGCAATCTCGATGTAACGCTGCATATTCGCCGAGACCTGCTTGTCCCTCACTAAAGCCCACCTGACGAACAGTTGCCGTGCAGTTTGTTATTTGAGGAAAATTGGGAGAGATGAAGATGTGATGGATCGATTATTTTATTTTGTTTACCCTAAGCGGCTTCCAGCGTGTCCTGTGACCTTGGACATGGTGAAGAGCATCAGATCTTCGTCGGCCGGAGCTGGAATTGCGGTGTAGTGAGGCCAATAGTAGGCACGATCGTACACCACCTTCACATTAGGTCCTGTAAGAACTCCGTTCATCAACTGCGCATCCGGATTGTTCGGCGAAGTCACGACCTCGATGAGATCGCCGGAGGCGTTGTTCAGCGACGACGCCTCGCCGCCGAACTTGAACCTAGCAGTTTGGAAGTAGTCTGTCTGCATCTGATAAAGCTGTGTGTACGCACCTCAAAATCTAGGTCAATCTCATCAGTTTAATACTTCAGCAGCAATCAGAGAGAGTTTTAGCTATTGAGGAATGAATTAGGATGATTACCGAATAGTAAGGGGCGGTGGTGACGACCTGTGCAGGGGAGGAGAGATTGTCGCGGATGGAAAGTGCGAAAACTGCAGCGGAGAAGAGCTGAGTTGATCCGGTGCCGATGACGATGTGCTTGTTGCGAACGACGGCGTTTTTGGCGATGGAATGGAGGCGGCGAATGTGTAGGTCGAGCTGAGGGGAAATGAAGGAATGATCTGGAAAAACATAGCTCATTCTATGCCATCCTGCTATCACAACTGCACTGTTCTCTGCATTTTGATTTTTCATCCAGAACGGCTCCAAATACATCGGATCTCCACTGCAAATCACCATCACCATCAATCCATCATACACATAATATATCATTCAATATATGAAGATTGAAGCAGTGAGAGTGAAACCGAAACTAATATGATCAGATATAAGAGTAGACCGACCTATCTGCATCAGCAACACAGTGATTTGTGAAATTGAAGAAAGAGCAACGAGGACCTTCGTAGCACTGGTTGCACTCACAGACAGGAGGACCTGATCCATCTCCATCTAAATAAGCTCTTCCATGGCCAGAGCAGTTAATTGCAGCAACAGCTTCCGCTTCTTCTGCAGCTCGTCTGCTCCACCTATGATTCCGATTCTGATGCGTAACTAGAAAAATGTTGAGAGCAACTGAAGTTACGAGGCACAACCAAAAAATCGTTACCCTCATATCTAACTGCCTCACTTCGCTTTAAATTAAGAGATTCGATCGAGGTTGAAGGCAATACATAATACGATTAACTTAATTAATTAATATGCCTCAGAAGTATCTTCCACAAGAAATACTACTAATCCCATAAATAAATACTATTAATTCATATATATATATATATATAACTAAGCATGTAAATTAAAAATTGCAAATTGCAATTGCGAAATACTACAAATCAAAGTATTGTGGGAGACAAATTACGTAGCTATCAGCCGCCTTGACTCGGAGCATTCAAACTCCAAGTGCTACTCCTCGACACTTCATTATTGTATTTTTATTTATTTATTTTATGATGGATTAATTAACTAGGAGTTGGTCTTTGTTTAATTATATTTTACACTGCCGTTCAAAGTTTGTTTTCATTGTTTGAAATAACCTTTTTTGTCCTCTGACTTGTACATTTTTTTTTTTTTTTTTGATCTTTTTTTCCCCTTACCAATATTTCACGGAAGTAATTTGATAAAGTGTATGAACAAAAATATCCTTACAAGTATAAAATTCACACTTTATGTATTAAATTAAAGAGTGACATTATTATAATTTTTTAATGAAAAATTAAAATATTTTATTGTTTGTACATGAATTATATTTACTAAATTAAAATTTTGATATATTGATGGGAGACAGTTCAAAATAACAAAATAAATACATTGATATGAGACAAAAATACTTAATCCATTCTTTTATTAATAATAAACATATTCTATAATTCAAAACATCTACAAACAAAAACAATAGAGACGCTCTCCCATTTGATAAGTATATAGATTATATCATTTGTAAAAAATGACCTGATAATGTAGAAATAGATTCGTTATATAAAAAATGACCTGTTAATGTAGAGATAGATTCGTTATAATGGAATTATTAGTCCAAATATAGATACTCTTTATATTTCATTTGTGTTCAATAGTTCATTCTATGTGATTACTTTCACCCATTATTTTTGTTTATTAAAATATTATCGCATATAGGGTTTGTTTTTTGGGTTTGGTTTGAGATATTAAATTAATATTTGACTAAATATTTTGATAAAAAAATGTATTTTTGAGAGTTTTTTAGCCATAAAAAATAATTTAATGTGTTCTTTTAATAAACTTTAACAAATTTATATTATTCATAAAAAATTCTTTTTTGAAAAATATGAAATAAAATATTTATTTTTTATTTTATATATTATACTAAAAGTTAAATTTACATTTAAAATATCAAATAAATATATATTCATATTTTATTGTACAATAATTTTAATTTAAAATTTTTATTATTTAAATATAAAGCAAAGCAAAACCGACAAAATTCCAACCTCGTTAAATATCAGAGGCTTTGGCGAACACCTTGTGCATGATCTGGCAGTGATGTTATCCGATGGGCCTTACTTGGGCCCAACATATTGGCTTTGAGTGTTAGTCTTCCAAGTCATCTAGCGGATCAAGCCTACATGGCCAAGTATGAGCTCAATGAAATAAATTCAGGCCCAAGCCCAAGTTCGGGTCTTAATAATTAATATATACCTTCTTTATTTTAAGACCCATTAACCTTACAAAAAAAAAAGACGCTAATATGGAGTAAATGACATTTCAAAGCCAACGAATCATTGGCTGAGATAAAGGAGGATTGTGGTTTGTGAGTGAGTGAGAGTCACATGGAATCTGCTCGGCTCCCTCCTTGTTCTTGAGAAACAAGGATCGATAATCGACGAAGCAGCAAGTCGAAGTCATCCTGGATCTTCAGAAGGCTGAGGCGTACGTAACGATCGTCGGATCCGAAGAGGCTACCTGCTCGGCCGACGATATTTGCTGCGCGGAGGACCGCACAACAGTCTCTGTCTTCTTCCCTCTCGCATTTCACCCACGCATACGCCGGCGACGCTTCCCTCACTCGGTCGGAGAAGATGCAGAACTGCGGAGGGATTTGTTGGATGCTAAAACGCTTCGACGACGACATGATTTTACCTAGCTTTTCCCACCGATTGCTCATTGTCTCGTAGGCAAATCGAAATATTTGCTTTCCGTCACCTTGCCGGAGAAAGGATTTGATGAGTTGCAGAGCTCTGAGTTGAGTTTCCTTTGAGCTTCCTATCTCCGCAAGTTTGATGTACTGCTTCATATTCTCCGAGACCTGCTTGTCCTTCACTATAGCCCACCTGTCGAACAGTTTTCGTGCAATTTGTTATTTGAGGAAAATTGGGAGAGATGAAGATGTGATGTGAATGTGAGGGATCGATTATTGATTTGTTTACCCTAAGCGGCTTCCGGCGTGTCCCGTGACCTTGGACAAGGTGAAGAGCATCAGATCTTCGTCGGCCGGAGCTGGAATCGCGGTGTAATGAGGCCAATAGTAGGCACGATCGTACACCGCCTTCACATTAGGTCCAGTAAGAACTCTGTTCATCAATTGCGCATCTGGATTGTTCGGCGAAGTAACGACCTCGATTACATCGCCGGAGGCTTTGTTCAGCGACGACGCCTCGCCGCCGAACTCGAATCGAGCAGTTCGGAAGTAGTCTGTTTGTGTCTCGTATACCTTATGAGCTCAATTTGGCGCCGGTGATCATCAGTTAGTTAGTTACTGAAAATGACGAGGAGAGACAGTTTGACGTAATGGAAAAGAAAGGATGGTTTGATTACCGGATAGTAAGGGGCGGTGGCGACGACCTGTGCAGGGGAGGAGAGATTGTCGCGGATGGAAAGTGCAAAAACTGCAGCGGAGATGAGCTGAGTGGATCCGGTGCCGAGGACGATGTGCTTGCTGTGGACGACGGCGTTATTGACGAGAGAATGGAGGCGGCGAATGTGGAGGACGAGCTGAGGGGAAATGTAGGATAGATCTTGAAAAAAGTAGCTCATTCTATGCCATCCTGCTATCACCACTGCACTGCTCTCTGCATTTTGCTTTCGCATCCAGAACGGCTCCAAATACATCGGATCTCCACTGCACATCGCCATCACTATCAGCATTACCATCACCGTGGTGCGCATTACAAAATCATTCAGTACATACATCAATTATGAAGATTAACTGAAGCAGCGAGTGAGAGATAGCGAATCAACTGATAAGACCGACCTATATGCATCAACAACACAGCGATGGCTGAAATTGAGGAAGGAGCAGTGAGGACCTTCGTAGCACTGGTTGCACTCACAGACAGGACCATCTCCATCTAAATAAGCTCTTCCATGGCCAGAACAGTTGAATGCAGCAACAGCCTCCGCTTCTTCTGCAGCTCGTCTACTCCAGCCATGCTTCTGCTCATGATTCCGATTCTGATATGCGAGTAGAAAGACGTTGAGAGCAACTGAAGTTAGAAAGCACAACCATAACATCATCATCCTCATCCTCATCCTCACAAACTCTCCCTATCTCTTTCCGGCAATAAATGATACTCTTTAAGTTGTGTTGCGTCTGGTTAAATCCCCAGGGGGTTAACCGTACCAGCGGCATGGCCAAAGTCGTTTGTCGTCTGTCAGATATTTTGTCATTTTCTATTGGTGCAGTGCAGTTCAATGATTTCACAGAATTGTTTTGATAGAGCATGCAATTCCAAATAAATTTAATTTCAGGTGTTTTTAACACTCTTCATCATCGAGTAATTTATTGTTATCATAACAACAACTTAATTATAAATTGTCAGAGGAAAATCGATCCAGAACAAGCTATAGCTCTAATCCAAATAACGATCATTGTATTGTATATATATAAATATTCATATAATGAATGATGCATGCAAATTGCAATTGCGACCAGCAGCCTTGACTCGGTATCATTCAAACTCACGTGCTATTCCTCAACACGTTTTTTTTTTTTTTTTTTAATACTATATACTACCTCTACTCTTGTTCTAAAAATTTTATTTATTTATTTATTTTTTATTTTTATGTATTAATGTAATTATTATATCAAAACGTAATAAAAATTAATAAAAAATTGCATAAGTACTTACATAATGTCGTGTAATAATAGAAAGATATTTGTAAAAAAATTTATAGAATAGTTTTAATATCAAGTATAATGACATAATAATAGAAGGATATTTGTAAAAAAATTTATAGAATAGTTTTAATATCAAGTATAATGACATAAAAGAGATCTTAGAAGTAGACGTAAGAAATATTATCTTCTTACTTATTGTTGACTAATATAGGTTGTGTTGTTTTTGTGATTTCATTTTTATCTTTTTACAATTCAATCTTTACGTTTATTAAGTAACATATATTTTACAAAAATATTAAATAAATTATATATAATAAAATTATTTACTATACAAAAGACAAATTGTGAGGTAATTTTGATAAGAAGATGGAATATCATATAGCATTAAAAAAATATGAATTTTTTTTTCTTCTGGTAGATTTTTACTATCAATTTGTTTAATGCTTTAGAGTTAGTTTTTTTTTTTTTTTTTTTTTTTTTTTTTTTTTTCTTAAGTTAATATTTTATATATATATATAAATAATACTAAAAGAATAAATTTACTTTTCCATTTCAACATATTTTTTTTTTACTATAAATGACAACAAATACATATCACATTAAATTTTATGCCAAAAAGTAAAACTATATAGGATTTGTTTTGTTGTGTTTAAAAATTGGTTTGAAATTTATTTAAATATTATTTTAATGTGATATTTTGTGATAAAATACATTATATTTTTATTAAAAAGTGTGTCGAGTGAATAATATTGATGGGAGTTTAAAATTGTTAAAAATCAAGCTCATATTACTTTATTATTATTAATTGATAACTTTGATATGACTAATTATAAAATAATAAATAAAACAAATTATTAAAATATATCATATAAATTTATTAGTTAACCTTAAAAGTTACTATATATAACCAATAATAAGTTTAAAATTATAAATCAATTTTAAAAATATTAATATATTTATAAAAATTAATAAACATAGTGCATTTATATTTTAAATTTACATTTTTATTTACAGCATTCAATTTTTTTTTATTTTTATTTTTAATAAAAACATCCTAAAAATTTCATACTAATAATCATGAATTCTGATGAAACATAATCCAAAGCACAAAAAGCTTTAGTACCTTTCAACATACCCGGCTAAGGCTAAAATCCAGAACAACAAGTTAGAAGCAAAAACAAGGCACCTTTATATGTCAATATTCTTGATTATAACTTTGAAAATACTTTTCATATAATAATTTACATTTTAAAAAAATAATTCAATATAATATTTGTTTATTAAAATTAATTTATTTCTTATTAAAAATACTTGAAACTTGAAATATAAGTAAACAGGCCGGCTATTTATTAATTTCATTACAATACAAAGCTTGATGAACCCATCCGAGTTTCGACCGGCTAGCAACTCCGATGAATTCCTAAAAAGACCGGCCGGTGAACCGTGCTTCCGATGGTACGGAACCGGTGAGCATTTCAACGGACAGCCGCAAGGCCGGCCCTAGTAAACGGAACCATCGGGATTCGATCATTTAGCGCCGCCTTCGCCTTGGCGCTATTTTTTTTGTCATAGACTAGTTGGTTGAGGCGTGAAATCATAATATTGAAGTCGTCATCCCTCATCAAAAGGTTTAGGCGAACATAATGGCTATCGGCATTAAATTCCACGCCCCCCCGGCCTATGATATTCTCCGTTTCAAGGACTTTTTCGCAATCTACCTCCTCTTCCCTCTCGCATTTCAACCACACATAAGCTACGAATGTAAACGTAAAGATTTGAGTTTAACGCATGTAAAAACGAAAAGCAAGTGTGACATTGAATATGTTATAACATGTAAATGACGGTCTCACTTAAAAACTTAACTATTAAGGATTATAATTTATTTATTTATCTACCAGCAGAAGTCCTTGTGCAATTAAGTAAATTGAAATCATTGTACCTGGAGATGAATCCCGAACTCGATTGAAATAGGTGCAATAGAGGGGTGGAAGGTGTTGGATGCTAAAGCGATTGGACAAAGATATAACTTCGTTTACAATGCGCCAACGGTAGCTCATCTTTGCGTAGGCGTGCTCAAAAAGCTCGGCGACGTCGTTTCCTTGAAGAATTGTTTCGATGACCTTGAGTGCCCGCAATTGAACCTCCCTCGGAACTCCCATCCCGGCTAATTCAATGAAGTTGGTCATCGTTGCGTACACATCCTCGTCTCTCACAAACGCCCATCTGTCCAAATGAATAGTGATCAACACAAGAAAAATCCAAAAAATAATTGTTTGATAGTAATGGATGAGGCTTTTAGTCACCCGAATCGGCTTCCGGCATGACCGGTGAACTTAGACATCGTAAAGAGCATGACATCTTCATCTACCGGACCAGGGATCGCGGTGTAGTGTGGCCAATAATAGGCCAAATCATGGATAGTTTTCCCTTGTAACACCGGCCCGCGAAGACTGCCGTCCGGGTTATTCGGCGAGGTCACAAATTCGATGACGCGATCTCCGTCGGCGGAAGCATTGGACACATCTCCGGCGAACTCGAAGATCCCGTTCTGGAAGAACTCCGTTTGCCTCCTGTAATACTACAAAGACACCATACACAATACTTTGAACCATATTTTATAAGTTCATCGTACATGCACCAAATTTTATTTTATATATAAAAAAAATCCGTAAATTTGGTGTATATATTGGTATACCAAAATTTTCGATCGGGTATGATAAACCCTATAGATCGATATTTTTGTAGAGTAATAATTAATCATTAATTCAGTAAGAGTTTTGGAGTTCAAATTCGGGTCAAACCGGGTAGAAAGGGGAGGCGGCCACCACTTTGGTCGGCGCCGGCGCCGGCGCCGGCGACGATGAGTTGAACTTGACGGCAAGTGCATAGGTTGCGGCATTAAGAAGCTGCGTAGATCCAAGGCCAAACACGATCCGTTTCCCGTCGATGATTGCATTTTTCGACACGGTATGCAATTGACGAATCCGATTCTCGAGCTGTTCCGAGATGTAGCTGCCGTCGGGATAGTCGTAGCTCATTCTGTGCCAGCTCGAAATCACGACGGCGGCCGCGGCGGCGTGATCTTCCCAGAATGGCTCCAAATACAGAGGATCCCCACTGATTCATATCCAAAAGCACAAACACAACCGATTAACGTACGTAATTTCAATATTAATTTTAATTTTCAAATTAAGACAATGATTTTAAAATTAGGGTTAGGGTTTCAACATTTGGGCCTCGAGCGGACAGTGGGGAGAAAATTGGGAGCAGTCGGGGCCGCTGTAGCAGGAGTTGCACTCGCAAATGGGAGTTTTTTGGTCGCTGCTAAGGACTCCATCGACGTAAGCTCTTCCATGGCCTGAGCAGGCAATGGCAGCCACGGCTTCGGCTTCTTTGGCGGCTCCTTGGCTCCAGTTCGGCGTGGCTGATATTGATAAGTATGGGTTGATGAAGAAGAAGAGATTGAGGCCGAGTGAAGCTAACAATAAGAACAGCGTGCAGAAGAATAAGCCGAGCCCTATCCAAGCCGGCTTCATGCTTGCTTCTTGTTTGTTTGACGACGAGCTATAGCTAGCTACCGTTGGTAGACAATAGACATGCACGAATATATATATAATACTACTACTACTTAAATTTAAAAATAATTTGAAAATAATATTAAATCCATTGTTCCGCTCGAAAATTATTTGTATATAAATAATGTCTATTTCTAATAGTTCAAACTTATAACTTGTGACCTTATCATCTAAATATATTTTAATGAGAATCTTTTTGTTTGTAGGTAATAAATTTAAGGATTGTTGTAAATATAGGATGGCATTAATGAATGGTATTGGTGTAAATGATACTACTTCTTTGTATGTAATAATATTAATGTAAATTAACAATAGTGTTGTAGAATTGTACTTTCTGTATGCAATGGTATTAATGTAATTGTATTACTATAAATAATGATTATTATTATGATTTTGTATGTAACACCCATAAATGTAATGTATTCACTAAGTTTAAAGATATTTGTAATGTAATAACAGATTCATAATTTTACTAAACAATTATGGGTGTGTTTATTGTGTGAAATGATTTCAAGGGATTTTTGTACATTAAATATATAGAGAATTGTATAGGTAATATAAAAATAATAAAATTTTGTAATATATTACTCCCTTCGTCCGGGTTACGGTGTCCCCTTACTGTACACACGAGAATTTAGAAGGAGTATAATTAGTAAATAATTAAAAATGTATTAGTGAAAATAATAATCGTATAATAAAAATAAATTTAGATTAAAATAACTAATTTGTCTAATTAAAATTAAAAAATTAAAAATAAGATTAAAGTGTATAATTTTTTTTTTTTTTTAAAGTGACAGAATTATGTGTATTTATTATTTTATTTTATTTTTTTTTTACAAAAACAACACACTATAAGAAAGTGAAAATGGACATAAGCATATAAGTGAGTAGGAGGCATTTTCATCGTTCAAATTTATGTCCATTTTTTAAAATTATCATTAAAAAATATTTTTATTTTTTTAGTTAAACAGTATATATATTTACTTTTTTTACTATAGAAGATAAAAATAGTAGTAATAATTATTATTGAATTTTATTAAAACTCACAGGTAACCATTTGAGGACAAATTTGAACGGGAGGAATTATTAACATTTTTTGTTTCAGACAATTGGACCCAAACTTTCAATTGACTAATCAAAGCTAGTGTATTTTGTCTAATTTAGGTGAGAGAGAGAACCACGCCAAGGAAAAAGTGAAAATAGTAAAATGGCACGAGTTTTTCACGTTCTAGATCATACCAATTAATTAAATAATATTTAAATTAAATTTTGTTTTTTTTTTAATAAAAATATCGCTTGTTAATTACGACCTATTGCCAAATCTCTAAAAAAATCTGGCTTGGAAATAGAAATTTTTTATATCCAAAATTTTAAATAAGTTTGGTATTGTTATGAGAAAATAATGAGACTATGTTTACCTTTTTGTTTTAATTTTTATTTTCGTAATTTTACATTAAAAAATAAAATAAAATTCTCAAGACATTAAATTCAAATAGTTATTTATTTTATTTAAAATATCATATCAAATAACAGTATATATAAATAAGTTCAACCTCATCATCCTTATGAAACCAAATATTCATAATATTTTTTTTTTTTGGGATGATGTGGGAACCCGCAGTCGCTATCCGAAAGTGCGCACTGGGTAAACCTCCGGTCGAATTTAATATCCTGCAAATCAGGCCCGACGGAAAATAGCCAAACCTGGCAGGTGACTTGAGGTAAAAATTTTAGGGTGTGTTTGTTTGGAGGATTGGATTTAAATTCAACTATTCATCCAATTTTTTTCCCCTTAAAAACATCAAATCAAACACTTATTTTTTATTTTTTATATTATACTAAAAATCAATTTTACATTCAAAATATCACATCAACACCAATTTATATCACATCACACAACTATTCAAATTTAAAATTTTTACTATTCAAATCTCAATCCAAAATCCAAACCCCCACACAAACACAAAAGTACTTTTCAAATAAAAACAAATTTTATATTAATTGAAAATAAAAGTATTATGCATGCATTGAATTTGAATACAATTGTATATTTAAATTAAAATAAATATAGGTGTGCTATTTTGAACACAAACTAGTATAATAATTTAAATAAATTATATTTCTTGTAATGTAATATTTATTTAAAACAAAAAAAAATATTAGAAATAAACAATAAATAATAATAATAATAATAATAATAATAATAATAATAATAATAATAATAATACAGCACGTATATTAAATTATGGAGATGGTCCAATGGTCCATCGATTTTTGTGGACTGCGCGGTTTTGCATAAAGTCCATGCATGTGTTACTATCTCGTCTTATATATTTAGGTCAATTATTTTGTTGTTCTTGTTGGATTTCTTCATTTTTATTATTTTTTTATATATTATTATTTTTTTTAATGACGTGGGAACCCGCAGCCGCTACCCAAAAGTGCGGTAAACCCCCGGCCGAATCTAATACCCTGCAAATCAGACCCGACGGAAAAAGTCACACTAGACGAACCATGTGTGGCAGGTGACTTGAGACGTCGAAAGTTTAAACCCATGACCTAATGGCCACAAGTCCAACCCCTACACCACCAGACCATCCCTTACGGGACAAAGATCAGTAAACTAGACTTTTAGAATTGAATGGAAGTAATATTAGTTATTGAACAAGATTTATATATTTAAATATATGTATTTAATACACAAAAAATATGGTAATAGTGCACAGTATTACAAGTTTGGGCTTGGAAATAGGCCCATATAGATTTTTAAGCCCACATACTGTACAAAAACCTTTGCACTAAAGTTTATTCGAAATCCCCTAATTTATTTTTAAGTCTTATAGGGTTTGTTTGTTTCGGGTTAAAAATTGGGTTTGAAATTTGAAAATTACAAAAATTTAAGTTGAAATAAAATTTTAATTTGATTTTTTTTTTTTATGAATTAAAAATTAAAAATTAATACAATATTTTTTTGAAAAAAACAATTATTTGATTGGATAGCTTCAAGTCGTCGTTGTTGGTTGCACTAATGTTTATATATTATGAAATTTTAATTATGTTACATTTTATCATCATAAATTTATTATGTATTTATATATATATACTTAAGCATTAAATACTATAAAAGGAAAAATAGATAATGATGTATACATGTTTAATGTGTTTGTTTGGTTTGGAGTTCGAAATTGATTTGAAATAAGATATTAAATTTAAATTTTTATATAAATCATATTTTTATATAATATATTGTAGAAAAAATAATATATTTTTTAATAAAAATTATGCGAACTCAATATTCAAATTTTTTCTTTGGTAATTTTCTTTTATTTTTTATTATGTAACTATAGAATTTTTTATAAAAATATATTAATTTTCTAACAAATTAATTTTTTATTTAAACAAAATAATTATAATAAAAAAATTAAAAAACACCCAATTTTTGAAAAAAAAACAAAAGAGTTTTTTTTTTTTTTTTTTTTTTTTTTTAGTACAATGTGTTGGCATTGTGGACCATAATTAAGTAATTTATTGTCACGATCAAATATATATTCTTTATTTTTTTACTTATCTTATAATTTTCACAATTCTTTTTTTTTTTAAAAAAAATATAATTAATTTTTGAACAATGTGAATCGGGTTTTGAATTAAAAAATTTATTACCCATGGTGATAGTTAAAAATGATCATATATAATTTTTTAAATGTAGTTTCTATTTGTAACAAATAATATTTATATAATTTTTAATTATATTGTTATCAACTTTTCAACTAATTATATTTTTATAAGAATATTTAAAAAAATAAAGGAGGGAGCAAACTAATTACTTGTTTTAAATGGTTTATAAAAAAAAAAAGAAAAAAAAAGGATGATGATTCTTTCATTTTAATAATAATAAATATATATATGAGTTAATATTAAAGAAAAATCCAAGTAAAATGATTATGGAAATCAAATAGAAACACATAAATCCAAAAATAATTCAGATTTGTCCATTGGTGTGTGCACAAAATAAAAACAAAAAAGTAAACATCATTGAGTAGAGGGTGAGTCATATGGATTGATACTTTTGTGATTTATCATTTTCAGATTTATTTATTTATTTATTATTATTTTGTTGTTGTTGTTCTTAAATAAGTGTGATATATAATACTCTCTCCGTCCAGCTACAAAGTATACATATTTATATTTTGGGACGTCCAACTACAAAGTAACAATTTTATTAAATATTCTCATTTTATTTTCATAAATATCCTTACTTTATATCACATCATTACTTTTATATAAAAAAAAAACAAGGGCAAAAATATCATTACACTACTTTTATCTACCTACTATAATTAAAATACTATTATTTTTTAAATTTTGCGACAAAAATAAATATATACTTATTGCTTGGACGAAGAAAGTATTAAAATAATGATGACTTTTTTGGAAATGTATATTCAAAAGTTTTCAGTAATTTATTGTGGACAAGAAATATGCCCATATTAGGTTTAATACAAATTATATATATAAGTATAGATCATATTTTTCAGATTGATTTGTTTCAATTATTGAACTTAAGGGGATTAATTAGTGGGCTAAGCTATATTTGAACTAATTAAGTCAATTAATAAAGTGATTAATTTAATTAATATGGGATTAAATTAAATATACCATTAAGTAGTGTATTTAAATACATTTATGTTTAATTAAGGTAACATAGATATTAAATTGCCAAATCAAATTTTAGATTAATCAAGCAACATATAGTTCAAATACAAATACTATACATTAAATATTTGTTCATTCCCATTTCAAGATTTAATATATGTATTTTCTCAATTAACCTAAATGAATAAAATTTATTTGTATTATATTTAAAAAATTTATATTATGAGTTATATTATATACATAAAATATTATTGCAATTTTAATTTGGTTCGATTAAATTTGAAATATTTACGAATATTTTTGATTAATTTGAATTTTTTTATTATTATTGGATGTATTTTTATTTTAAAAATTTGATTCGATTCACATTATTTGCAAATTACCCAAGTATTTTCAATAACCAAACTTCCGGTTAAATAAAAATTTAAATTCTAATATGGTTTACAAATCCAGATATCTATTCAATTCAATATGAATACCAAATACTTATACATTTACAAATAATCGAATCATACTGATGAGCTACAAGCGTTCAACCGACGAGACTAAGTTTTGCTTGAACGACTAAAGCCCAGACAATTTTGTGCAAGCCCACAAAAAATTACATATTAAATATGACCCGACGCATTGGAAAGACCATCAAATGTTAGTCTATCCGAATTAATTGTGGAAATTACATCTATAATTGTCAACATAAATCATAGCAGCAAATATTTTTCGGAAAACTTCCGGCAAGCCTTCCCGACAATGCAGCTTTTCTTTTATTTTGTTCATCAAAACTTCGAAATATAGAAAATATTAGGGTCCCAAAATTATAAGTATAACTATTTTATTTTCGAAAATGTTACAAAGCCTAAGAAATTTTGTGCAAGCCTACAAGAAAGTCCATGCAATACATGGCCCCATGAATTGGGTAGTCTATCATAATTTATTATAAGAGTTATTTATTTCGTGGCAATTATAACAAGAAACCATTACACTAAACCTATTATTACTATTACTTAATTGAAAAAGGAAGGGTATTTTCTTATCATTAGGTCTCATTGAAAGATTACCGTTTTCTATTTTGGTCCATTTTCTAATTTAATAACTGTACTATTTACCTAGCATAATAAATACCCTTTACTACACAAATGTCATTACTTTTATATTACACCATACTAATAAAGGTATTCTTGTCTTTTTCACTACAATCCAACATAATACTAATATTCAAAAATTTACGTGCAAAAAGCAAATGCCCGGGATTTTAATTAATTAATTATTTCATGAAAAATATTTATACATTGATTATTTTAACGCTGAAAAATGAATTGCTTACAATATCTTAAACCATTATCAACAGATAAATTGTTGGCCTACATCTTATTACTCAATTGGAATTGTGTGTGTTTTTGTTTTCATTTTATACATTTTTTTTTGTTTTCAAATGCTGGGTTTGTTTGGGTAATTTTACTATTTAATTATGATTTAATTGTGTGTGTTTTTGTTTTCATTTTAATTATGCTAGTCATCCAATTCGAAGAAGAAAGTGTGATGATATGGTCCAAGAAGAAGATGAGTTCACTAAAAAAGTTGAAGTCCATGAATAATAAGATTCAAGATTTGGCAATATAAATATATAAATATAAATGTAAATATAAATATATTAAATTCCAAGACACATAATTAAAAAGTTTAGCCATTTTATCTCCATTTATCCACTTTCTTCCCATCTTCTTTGCCTTTGATTTTTACTTTTTGTTTTTTCTTCATATTCTACATTTATCCTTAAATTTAAATTTATTTACTTCCAGTTTTAAATTTCTAAATATTTTTTTTTTTATATATATTTTCAACAATTTCCAACATTAAATTCATGCATTCCTTTTATTTTATCCAATTTGTTGAATTTACTTATTATTATTACCTTTAATTTATTTATTTTTTCATTTTCGTTGTTTTTATTTTATTATATTCATCTAACTCCACTGCACAAGACCAAGTCCTTATACTCTATTGAGTTCTTCTAGCATAATTTTTTTAAATAGCATAATTTAAATAGATATTGATCTATTTTTACCTTTATATTAATTTAAATAGATAAAAAAGAGTAACAAAAAATTGATGTCTAAATAACCATACCACAGTGAATATATAAACATACAAAAATATATCTTATAAGTAGAGAGAGGAAATATTATATATTAAAACAAATAAAAAAATATTTATAATATAATTTGATGAACAAATTTAATAAAAAATGAATACCAGTATTATTATTTGAGTAAAAATTATTTTTGGTCCCATTCAAGATCAAAATTATGGTCCCATTAAAAAAAAAAATTATCAATTTTAGTTCAAACTCAAATAAAAATTTATCAATTTTAGTCCCAAAATAGTTGATTGGGACTGAACACGGCCATGTTGGCTTGAATACGGCCGTGTTGGATGACTCAGAAGGTGACTGGGCGTCCCAGGCAGCCAACACGGCACGGCTGTGTTCCTGCCCGTGTTATGAACACAGCCATGTTCCTTGCCTATGTTCTCAACACAACCAACCATGTTCTAGGCCATTTTCACGACTATGTTTTCAATATAATCATATTGTAGGTCATATTTATTATTTTTTTCACTTTTTTATTAAAATTATTTTGACATATATATTTATAATTTAATAAAAATATTTTTTATAATTATTTTATAATATAAAAAAAATCAATTTTTAATATTTTTAAAAAATATAAAAATAATAATATATTAATATATATTTTTTAATGATACTCCCTCCATCCCACTTACCATGTCCACATTGCCGTTTATATCCGTCCACATTACATGTCACTTTCTTTTTTTCGAAAAATATTTACACACTATTTTTAATTTAATTTTAATTTTAATTAAACTAATGAGTTATTTTAATATTAATTTATAATTATTTATATTATATGATAATTATTTTTATTAATACATTTTTAATTATCTACTCATTATACTTATCCTAAATTCTAGTGTCTAGTGACCCAGATATCCAACGTAGGACGGAGGGAGTATTATTTTAAAATATTAATATTTTTATATATTTTAAAAATATTAAAAATTGATTATTTTTTATATTATAAAATAATTGTAAAAAATATTTTTCTTAAATTATAAATATATATTAAATAATTTTAACAAAAATGTGAAAAAAAATAATAAATATGACCTACAATATAATTATATTGAAAACATGGTCGTAAACATGGCCTAGAACATGGCCGTGTTGAGAACATGGACAGGAACATGATTTAGAACGGCTGTGTTGAGAACATGGGCAAGAACATGGCTCTGTTCAGAACACGGGCAAAGCACGAGCAAAAACACAGCCGTGTTAAAAAATGCAGGGTAATCGACGCCCAGTCACCTTCTGAATCATCCAGCACGGCCATGTTCAAAATTTTCAATTTTAGTGCCAAAATTAATAATTTTGATATTGAATGGGACAAAAAATGATTTTTACTCTTATTATTTTCAGACGTGTGCGTGAGTCGGTGTCGGAGCCCCAGCTGCATGCACCGCGTGACACGCACACGCGTTTCAATAGCGTCGCTAGCGTATGTATTGATTGATGATTCCTTTTCCCTTTCTCAGATACTCCGACAGAGAACTTAATTATTCTTATTCTCCCACACTATAAATTCGATGCAAGACCAAGATCCAACCAGATTCCATTTCCAATTTCCAATTTCCAATTTCCATCCACCAGGTACAACTCACTCTTTCGGATCAATCATCATCATCATCATCATCAATGGCGGTGAAGGCTGAAGGATATTATCATGTACATGTAAAAGATATTCTTCTGCCTGAGGACCTCATCAAAGAGCTAATATCACTTGCCTCCAAATGGGGAGACGTCATTGATTTCACTGCTCTCAATTTGGTTCATCTCAGCGGCGCCATGACTAATCTCGTTTACCAGATCTCCTGGCCTACCAATTATACCGACGACGACGGCGGCGGCGGCAATGCTCGCCGGACCCGGACAGTGTTGGTGCGGATATACGGCGATGGCCTCGACATTTTCTTCGACCGCTACCACGAGATTCAGACATTCAAGTGCTTGTCAGAGCAAGGATATGGTCCCAAGCTTCTAGGGCAGTTCCACAAGGGTAGAGTTGAGGAGTTCATTCATGCAAGGGTATGTATGTATATATATGCTCAAGACTTTCCAATCTAGTGTAGACACTGTTTCTGAATTCTGACCATCTGGTTGATGTCTTCTTCTGGTCCAGACTCTGTCGGCGGGCGATCTTCGCAACCCGGAAATATCGGGCCTCATAGCTGCAAAAATGAGGCAGTTTCATGAGCTGGACATGCCAGGTCCGAAAAGGGTTCTCTTGTGGAATAGAATGAGGTACCTGTCTTAACTTGAAGGATTCTTACCTTTGGCTTTTAAGTTCTTAATGAGGTTTTTTTCTGCCTGCAGAAAGTGGCTTGCCGAGGCCAAAGCTTTGTGCGCTCCCGGTGTGGCGAAGGAGCATCAGCTGGATCGATTGGAGAAGGAACTCGGCTTGTTGGAGAAAATGGTGTCCGGGAAACATCAAGAGATTGTGTTCTGCCACAATGACCTGCAGTATGGAAACATAATGATCGATGGCAAGAACGAATCTGTTACGATAATTGTATGTGTCTCTTTCTGTCCCGATACTATGATCAGACTACATATAAATAAGCATGCATACCAGACAATCTAATGGTTTCTTTGAATGCTCAATTTCCTACTGACTTCAGGATTATGAATATGCGAGTTACAATCCGGTGGCATATGATATCGCCAATCACTTCTGCGAGATGGCTGCAGATTATCACACGGATACACCTCATGTCCTGGACTACAGCAAGTACCCTGGTTAGCACTCAAAAAGTTCAATTGCCATAATTTCGCAGGTACTGTATTCTTATCTCTTTATGTTTTTTTGATGTCATGACAGATCGAAAGGAGCAGCGACTATTCGTACAAAATTACCTGAAATCTGCAGGTTAGTGGTGTGTAGAGATGAATTTCTTGTTCCTTTAGAACAAGAAAGCCTTTGATCTTTTAGCTGTCACGATGGTACACTTTGATTGCTCCTTGGCAATGTAATGTAGGGACAACCTGCATGTGGCTGGAAATCTGATCTGACATATCTCCATGGCCCCAAAGCCTTGATGCTTATCCTGTTCTTCTACTTGGTTAAATGACAAAAGGCCACCACATAAAACTGGATCAAATTAAAGATGGATACTAGATTCACTAGGACATATATAACATAACTTTTATACCGTTTTTTTTTTTAAAATAAATGCAGGGCAAGAACCGAGCGAAGCTGCCATAGAACAAGTGTTGGATGACGTCGAAAAGTATGCTCTAGCCAGCCACATCTTCTGGGGACTATGGGGAATAATCTCGGTAACTAGAGCAATCTCTTTGTGCTTTCTTGCATGTATGTGGATGTCGGGTATTAATGTCCCTAACCTGCAGGCACACGTGAGCAACATCAATTTTGATTACATGGAGTATGCGAGGCAGAGGTTCGAGCAGTATTGGTTGAGAAAACCTGAAACATTCAGACCAAGAGGGAGTCATTGTGTCCAGGGAAGAAGACAGGACTCACTATTTTTCAACAGCATGTATATGTGAATGCAGCACAGGCTACCAGTATGCACTGCACATTGCAATATGAGTCTACGATGTATATAATTCATGTGTGTATCAATGAAACTTCCGTTGCTGCAAATGTTCACACTTACTAAAACCGAAAAGAAAAACGGGTAATATGTGCATCAGAATGTAACAAGAATCCTTCAACATTGGATTATAAGACTTATTGAATCTGGACTGCTCACCAAAAGAAGCAAAAAGACAACATACAATACTGACTGACTGTACAATTGGAATAACATAAACAAGGGAGGTTCCCGAACACAAACCTGAAGGCTACTCCCTCTTTCTACACTTGAAGTAGACGTGCAAGCCATTTGTGAAGAAAGCTCAGCTTCTATAGAGAATAAAGAATCGAAAGAATGGATGTGTGACAGCTCACCTGCCAACTTCCAGTAGAACACAAGCAACAAGCCCTTCTACATCTTTCAACATTTTCTGCAAATAAATAGGATCTGCAATGTACTTATCAGCAAACATGCTGTAGTTGAGTAATCTCACAGCATGCTTCTGAATGACTATTACTACAATGGGAATAACTACATGATGGTCTATTTCACGGATGAGCCCCATTTATGTGACAATACCCTGGGCTTCAATCTCTGCATGAGTAAAAGTGAGTGCATGTTGCAATTTCCTTGGTGAAAATACTTCAACTTCTACAGTGTAGGAGGCAGTAACAGGGCGGTGGTCAGAGAGCTTAAGTTCAGATCTCCTGTAACTTGACAACTTCATACCACTCCCAAAGGTGAGAATACGATCACACCTGGAAATTAGGGAGCATTCATAAATGCAACAGCTCCTGGAGGTGTTATAAAGTAGCATACTGTACTTCACTGTATACATAAGTACAAACTTATATGTGCAAACAGAACAGAAGTGAGTTGAAATAAGAATCCAGAAGAGCTACCTACCAACATAAGTGATAAAAAATCTACCAACATAAGTGACCAAGAATATATCAACATTTGTCATTATATATAGGGGGTGTCCACTTGTGTTACTTTCTTGGTTTTGATGTTTTGAAGTGCAAATAGTTGTTAGATGTGATGTTTTGAATTAAAAATGAGTGCTGGATGTCCTGTTTCTAGGAAAGAAACAATGATAGACTGAATTGGAAAAAAGTACGGGAAGAAACTAAAATGAACATCCAAAGCTTCGTCAAACTCTCTTAGTTTTATTAAGAAGACTTCAAGGGAAACTGTAGTATAACTATTTTAAACAAGGTGACCCAGCTCCCAGCTTACTCAGCATGCATACAGGAACAAAGATTAGCGAGGGACAGCAAAAGGACAGATTGAAAATCAACCTTTTACACCGCAGGCAGAAAATATTAACACAAATAGGCTATAGATATGGCTCACGATGAAACAAAATCAGATGATTGCCACATGCCATATGATGGGGAATGGTTATATTTAGACAAGCAAAATGCATACCATGCAGGTGTTCGTCTCCCAGGACCAGGATCCTGTCCACAGTAAGCATCAGAGTTGAATTCATATTTGTAAGTAGGAGCAAAGTTCAAAGAACCTTCTGACCATCCATCAAATGCACGGCCTTTCTTAAGCTCTCTATTGAGCTGTAAAGGAGGGCAATGTTCAGTGTCCTTGGAAAATTTAAACTATCAATTTGCAACTAAATTAATAACACAGTAAATATGAAAGCCCAATGCATATCTTTATTATGGTAGATGTAGTGCTTGAATTTTCAGTTTTTGTTTCATATCTCCAGCTATAATGCATCACAATAGAATCTGCACAGCCGTGTACTTCAGAAGCGTGGGGCATATTTATGCCAGTGCCATTAAAAGTCAGCTGTGTAGTGTAACCCAGTAACAATGGGGATTATAGAAAATAAAGATTATACTTAGAAAATCAACTTGTTACAAACACCATTACATGAAACAAATATCATATGATAGAGAGTGCGCTCTTCATTTTTCTGTTCACCATTTAAGTTTGGCAAAATAAAGTGTTTTACCATTTTCTATTATTTATTTATGAAAGTTCATGCTCTCAATTTCAGTACTTCTGTATCTCTTATATATCTTGTATGATATCCCTTACAGTTACAATGATGATATCTTGGTAATCATGATGGATGTCTTGATTTATATTCACTGCTTAATTCATTATGGTTAACAAAATTATTGGCAGGTAGAACCTGAAACATTTGCAGGTGTCATTTCACCGAGATTAAATACTTTTCACTTGTCAAGCAATTGAGCAGGTATTGCTCTTTTTTTCTTATCCACAAAATCAAAACATTAACTATCTAAACATGCTAACTTTCAGATGCGATTGGTTTACTAAAAATGCAAGTGAGCTTAATAGAATTTAATCGCAGGCTTGATATATAATTTGCAGTTACGGAAAAGTTATCCAAGTGATCCCAGTAATAGTTAGAAAAAATTAAAGCCAAAGACAACTATAGACATGCCCTCACCAATAAAAATTTAATGCATTTCAGTGTTAGAACTTCAACAGCTTAAAGAGGAAAGGGAAACAGATCAGTAAAAATCACCTGATCAAATTCGGCTAATATAGACCATTCCTTTTTGGAAATCAGTTCCCTGGTCTGTTCATATGGTAAGTTGATTCTATAATTTAGGTCTCCCAGCCAGATTATTCTCCTGTCAACAAATAAACTTTGATGTCAATTATGTGACTCTTATGGGTTATATTTAGTAACTTTTCTCCTAAAAACAAAATTAAAAATGAAAGAAACAAGAACAAAAATAAATAGATACAAAAAAATAAAATTATCACTCTAATGTCACATATATATCACTTGAAGGGTACCCTTACAACATAACATGTGAAGTACTTGGACACTTCTTAAACTTAGCAATCTACTTCAAAACAATGACAGCGTGGAGTCATATTACCATGCACCCATACAAATATGATTTTGCATAGAAGCCTCTTAAATCAGACCAGGTTTTGAGAAGACTGTTTTAATCATAAGAGGAAAACTTAAACAGGCTCAAAGCATGCAAGGGGAGGAGATGCATAATTTGGGGAGATTGAAAACATTTCTTTTTTCTGCATTAATTATTGCAGTATTTTTTATCTGTCAATGGTTAGTCAGTATTCAAGTAACAAATAAGCATTTCTAAAGAGCAGAACAGTGCAATAATTAATAGTTGAATGCATGAAGACCAAGACATATCTACTTTGTGCAGTTCATGAGAATAAATGCAGATGAATGGTCTTTGGCAACATTTTTGTGACAACCTTGTTAACTTCCCCACTTTGTTCTCATATTTGTCTGAGTGAAATGATTCCAACCTCATATTTCTTCCATGTAGTATATAAGAACACTATCCTAGACTTGGCTTAACCATCCTTAATTCTACCCTAATTGAAACTGAAAAACAAAGGGTTAAGATGATGCACTCACTCGTGGGCATATATACTTTTAGGAAGTTGTATACCAGCAAGTGAATTGAATTGTGTCCGTTTATGTATTTCATACACATCGGCATTCCTTTTGATGGAATCCGCCTCTTTCTCGCCAGATGTCAGATGAGTACAAACAAAACAGAAGAGTGTCTGATGTACAGACATGCTGACTGATATTGATCCCTGGCAGAAAGTTATACAGCTTCAATTATAACAACATAAGTCACATTTAGATGCATGATATTTGATTAGCAAGGATGCCAAATTAATTTAATTTTTAAAATTAAGTCTTTCGAAAAGAATGAAAAGATAAGAAAATTCAGATTTTTGTCACCAGAATGTAAGCTTTGAGTCAGAACAAACCTTGTTGCCCAAGTAGCCCATAGCTCCAACACCAACAGTAGACACATTCAAGTTTTGTATATGCCTTCGTAAGCCCCTACGAACCCATATGGTAATTAAGATGCCAACCATTTGCTTGCTTACTATCCTAACATATGGAGGCCTTCTCTTATGGTTTATTATAGACTCAAGGTCAAGCTCTGCAAGTGAAACTAAGTCGGAAAGTACTCCACTATCATGAACCTTTCTTGATTTCAAAGAACCGCAGAAAGATTTAGAAGATTTTAACAGAGTGGGTCTCTCCAAAACATGATGAGGTAAGAGATGAAGAGGTGGCTCTGGCCAGGCTAGTCCTATCCTCTCTGTCCCACTTAATGTTCTGATTATCTTATTTATTTTTTGAGTACTTGTGGCTTCTGCAGCTTCTCCAGAATTCTCTGTCCTAAAGCAGTTGATTTTGTCCAGCTTTTTCGCATAAGAATAATGTCCTTGAAACTCTTGATTGAAGTCATTGAAGACTTGTGGATGAGCAGCATGATTCTTTGGTTTGGTCAAGCCACCATTGTTTTCCTCAAAAATATTTGATTCTTCATTTAATATATAAATATCCTCCTCATTGTCACTGTCAGACTCAAGTACAATATCATCTACTCTGTCTGGGGCATCTTCAGATGGTTTAAACTTTGATGGAGAAGGAGGATCAGTGAAGCTTTTGAACTTAGTCACTGGAGGAACTCTGCTTAGTGTTCTCCGTATTATGCTTTCCCATATTGAAACTGGGCCGCTATCTTCAGCTCCAAATATGTTACCCGCATTTAGTGGTATGATCTCCTGAAGGCTACTTGTTCAATGCATGCCAAAATTAGAAAAAAATTTAACAGCAAGAAAGTGAATGAAATTAATCTAACCAGACAAAAGAGCTTGGCTACATAACTGTAAAATTTAAAGTGAGATACTGTGCAAGAATAATTTGCAAACTCATGAAAATCACTTCAGAAGATAGCATTGACAAAACCATATTGATTGCAGAACCAGAACAAGATCTTGTAGGTACAATTTAACAATGTATTCTAGATAAGGAACAAAAGCAATGATGACTCACCCAATTACATAAATATCAGCAGGATCATCAATATCTAACCAGCCATTGAGATCTAGGTCCTCAGGTGGAACTCTGCCACCTACATTCCATGTGGCAGCACAGATTCTGGTGAAACCCAAAGACAAGATAGTGGAATCAAATTTTACAGCTTGCTGGTTATATAAAAAATCAAGCACTTTCGATCTTGAAAATGCATGGAAACTCTTGCCTGATTTCCTTAGTGTTAATGTATTGAGCTCTTAATGTCTCCGACTTTCGTCTTTTTATTATGGGAAGAGCATCTGAAATTGAAATGGCACACATACAGAAATTTCAATACATCTTCTGCCAAGCCATGAACTAGGTACACATAAAAAACATGATAGGAAAGAGGAAGAAACTAAAATGCATAACTAGGCACAAGAAGGGAATCATCCATAGTCAACATGTATGCAGAGCAAATTTTCCTAATGGTTTGCTTGTTCAGTCATTATCTGTGGTGACATCATAACTTTTTAATTTTTATTTTATGCATACTTCAGTATATTACAACAAAGCTATAAAAGTTTCACTGCAAGCTAGATAGAACAGGCAAGAACCTTCTTTAGAAGGTCTTGTTTTTATCTCATTGCAATCCTTGAACCTTCAATTGTGATCTTTAGATACAAATTTCTGAAACTAATTTCCAGAAAAATACTGACATCTAATAAGTTATTTTGGCCCAAATTTAGAAAAAAAAAAAAAAAAATTCTTATTCATTATACTCTTTCCAAATTGCTAATACCCCAGAAGATCTTCGCACTTCCCTGAAATAGCATGTTCTTCTCGAACAATATCGGCACATCTAACAACGTTATCACTCTACATGTGAGAGAGAGAGAGAGAGAGAGTGACACAGTCCATTAAGCAATAAATTGGCCGCAATCTCCATGAATTCCAATGTTCGTAAAAAGTTCACAACATGGCAGCATTGAACAAGAAAAGTTAACTTTTGAAGAAAAGCTAAATAAAAGGACGCACCACTTGCGTGAACCTGAACTCCAACTAATTCATTCTCGAGCCGCGAACGTCTTGGCCATTCAAAAAATTCTGCAAAAACACCCCTAAAAGTAAGATAAAAATAAAGAGTTCAAAAAAACCAGAATACAGAACAGGTTAAGCAAATCGACGAGGTCGTCACCAAACCTGTTTCAGAATCAGAATCAGACTCAGAATCGGCAGAGAACTCGGAGTCGGCGGCCGAGATATTGAGCCACTTCCGCAACACCACCCGCCGCCACGAGAGCTGCAGGCAGGTACAAGCGAAACACAGGATTTCACCCCAGGTTCTCTGCAAACCTTCTCACGTCAAAACAATTCCAAAACAGGCGAAATAAAATCCAAACAGTTCACACTCGAGCTCACTAATAGAAATTGTACCTCCGGTTGCTGCCGTAGCTTTCTAGAGCTCCGTTTCTTCATATTCCGTGGAAACGACAAAGATTCTCAGAGGAATACACACAAAATATAAACCTGAGAAGGCCGAAGCAAAATGAGCTGCAATTTCAGGCCGGCGAATCAAAATGAGCTACAAATTCAGGCAGCCGCGGCGGCCGTTGACGACGAGTAACGAACTCCTCTGTTAAGGCGCTGCTGAAGAATCTTTCAAGATTTCAGAGCGCATACAATACGGAACCGACTGTATATATTTCTTTATTTGTATAATATTCTCAAGTATTATTATACCCTAAAAAAAAAAACAAAGAACCGACTGCGTCTATTAATCTCAGATAAATTTAATTTTTTATCAATCGGGCAAATGCACCGATGCTAATGGAAAACTTCTCTGATTTTATTTTTTTATACATTAAGAAAGTATGGTTAACAGTCATATGTCATGCTTGTATTCAATCATATATACCCGTTGAAGATAGTTATTTAAATGATTAACCAAGATTTGTAATTTGTATATATAATATCATTAGATTTAACGAAAATGATGAAGGGGTTGTTAAATAATGGGTGTGTTCACTAATGTTATAGAAGTGTTTTAATAGTGTTACAAAATATTATTTTTATTTAAAACATTATATTAAATATTTATTTGGAATACTTTGATAAATAAATAAACACCAAAAAGAAAAGGACATGCAATTGACAGTGTAATACATAAATTAAATTAACTATTATAGTCTAGTCTTGTGGGGTGGACAGTGACATTAAAATCATTAAGGGAACTTTGAAAGAACAATCCTAATCCTCATTTTACTGATGTGTTTATTTTGTTTCTTCTTGTGATACTTCAATTCTATATGAGCAAGAAGTTTATTCCTTAAATTGGACACTAAAAAAGGGTTCAAGCCCTTGATTATATTTATTCACATGGCCTTGGGGACAGTCAAGAGATCATCAATGTCTTGCAAACCCTGGATTTTTATGCATCTCAAACTGTCCCTTTGTCCTAAATTTCTTGTTCCTATGCATTGACTATGTAGAGAGATAATTTAGGCCTCAAACAATATATTCTAATGCTACAAGAAATCAAATTCTAGAATACATTTCCCACATCACATAATGTATAGTGCATCTCCAAGAAGATGATGACACCTAAATGGAGCAAGAAGATTCTCAAGGGGTGAATTTACCTGAACCAAGATAAGCAATCTGCAGAAACAGAAATGATGTATGATCAAAAGGCATCACACACTTCTCTTTAGGAAACAAAGGTTGAAATCCATTACCATTTCAATTCCATACATATACTAGCATTTACATACAAAAACATTCCATGTCCTATAGACCAGGTTCTAGTCTATACCCGGGATGCAAGATTCAAGTAAATATAGCATACGACAGACACACACACTGTTATAACGATGGATACACAAATGGAAAAGTGAGCCAGTTGGCTTGCAGGTTATATTTGGTCAAGATTAACCCCCACACAACAAACTACAGCTGCAAATAATACAAGCAACGACGGTTCCTGTCCGCAGATCACCACCATTCATTTCCCTTAGCTTCCTCTCCGGCTTCGATCTTTCCTTAGTTTTTGTGCTCTCATGTACTCAATTTCAGCATCAGAATTTGATAGTCCAAAGTTATAGTTGCGGCATATTCTGCGAGGGCCCATGTTAGAGAATATGTCATCATCATCGTCACTCAGAATGTGTATGCTTGGTAAGCTTCGTCCGGATACATCTCCAAGATGCTTTTGCTGGACTTGATCTGAGAGAGAGAATAATAAAATAAAAAATAGAAAAATTAGCCAGTACTATCACTACATTTAGGAGGCAGAAATGTGATAAGGAAGACAGTTATGCCAAGACATCATGATTGAAAATAAAATATAAGCAACCCATTTTTGCAAACCTTATCAGATAAGTGGGAAGAAGTATCCAACATCACATCATTTTAACAAGTGTAGTTAGTTTCTTCAAAATTTGACTAGCAGGACACCAAAATAGAAACCTTCAAATATTCAAATAAAGTAACAAATTAAGATTCTATGATGGGGTATTGATAATTCACCTTCAAGGCAGTTGTACGTACCATTTCGTCCAGAGGACATTCCTTCAGTGTGAGTGGACACCGCTTGATTAAGCTGAGGACTGGGAAAATCTTCCAGCCTTTTCCCTGTCATTGCTCCTTTCGATGGTGCATCCACAATATGTTCTTCAGCAGGCTTATTTGATGCAAGTGGTGCCATGCTAAAGGAGTCATCTAGCCCATCTGATATCTCAACATAATGAGTTGTAGTGATGAGTTCATCTGCACTAAACCCAAAAGATGCCCTGTAAGCTTCCAGTTCCTCAGCATCAGGTTTAGAAATAGAAATTCTGGTTGGCCTGGTCTGCCCATTTCCACTATTGGAGTAAGGTTCTGATTCTTTGGAAATGCTTAATCTACCAGCAGAATGAGAAAGTGATGACTGGTCTTGGTAGAACTGTGCAAATGTCTCCGGGCAGAAGAAATTGGAATCCCTGCGTGGCTTGGAGGCTCCATCTGCTTGAAGCCCAACAAGCCTACCTGACTCAGATTTCTCCTGTTCAAAATCAGATGGGAGATTGGATGGACTCCATTGAGGAGGAAGCTCTTTTTCATTAAATGAGGATGATAGACGGTCACCGGGTGTTCTTGAAATGGGAGACCTAAGCGTGCTTGCAGGACTTCCAGGATACAGGGCATATGTAGCATGAAGATCATTTGCAGCAATGTAGCTTCCCTTATCAGAGCTTTTTATGTTGGCAGATGATGAAAGGAAAAGTGCATAAGGCACATCAGGGGAAGATGGAGTGGTTAAATGTGCCAACTCTGGTGGAGGCGTTACAGGAGCTGTAGATGGCTCAGTTGTGTAAGTAGAAAATACAGGAGGCGATACCAGCTGTGGCTCATGTGCATATGGCCCCGTGACGTACATAGTAGAGGAAGGACCCCCAGGGGAATTGGCAGACAAGAAGCAGTTGTTGGGTGACTGAGCTGTCGAAGGAAGACCAGAATTTGAGAAAGAAGCAGGGGAAGATGGTGGAGCATAAAGTGATGGAGCAATTCCAACAGTCTGGTTTGGTAATCCACCAGCTTGAAGTCCATTTGGTTGATTTGGTCCAGCATTGCCTTCAGGCACTCGAGATGCAGGCACAATACGCTTTCCTCCTTTTTGTTTACGAAAGCATGACAATCCACCCAGACATCCTCCCCACCTCTTGAGCTGCAACCAAAAGAATATCATCAGCCTCATATTTTAAATGAAGCCGTCAACATGTAAATGGTGTATAATTCTACTAAAAAACAAAACAAAAATTATTTGAATTGAAGCAAGCTAGAAAATGTGTGAAAGCGAGAGGTAGATGAATGCTCAAGCTATAGACAACCTACTGCATAGTTTACGATGAGATACACCCTTCAATCAAATCCCTTACAGGTCTTGTACACATACTTGCACCCATTCACACTTGACATAGTTACAGAAACTGTTATGCAGTTGTTGCACCACTGTGCACGACGTATGACTGATTTTTATAACATCATATAGCAACCGCAAAGATTTGTGCCTCAAAACATTCTTATTGGTCCAGTTTCGGCTTTGAATTTAGACACCATAATCAGTTACCTATAATTGCAAATACTATTAATCATATTTCTACAAAACTAGGTGCACATTCAATAGATTCTTCGGTTCATTCCTCATATACAGTGGGAGATATATGATAAAAGTTCGACTCAAAAGAGTAACTAAAACAGATAGATTTCCTGTATGACATAAATATGGATTGAGTATTGGATACAGACAATGTAATACTTTAAATGATGGATTCTACATGTTAAAAAGGGACTTTGAGAGAGTTGCATTCATCATCCATGACGGTACCAAGAAATACAAATTTGCCAGATGCCAGGAAACCATTAAGTTTTCATAAATGGGCCCCACTTACGACTAATGCGATCGCTTTCAAGAAGTATAAAGATTATAACTTAATGACTACTTGAGCTAAAAACACATCACTCTCTCTCAATCAATTTCCAATTATACCTTCTTGGGAAAAGGAGGAAAACCACACTGGAAAGTGAAAATTAAGTCGTATATTCCTGACATCATCAATAACGAGATAACAGAATTACAACAAATTCTGGCGACGTGTCACGGAAAATATATGTTCAAAACAGCTTTTATATCAATTTTGCCTATTCTGATGGAAGAAATATATATCTCAAACCACTACGGATACAGGCATGTGTTAGCTTTCAAAGCACGCAACTGATCACAGGCAAAACAAAGAAATGCGTGTATCTATGAGCAATATACCCGAGGTGCTGGCGCTTGCTGCTGCTGCAAAAATCTATTAGGCTCTGAGCCCATAAGGTTTAATCTGTTGAGCACCACTTACTGAGATCCCGAACTTGTTACTAGGAATTCGTAACCACCAACTTACAGTTCAGAGCACACTTCAAAACTCCCCTGCTCCTGCAAATCCAATAATGCTTTTTCACTATATTACTCACAACACATTTGAGCAGCTAAAGCAATAATCAAGGTATCCATCAGTCAACAAACTCCAAATATAAAGTTCAAATTTCTGTATCTATAGATAAACAGATGAGCATACAATAGCACATCAACATTCTATAGAAACCTCATTATCATTAACCAATAAATCAGTACAAATTGGATGGTGGATCTCCACAACAATATTAAGAACAACCATAAATCAAGCATCGCCATTATATAGAAAAGTAACAAAAAAAGATGTTAATATCTTATTTTTACAGGCAAATGATTTTCACTGAGAACAGACCATCAACATTAAATTTTCAAGCTGATTTTAAAATCAAAATAAAAGTAAATACCCAATCTGTTGACCCGGATGCAGGCATAAATTTGAAAGCGACACCAAATTCAAAAATAATAAACTTTCTACCAACTCTATACCCAAGGTAGCACAATTTTAATGAAAACGAAATAAAATAAAATTCTAGAACAAATTGTTGCTCACATCACATCACATCACATCATTATCTAAGAACAAGAACACGGAAACAGCACCGTCAATGAAGCCGTACCCACAACCAACATGCTTCAACCTAAAATTTAAGAGAACAAAACCATCGAGAAAGAAACACAAAAACAACAAGATGCATCATGAAAAAACTCCTAAAAAAAGCAAATTCAGCAACGCGTAAAAAGGTAAATAGAAAATGCAGTACCTGAACTAAGAAATCTGGAGAAGCTGAGGGATAATCGAGCAGTAGGAGAAAGCTTAGCTGGGTGAGAACGATGAAATGGAAGGGGGAAAAAAAGCAGTAGCCAGATCTAATCTGCAATCCGGTCTTTTCTTGATGGTAAGGTTAGATAAAAATTGCTCCTTTATTATTATTATTATTATTATTTTCTGCCTTTTCGAAGAAAAAAAAAGAAAGAAATCATAAATAAATTAAAAGTATTAGAAAAGGTTATGTAAACATAACGGCGTTACTGTATGCTACTTTTCCGGCGGATGACGTGGCGGATGGCTATTGGACGGCTGTTGTACGTGGATAGTATCGCTTTTTGTCGCATCCTCGCCTGCCTTCCCTTTTTTGCCCCTTATATTTACTTTGGCATGTGTAAATTAATGTTGCATTAATTTCAACTTTTGATGGATTTGAGTGAAGTATAGTTTGGGGAGAAAAATGCAAGTAATGGATTTAATATTAATAATAATAATAATTGGGTTTTGTAAAGGCAGATAGATGTCTATATTTATGTAAGTGCATTAATTCACCAGCACCAAATGTCACACAAATCAAATAACCATAATTGAAAAGACATTGTCCAAATAATAACTCTTCATTCATCCCAAAAGAGCTTCTTCACAGCCATTGCTTGTCCTGGAAAAAACATCATCAAGAAAAGAAACAACAGCCATGTAAGATTTTGCATAAATTTATAATTAGCCAAGAACATGTTCAATAATGAGACTAGCCTGTTGAAAAGAAGGCGGGAGACGGGTTCGCAGCGCGGGAGCTTGACGAGCTGCCGGAGGATGTACAAGTATGTCCCGATACTGTAAAGTACGGCCAACTAATTTAAAAGCGTGATAAAATTAAAAAAAATGGTTAATCGGGACATCTTACGACGAGTTACCTTTGAAAACACATCAACAAGATGATCCAGAATGCAGCAACTATCCATGTTGGTTCTTTATAGGCCACCCAAACCTGATCGATATAAACAAAAATGAACACAATTAGCCAATATAGGATGGAGGGATTTAGCAGCGTGGAGAATTACCGATATAGCAATCGAAATGAAGTGTATGTCGAGAACTGTTGTCACTATCCACCTGCAGACAAGCATGGAATTTAGTCTCTTAGGCCTCAAGGGGATTGTTGTTTTAGTATAAGTTTGAAGAGAGTTTGGACGTACGGAGTGAAAACATCGCTACGGAATGGGAATCCATCGACAATGATAGTGTAAATCCATGTTGCGAGCATAAAACAAGCCAAAATGCCGAAAAGAACTCTTGCGCCTACGACTGAAAGCATGCTATTTGATTCCCTCTCGCCCCTAAAAGTTTGAAATAACTAAGCATCGAATGATGTTCTGAAACAATGAAAAAACAAGGGACCTGTTTATGGCTGCTGCAGATATACCTTTTCTGCTTATTATTAGTTAGCAAGACAAAGTAAATAGGATCATGAGCTGATTCTTGAGGAGAAAGCTTCATAAGTTTCAGAACAATGTACGGGAAAAGCGCGCCGCTGCAATGGAGTTACGGATAAAACCAAAATTAAGAGCTTCCTTGAAGGTTTTGTGTATATAAAGTGACTCGGATAAGATCTCAAAGAATATTTGTAAAGCATTCTTTTAGGAAGCATACCTTCCAAATAGCATCAGAAGAACTATCCATATGATCGAATGAATCCAGTTTGATTCCTTGTAGATAATCCATATCTGGCAGAAACAAGGATATGACACAGAAAGTAGATTTGTGGAGTTATTTGTAAGATCATTGCACCAATATGATGATATTTCAATATTAAGTAGGATCTAAAGTGGCAATTAGATGAAGTGCATTAGATACCGCAATCGGAAGATTAAGGAGGAAGAAGTCGATCAGGAACGCAACTGGCCACCTGTATATAGTATCGTCCAGCAGAAACGAAAAAAACTAACAGTTAAGCAGGAACTGGACAGACTTCCTCAAAATTAGGGCATCTAAGAGAGTTTGCAGAAATTACGAACACCTTCAATTCAACACAAGAAGCAACGCAATATTAAATCAATCAAATAAGGTTGAGAGAGAGAGTAAGTTAATAAGCATACGGAGTGCGGAATTCGTTTAGGAGATTTGCTCCATCAGTGACGACAACGTAAATTAAAACAGCGATGACAATACAGGCCAACATCGTGAACGCCACTTTTAGCCCCACTGCAAGTGCTGCCGCCATTGACACAGGCAACACGATCTGGAACTGGAACTGGAACTGGAACTGGAAGAGTGATAGAAATTTGGTAAGATCTTTTTGATTTTGTAGTGTGTTTACTTTCACTTACTGTAGGCTGAGAACCAATTTGATAATTTCCATGGAAGCTATGGGAAAAAGGAATTTGAGTAAACTAGTCGCAGACACGTGATGCAGGGCTACAAAACACAAGCAATTTGTGTAGTCAACCAAGGTGGCCAATACGAATTTTTTGAACAAGACGATAGCGAGTCAAACTCTGATATCATATTATTATAATTGAATTAAATTCACCAGTGGCTAATGTAATAACAGCAACAATTGTCACACAAATCAAATAGCCATAGATGAATAAACACTGTCCAAATAGATGGTCATTCATGATTCATCCCAAGAGAGTTTCTTCATAGCCATTGTCTGTCCTGAAAACATCATCAAGAAAAGAAACAAAAACCATGTCAATAAAATTCTGCATACATTATTTATAATTAGCCAAGAACATGTTCAATGAGGCTAGCCTGTTGAAAAGAACGCGGGAGACGGGGTCGCGGCGCGAGATCTTGAAGAGCTTCCGGAGGATGTACAAGTACGCTCCGATGCTGAAAAGCTCGGCGAACTCATTGAGGAATGGTAGAAAAAAACAAGAAAAGAAAAGTGGTTAGTCGGGACATCTAACGACGAATTACCTATGAAAACACATCAACATGACGATCCAGAAAGCCGCGGTTATCCATGTTGGTTCTTTGTAGGCCACCCAAATCTGATCGATATATATATAACAACGATGAACAGAATTAGCTGGCATTTGGAGCTATACGATGAAGGGATTTAGTGGCGTGGAGGATTACCGAAAAAGTAATCAAAAGGAAGTGGATGTCGATAAATGTTGCCAATGCAAACCTGCACAAAAGCATGGATATTTTAAGAAGTTTGTTGACAAATCTGAAATGAGTGAGAATAGAATAAGTCGAATGTTTCGTTTCGAACTTACGGAGTGAAAACATCTCTACGGAGTGGAAATCCATCGACCGCAATAGTGTAAGTCCATAAAATGACCATATAACCAGCCATATAGCCGAAATAAAATCTCGCGATTATGACTGGAAGTATGCTTCTCGATTCCCTCTCATCCCTGAGGTTTAAAACAACTAAAAGTGAAATCTTGGAGAGTAACTCAGCGTGATATGAGAAATTCGTGTTGAAAACATTAGCTTTGAGGCCATGGAGAAACTAGGGAACCACTTACGGCTATTGAGCATACCTTTTCTTCTTAGTTAGCAAGACAAAGTAAATAGGATCATCTTCTGATTCTTGAGGTGAAAGTTCCATAAGTTTCACTACAATGTACGGGCAAAATGTAGAACTGCAAAGGAGTTAAAGAGAAAACAAAATTTAAGAGCTTCCTTAAAGGATTGGACTAATATTGTTGTAATCTTTCGTGACAACCGATCCCAAAATGAAAATAGCTAAACGAATGAACAGAATGAAGGCGATTAAATTATTCGTCTACGCAAATATATATTACGCTTGATCTTGAAGAATATTTTCTTGAACTTATACAATTACTATACAGAAAGGGAAAGGTAACGACAACATGGATTGAAGTGTTGTTTTCTCGACTTAATGTGAAAAATTAATCCGTTTTCTTGCACATTGTAAAGCAATGGTGTAGCTAAGGAATTCTCTGTAACCATACCTTCCAATCATCAGTATAGGAAATGCCCACATAATTGTATTCTTCCAATTTGATTCCTTGTAGATAATCCATATCTGGCATGACAAACAAAAGTACGGTATAAAGAGATCAGGTGATAAAGACGAAACATCGTAATATTTAAATCAGCATTATTGCTGTAATTTACATACTCATGGAAGTAGATCGCGTTAAGGCTATAATGAATTCTAGATTTAGTAGGAAATGTCTGCGTAGAGATATTCGAATCTATAATGGCTCCTTTTAGTATTCTACATTCTATTGGTTTCATAAATGACGAGAGATTAGAGATTCGTCGAGAAAGGTGAAGACATCAACAGTTTGTTGTGAATCTTAAACTTGAGGGGTTGTTAGTTTTGGTTGTCGGAAGATTGTTGGAACGTTAAAAAATTATAGTCGTGCACGAGATTTAGAGACGTGAGATTCTTGGTAAGGATCTCAATTCATGTCATGCATTATGTGTTTTTGAGACGGAATCTTGAAACAAACAATGGATGGATGTTTGCCTACAAGATTCAAATACTCAACAAACTATATAAAGGACTTGGAAAATCCATCAGTAAACTTTTTTGTTGGAGAAATTCAGAGATATCGAGCAAAGAGAATCAAAAGCTTGAATAAACCAAACGTATCATATATATTTTGAAAGTTTTTGGACTCAGACATTATTCACTTTATTTTAAACATCAAATCAATTAATAACTTTTTACTATTTTCAAAATTTCAAACGAACATTGCGTGGGCATCAAATATATTATATATGTTTTAAAAAGTCGTTATGGCCGCACGTGAGTGTGATATATTTTGATATATTTTTCCAGCAAAATAAATATAGGACAAAAGAGATAACAGAGTATACGTGTGTGAGATTTTTTTGCAATTTTCCTCAAGTTTTAAAATTTATAGCAAGAACATTTCATTTACCTCCAAATCATCATAAATGTTTTTCTTTGTTACATTTAACCCTTTTACCATATAATATACAAGCACATATATGCAAATAGCCATCTAACAAAAAAAAAAACAAAAACACATTTGAATTAATATTAGGATCTAAGTGGCAATATGAAGAATATTACAACATACCACAATTGGAATAAGAAGGACATTGAAGTCAAACAGGAACGACATTGCCCACCTGTGCCAAGAAATGAATAAAAACCAACATTTATACAGAAAAAAGTATTGCTTACCTAAAAATCAGGTCATTTATGAAATAACATAAGAGAGAAAGCATACATAGTGTGGAATTCAGGTAGGAAAAGTAATCCTTGAGTAGCAATAAGGTGGATGAGAACAGCGTTGGAAACACAGCTCATCACCACGAACGCCACTTTTAGCCCTCTTGCAAGTGATGCCGCCATTAACAAGATCTGTAGAAGCTTAGAAAATAATATTGGTAATGACTTTTGGGTTTTGTACTTGATCAAGAACTTTGGGGAAGCTGGGAAGGAATGAATATGTATATATTTATATACATATATATATATAGTAGAGGTTGTGCTATATATATACTGTGGCCTGTAGAGTCCTGAATAGAAATAAGTAGTCTCCAACTAATTTATTTTTAACACTCAAATGCTTAACAGGAATGGCTGTGGAAAGTCATTTTTACAGCCAGTAACCATCCAAAATTGTCACCTATAATATAACAAACATATGACAATATACATTTCAAGTAACCGCCGCTAGTTATTCTGTAACTAGAATATCCTCGTATCCATTCCCTGACCTAAAAACATCAACAAGAGAGGAAAGAAAACCAAATCAGTTTTCATACATAAGCTAATTATAATTTCCTTGAATAAAAAAATGAGGCTTGATTACCTGCTGTTACTGCTGCTGAAAAGAACAACAAAGGCCCGATCTTCAGGCGAGAGCTGGAGGAGCTGGAGGGTGATGTAGGTACATACACCAATGCTGGGAAGGAAATAAGTAAACTCGGATTTGAGATTTCATGGCATTGCCATGGATGAAAATGATGACAAATTAACTACCTTTGGAAACATATCAGAAATGCAATCCAAAATGCTGCACTCATCCAAGTTGGTTCTTTATATGCCACCCAGATCTGATCATGTTACATGTAAATATATCGAACACAAGAGAAGAATACATCCTCGTATAAGAATTAAGTTTGGAACCTGCAACAAAGTTTGAAAATAGGAACTACAGATTTTGCAATGAGAATTACCGATAGACCTATCAAAAGGAGGTGAGCATCAAGAAATACTACAGACACCCATCTGCATAGAGAACACACATAGAATTAAAAGTCTCTTAGGCCTCATTTGGATTTTATGTGCCAGATCAAATGAAAGACTTGAAATGAGATAAAAAAAAAAATCATAGGCTTCCAAAAAACTTACGGAGTGAAAACTTCTCTGCTGAATGGAGATCCATCTGTGACCACGGCGTATATCAATGTTCCGAGCATAAAACAACCCAAAGCACCGAAAAGAACCCTTGCACTTACAACAGAGAGTGTGCCTTTTGATTCCCTTTTATTCCAAAAATGTTGGAAACAACTCAGAAAAATCTCAAGAGAGTGAATCGACAAGAAAGAAGAGTTAGGACTCGTAGCTGTCCGAAGTTAAGAAGAATTATAAGACAAGGTATTTTTGTAATGGGTCCTTCAAACCCAAAAATGGAGCAACATAAACTTGGCAGCAAAAAGAATGACATGCATATGTATATTTCAGTAACTAAAATCTCAGTCAAGTAGCTTCCATTTTGGAGGACTCCAAGAAAAGTGCAGCTTATATTATAATAATCGACTCATTAAGGTCACGAAGAATATAGATTCTATTTCTCTAAAACAACTGAAAATCAATTACAACTCGAAAATGTTAATATATGGAGTCAAACATGGATGTACTTACCCTCTCATATTATTTAATAAAACAAAGTAGATGGGATCCTGCCGTGATTCTTGAGAAGATAGCTTTTGAAGTTGCAGAACAAGGTATGGGAAGAAAGCCATGCTGCAAAGATGAAAACAAAAACTTAAACATCTTCGAAGGTTCAAACATATATGTAGCTTGCAAATAGTATTACATAAGAAGAAACATTGTTCCGACATCAATTGATGTTTGGTAAACAAACAGAGAGAGTGAAGGAGATTTAGTTCTCAGGTCAGCCAAATAGTTACTAGAATGGCTGTGGTAGCTAATTATAAGTTTGACTAAGACACCTAGATTCACAATAGTCACATAAATTCCATAAAGCATGTTTTCGATAACTTTATACTCAGTACACAGCCTAAGACAGTCTTATATTCAACTGAAACTCACATTACCCAACTATCAAAATAGAATGTTGTTTCCGAAAAGATATCCTGTTTGTTAGCAAAATTTCAGAGAAGTTCATAAAATTTGATTGAATAAACACACCCATACCTTCCAAAGATTAAAATAAGAATTATCCACGTGATTGAGTAAATCCTGTTTGATTCCTTGTAGAAAATCCATGCCTGATATGATAAGAAAGATCAAAATGTTATTCAGCATATTCTTAAATTAGCATTGCTTAGAGTTTCGGAAGCCAACCATTCAACCTACGTTAAATTTGTGGGGAAGTAAGCAGTAAGTTTACACATTCAACTTATGTATGCATAAAAAAAGTCCTAATATGAGACAGGTATGCAGAATATATACTGAAAATGTCTACAAAACAAAATAATTTTTGAATAAGTGGTTATAAATTAGAGACTCCAAAAAAAGAAATAGAGACGGTGTGCCTACCACCAGTGGTAGAATGATGGCAAAGATGTCAATCAGGATCACCATCGGCCACCTGTATCAAGAGATCAAGAACCTAAATTTAGGCACAAATTCAGCTATCCAAAGTTCAGTTCATTTTACGTATAGGTAGAAAAAAAATACGAAATACAAATGACGAAACACATCACAGAAGAAATAAGAACTAACATATATAGTACACACACTAATCTAAAAATAGGCTCAGTTAGTGCTAAAATTTCGACAAGACAGTGTAGCATTGTAGAAATATTTTCCTTTCTCTAACCATACACGAAGTCTTTACAATCAAAGTGGATTCCACATGAGATCCTAGCATAGAGATACACTAACCAAGAATACTACTGATACTCAGTAACTTAAAAGGTCAAACAGAGAAACTGCTTCTTAATTTAAGCTAGATTAAAATCAAGCTCCTCAAGCACTGCACATACATAACAAATACTTCAATTTCCAGAATACTCGCTGCTCCTACTATCAAATAAAGATTCAGAAAGAAAGCTTACAGAGAACGAAACTCTTTCCAGACAACGACTCCATTAGTGATACCAGTGTAAACGCAAGCAGCAAATAGAACACCAGCCAACAACATGAACAACGCTTTCAGCTTAGCTGCAAGTGCTGCTGCCATTGATGAGAAATGTTGAAGCTCTGAAATTTCGTAATAATTTATGGGGGATTTGGGAACTTAATATGAGAGCACAAGGAAGGGAATGCATACATTATTCTATAATCTAGACCATATGACCACAGCAATCCGCCAACTAAAAGATTCTTATATGACATTAAATATAAGATCATGTTCAATTTAACAAGATAGGGGAGAGAACATTTGGGAAGAAATAGTAAACAGATCAAATAAATATGTTTTATTATTTATTAAAGTACATAATTTAGTTATAAAACTTAGGAAACAATCTTGACTTATTGATAGAATCATAAAAATGTTGTAATATATTCCATAACTTCTGGTTTACGCAATGGGAAATGGGTCAACCCATATAGATCATGAACTGCTTTTAGAAGTAATGTAAGAATTACAACACATTCTCATACACATATAATAGTCATAATGTTTATGGTAAGATATTATTTCTACATATGTTTATGGCATGACAACTTTTTATATTTATAGTGATATACAAATCGTATAATAAGACAAGAATCCTATCAACCTCTTAATTAATTAAGATAACTACCATAAATAAAATATATTATTTCTAAATATATTTTGACACTTACATGGAAGAACTTGTAAAAATTCTACCATCACTACTGGAATATGCTCTGTGGCATGGATCAGTTTCTATGCGAACAAACTAAGAGAAAATAATAATCCTACTAGCAAACAGAATAAATGCAATAAATTGCAGGCCTCTGATAAGAGGAGAATGCATACAAAATATACTATTTAAACCAAAATGTCAAAATCAAACACAAAATCAAGCACAAACCAAGCACACCTAAAAACCACAAGAAATGGATTTTTTCAGCTTTTGAGTGTGAAGAAGCTAACAAAACATCTGGATTGTCCATTAGCAAATAGCAATTTCCAAATCATCAGATAAGACGGTAGAGTGAACTTCTGTATCAGTTATTGATCATGGGTTTTCACTAAGGGTGGGTGGATGGGTGGGTTTCTTGATTCACTCCCTGTACGTTTTCTACTCTCTGCTGCATACAAAGAGTCTTGCTTGCTGAGAAGAACTAACTGATCTGATCCTTTTCAGGGCACTAATTGTAGGGCTTGCTCATTGATGTTCATGAGTCTTGTCTCCATCTATCGCTGGTTCTTCTCCTTCAAGACTTATAATTCGATTTGGGCCCTCCAGGCCCAATAATCAATTTCTGCATTTTTATAAGTAAAATGTAAATCCAAATTCAGTTGGGGTAATCATACATTATAACGGTTGTACACTGAATACCTTACAGATTTACAATCACATTCTGAACAACATTACATACCTGATACATTTCAGCATTTTAAATAGTCCATTGTACGCAATATTGCAGTTTCAATGGATTAAACAACAACAGTAAGGACAATTATCCATGTCCCTGATATAGTAACCATCCAACCCCATTACACTTGTTCCATGTAATACTAACAAACGAGTGCCAACATACACTTTTAAGTAACTCCCCTAATTAGGATGTAATTAGATTTTCATCATATCCATTCCTTGGCCTAAAAACATCAACAAGAACCAAATCAGTTTTTCTTTAAACATAAGCTAAATATAATTTCGTTAGATCACAAAATAGTGCTTGCTTACCTGCTTTTACTGCCCCCGGAAAGAACAAGGAAGGTCGGATCTTCAGGTGAGAGCCGGAGGAACTGGAGGGTGATGTAAGTACAAACACCAATGCTGGGAAGGAAATAAGTAAACCCAGATTTGAGATGTCATGATAACTGATATTCATACGGACACAAGACCAAGCCTGTCAAAATAATTAAGACAAATTACCTATGAAAACACATCAGGAATGCAATCCAAAATGCTGCAGTCATCCAAGTTGGTTCTCTATATGCCACCCAGATCTGACATTACATGTAGAACAATACAAACCCAAGAGAAAAATGCATCCTTGTATAAGATTTGAGGTTTGATCCTGCAATAAGGTTTGAAAACAGGAAATATGTAATCGACGAATTTCGCCAGGAGAATTACCAATAGACTTATCAAAAGGATGTGAACATCAAGACATGTCACAGACACCCACCTGCATAAACAAGCACATAGAAATAAGTCTCTTAGGCCTCATTTGGATTTTTATAGCAAGATTGAATGGAAGACTTTAAATGAGCTATAAAATCATTGGCTAGCAAAAAACTTACGGAGTGAAAACTTCTCTGGAGAATGGAGAACCAACAGTGACCATGGTGTATATCAACAATCCAAGCATAAAACAACCCACAGAAATGAAAAGAACTCCTGCACTTACAACAGAGAGTGTGCCTTTTGATTCCCTTTCATCCAAAAATGTTGGAAAATTAGTTACAACTCAAAACATTAATTTATGGAGTCAAATATGGTTTTTACTTACTTTTTTGTATAATTTAATAAAACAAAGTGAATAGGATCCTGCTGTGATTCTTGAGAAGAAAGCTTTTGAAGTTTCAGAATAAGGTACGTGTAGAAAGCCAAGCTGCAAAAGTGAAAACAAAAACTTGTAACATATTTCAAGGTTCAAACATATATGCAGCTTGAAAATAATTATATAATGCGGAATATTGTTCAACAATAAATTATTATCTAAAATCAGCTAAACGGCAGAAAAAGTGATACAGATCAAGTTCTCAGGTTAAACAAATAGTTACTAGAGTGGCTGTGGCAGCTAATTATAAATTTGACAAAGACACCCAGATCCTAGATTTACAATGACTACACAAGTTCCTTCAAAATCAAAAAACATGTTTTCGATAACTTTATACTACATTTCTTGTATTTGATTACAAGTCACATAAACCAAATATTAAAATAGTGTTTTCTAAAAAAAGATATGCTATTTGTTAACAAAATTTCAGAGAAGTTCATGAAATTTGATTGAATAAAAGCATCCATACCTTCCAAAAGTTAAAGTAAGAATTATCCACATGATAGGGTAAATCCAATTCGATTCCTTGTAGCATATCCACACCTGATATGATGAGAAAGAGGAAATATATATAACATCATATCATTAAATTAGCATTGGCTGGAAATTGGGAAGCCAACCATTCGAAAGACGCTCACATCTGAGGTGGATTAAGTAGTTAAGTTCACACATTTGACATCTCACATTCCACTTATGTATACATAAAGCCAGTCCTAATATGAGAAACAGGTTTACAGAATACATGCTGATAACATGTCCGCAAGACAAAATAATATTTGAATAAACTGGATTCAAATTAGAGACGTGTGCAAAATGGGTTGCAGACTACTTTGCTAACTGCAGGTAAGGAAAACATTGAGTTATCTATTTGGCTGTAGTTCTAGTTTTCTTCAAACTCACAATATATTCAACTTTTACTCTCCAAAGAAAATATAATAAATAATGATAAATAAATAATCAGAGACAGTGTGCATACCCCTAGTGGTAGAAAGATGGCATAGGCATCAATCAGTATCACTATTGACCACCTGTATCAAGAAATCGAAAAAGAAAAAGGCACGAATTCAGCTACCCAAAGTTCAGTTCATTTTTCATATACGTAGAAAAAAAAAATGAAACACAAACACAAGAAATAAGAACAAATAAAATAGGGTACACACTACTCTGAAACAGGTTCAGTTAGTGGTAAACTTTCAGCAAGACAGTGTAGCACCTAGAACTACTTATATACATATATATATAAACGAAACACCAAGCCTTTACAATCAAAGTGGATTCCACATGAGATATGTTCGGTAGCTTAGAAAAGGTTAAAGGGAGTAACTGCTTGATTCAAACTACATCATCCAATATTAGCACAAGCATTTCCACTCAACATTTATTCTCTCTCCCAGACAGCCTATTGAAAGTAATATAATAATGAGGAGCAAAAGAAGAAAATATTCAGCCCATAAAGCAAAACTACTATCTTTTTGGCTTTATCGCTAAAAGTGTTAGTGATTTTAGAGTAGTTGGATTTATTCAAGACCAATGGATGTTAGGATCAAGTGAACTTCAGGATGGGATGTGTGGAGTGTGCTCTCGGAGAAGCTAATTTCGACATGATCATAAATCATGACAAGTGACCGGATAGAACACGAACTTTGGGACAGATTGGCACAGGTAACTTAATCATGGTCATGATTGAGTCTCACGTATCAATTTATAATTTTAGTGACTAAATTTTATGGGACAGAATAGCATAGCTTACTTAGTCACAATCATGACTAAGTTTTGCATGCCCTTCTGGATAGTTTTCCCATTCTCTTCAATTTCAAAAATTGTGTCCATTCATGAACTGATGTGCCTAACATTTAAGATTTCGAATTCAAACTAATGTTTGAATTGAAATAACGCACCAATTCATTTTGAAATTGAAATTTCAACCGAAGCATTGCATCTGTTTGGTTTAAATGAAAAATTGCTTGTGTTCTATATATAAACGATGTTGGTCTCATTTGTGGGGTAGACAGCTAATACCGGCAGAAAATTTAGCATTCATACATTATTTCCCAATGTTCACTTTTATCTCGACATATTCTCTATCAAGATTCGAGGTCAAACTTTGTATGATCCCAATACGAATTTTGTGTAACCCTTGATAGGATATGGATCAAACTATCGCATTTGGAAAGTGACAGTTTCACGATACAAAGTTGTATCCAATCATTTTCGTTGTAAACCCAAAACCATTCCCAACAAAAAGAACCTCAACAATATCATAGGGCATTGGTTCAAACACCTTCAAGACAAGAATCAAACTCCCCAAAATACTGCATATACATAAATAAATACTTAGATTTACCAAGTACTCACTGATCCTACTATCAAATAAAGATTTAGAAAGAAAGTATACCAAGTGCGGAAATCTTTCTGTAAAAGGACTCCACTAGTGACACCAGCATAAACGCAAGCAATAAAAAGAACACCCATCAACATCATGAATAACACTTTCAGCCTAACTGCAAGTGCTGCTGCCATTGGTAAGATATGTTAAAGGTTTGCAAATCTGTTATAATGTATGGAGGATTTGGAGACTTATATGTGGTCACAAGGAAAGGTTTAGGTGTAACGTATGGGGTATTTAGAAAGTTATATGAGAGAACAAGGAAGGGAAAGTATGCATTATTCTATACCATGTGACAACTGGAACCCAACAACTAAAATATTCTTATATGACACTAAATATAAGATCATGCTCAGACATGATATGTGAGAGAACATTTGGGGAAAAACAATGAACAGATCAATTAAATATGCTCAATTATTTATTAAAGTAATAAAATAGTTATAACACTTTAGGACACAATCTTGACTTCTTCATAGGATCATAAAAATGTTAAAATAAATCCCTCAACTTCTGGTTTACAGAATGGGAAAAGGGTCCACATCTACATCATGAACAACTTCAAAGAAATGTTTGGCACTAATATTTTTCTAAATTGCATAAAATATGTTTCATGATTGATTAAAGAACATAGTAATGTAAGAATTAGAAAACGTGTAACATCATGCATAAATAATCCGATATACAACCTTGCTAGAGTACAAAATAGAGGAAGATGCCCTATGGCATGCTACTTGTAATAAATGAGGAAGGCTACAAGTCCATGTAAGCATTGTCATCGCAGATTGGATTCTAAGTGAAAAACTCACAGAATAATCTGCTAATAGGTCTGCAAACAAAGTTCACTAGAAAAAAAAGGAGATATGAGATATGAGAAAAGCGTTAAAATTAAAAATCCACAAGAAATGGAAATGCTCAGGTTTGCTGTTCCTGAGGGGAGAAGGTAACAAAGCATATCCTGGATTGCCCAATAGCAATTTTCTTAACAAATTGTGAGAACCATTAGACAGTCGAGTGAACTTGTGAATCGGTGATTTTTGTGGTGGTGCCTTTCTCTTGATCTTGACCTTTCATTAAGAGTTTCTTGATTCACTCCACGGGACCAACAGAACCAGAAAGAGATCTTGGATTCTCAGGTAGGTTTTCCACTATTTGTAAACCAATTATTGCTTTGTTCATGGAACGACGACTGATAGAAAATGATCCTTTATGGGCACTAAAGGCAGCATTTGCACTACGATGCTGCTAATTAATCTTGATGGGAAGGATAGGATATGGCATTGATTAAAGAATCTATTGTACGTGGGCAGTATTATATACTGAGCATCCGGAAAAGAAGAGATCTTTTCCAGACCCATTGGTTATTGGTGAACTTTCAAATTTGGCCCTCCAATCTCTGTATTTTATTGGTAAAATGTAAATCCAAATTCAGCTGTTTTACACAGAGCAACTTACACACATACAGTTGAAACTAAAGAAATGATTCCAAGATACTATCTTTACATAATCAATCTATGGCAAGTATGTATATGTTAAAGTAATCATATGACGATTACTTTGATAAGTTATGCTGTAAATCATTTATTAATAAATATCTATTATGTGAAAATTAAATGAAAACGAGTAAGCGTGTAAACCTTTACACAATATTGTAGTACCATTGTATTGAATGCTAAAATTAGTTGTTGCCGTTTGAATCTTTTTGTATATCCCTCGTGCTAATGAAATGATTTTCACTTGAACAATATACATGTGAAAAAACAAGCGCCAAGGTTGTTTATTTAAAGTGCAACAAATCTTGCTCAACAACAAGAAGCCGCCACTCATCGCAATCCAATGCACTTGTATTAGTGTGCCTGAATAGTTTCTTCATAGCCGTTTCCCGCCCTATCATCAACAACAATAAAAGATAAAACCTCTAAGTTCTCATTGTTTTCTTGTCAATAAATTCATGTATGAAATTAGGTTTCAACACGTATAATGCAATGAAATTTACACATTATGTAACACTTGAAGCATGTGGGAATTATATTGTGGCACTTAAGGAAGCCTTAATAGACCTGCCTGTTGCTGCTGTTGAAAAGAACAAGGAAGGTTGGATCTCGAGGGGAGAGATGGAAGAGCTGTAGAACAATGTAAGCACATGTACTTACGCTGAAAGTATCAGAAAATTTGGAGTTAAAATGGAGAAATCATATGATGCAGAGTGCAACATAGCAGGAAGATTGCAGAACATATATGTGTGTGGGGGGGCGTGCCTGCGCAAGGGGCTCCCCTTGCAACATATCTCAATATATATATAGTAAGTAATACTTCTCATATTTATTTTATTAAGAAGTATAGGTGTTATGCCAAGAAGGAATTAGCAAGTAGAAGAAAATTATTGTTGAGATACAGCAGTTTCAGCAAAAATTACCTTCCAAAACATATCAACAAAATAACCCAAAAGGTGGCGGTCATCCAACTCGGATCTTTATACGCCACCCAAACCTGAGATAGTACCAGAAAATATTAACATTCACTAAATGTGCAGTTGGTAAGGTTTGGAGTGGACAAAGGTAAGTAGTACTTCTGCATACCAAAGCAGAATATTAGACTGCAAAGATCTACGCGTATGTAATGTTTCAAAATGATGCATTCATTACAGATGTAGTCATCACATGTTAAAAGTGCCAAGTACAATGACATCGAACTTTTTGTGGTTACTTTCTTAATACCACATTTGGGGCCATTCAACAAATTTGAACACCATGACCTTGAGAATTCCAACCAAAATATATACATTTATATTGAAATCAAAGCTACAGCACATATATAACCAGGCTGCAATTAAGTTGCACATGCCGATATCCTAGAATGGACCTATGCGAATTAAAAAATCTAAAATAGCAATTTACCGATAGAGCAGCCACATTGACATAAAAATCAACCAGTGTTGCAGAAAGCCACCTGCAAATATGAAAATTTCTCAGGGAAACGACACATATAAAAGAGTACTAGATATACCTAAGATAAAATACAGATTAAGAAGTCAATAGTGATGGAATTGCATGTTTAAGTAGGATATAGTTTTAAGGATTTCATATTGTGATAAACAAAAATCATTGCAAATTATTATGCTGCAAGGACTGAGGAGAATCATGGGATAATTTGTTAAGTGTTCATATACTAAGAAGAACACTAAAGTTAGTGCTGAGCATCTGGTACTCTAATCATAATAATTTAACCCTGTTTATGCTTCATTACACACTCTAGCATCTAAGAGAGGAAGAGCAAGAAAGCAGGTCAATGGCAAAACAACCATGTTCATAATGACAAAACAATTATGTTCATCCAGACAAATCCACTTCCATCTAGCAGGAGTATGCTTACGGAGTGAGAACATCTCTGCGGAATGGTGATCCATCAGTAGCTATAGTATAAACCAACGTCCCAATCATAAGACAGCCCAAAGCACTGAAAAGGATCCTTGCATGGACAACAGATAATATACTTCTGGATTTCCTTTCATCCCTAAAAGTTGGAAGAGCAAATCAACATAAACCAAGAAAATGGCACGATTCATTATTGTTATTGCAAACACAAAATTAGGCGAGTTTGTGTAAATAAATTAAAAAATAACAAAAAGAAAAGAGTATAAGAGAAGTAAATTAAACAAAAAAAAGATGGAAGTTGCAATCTTTTGGTTAATCCTTGATAGAAGTAAACATGGTGGCATAGGTTTGGAATTTAGGGAACTAAAAATTGATATTGAAAGCTTCCATTTTGAGGACTCCGGAAGAAGAAAAGGATCACAAAGCTAGCTGCTTATCTGGCGCATACAAAAGGATACATCCCTATTCCCTATACCCGTCACATAAATCAATAGGAAACAATTTGAAATATATAGAAGCAGCTATGGCTGCTACTTACTTCTTTTTAGTTAGCAACACAAAGTAGATAGGATCTTGTACTGATTCTTGAGGGGACAGCTTTAGAAGCTGCAAAAGAATGTATCCACATGTAGTTATGCTGCAAAGGAGAACATGAAAAAGTTATAGCCATCCTGAAACGTGCAAAAACCTATCAGTTCAATGCATATATAACAAGCATTATGTCAAAATAGGAACATTTCAGTAGCATTGACCATTTGATCTTATAAGTCTCAGCATAAAGGAGAGCAAACTCAAGTGAACAAGAAGTATTATAGCAACAGAAGCATTTTTATTTTATTTTATTTTATTTTTGAAAAAAAAGGAATGAAATCATGTAGATGCATTACTACATCGCAGTTCAATCACATAGAGGTTTGGTAATTCCAGCATAAAGTGGTCAAGTGGGATATTACATGTTTCAGGCTTCGAGAACTTTTACATTGAAAAGTTAAAAGAGTTATGGAATGGAAGTTCTAAAGCCTACATAGATCAAGTGTTTTTGGCATTCCATGCTGCTTAATGCCATAACATATTGCAAAGAAAGGTGACAAAAGAATGAGAGAAAACTAAACTTTCAGTTAGTGACCATTGAAGCACAACCAAAGTTAGAAATTGATCACTTAGATTGACAACCGGATAGAAACTTCGCAACCATCCTGTGTGAATGTCATATGACATGTTAACAGATAAAACTCTATGTTGCCACAAATAGGTTGCGCCAAACTTGAATCCTGGTCGATTTTCTGCTTCTATAATTATATCAAATAGCTAATCATATATATAAGAAATCAACATCAGAAAGGAAGCCTGGGAAAGAAAAGCATAACTAGCTTCCAGCCGGTGCTCTCTACACTTGGAAAACTTGACCAAATCTAAACAAAACCTTAATGTATGAAATTGTCAGATTATTAATGAAATTAAATGAAATAAGAGCTATCACACCTTCCAAAACATATAAGGAGAATTATCCATATCACTGAATGAATCCAGCTAGATTCCTTGTAGACAATCCAGAACTGATATGATGAGTAAGAACAAAAATGTGAGATGCATGTTGAGCTGTTCAGATGAAAATGAAAAAAAAAAAAAAAAAGAGGTTATTTTGGAAGGAAAATCAAATAGAGTTTGTATAGCCTATCATCCGAAACATATCAAGATTGGAGACTAAAGTGATTTGAACTTAACTGTCCCCAAAGTTACCTAGAAGCAAAGTGAAATCTAGTAGAGATACCACTTAGGTGGATACTTGTTATATTTTTATATCCTACAATTTCCATTTCACAATCATACGTGCATAATAATTAGAAAGAAATAATAGACATCAACCTATCCCAGTTATTAAATTGTAATTTTCAAATTATATCAGCAGCAGCTGTCTTAATGTCACATACTTTGCCCAGAAACCATATCGTGTAGCTTGATAGGTATAATTACATATGAAATTAGAAAACAAAAATTAAAAAAAGATTAAAAAGATATTAATACTTTGCGTACCCCTATAGCAAGAATATTGATATAGAAATCAATCAACGTAGCAGCCATCCACCTGGGGAAAAAAAAAATAGCAATTGAAATTCAACAAGAACTTTATTAACAAATAATTAGGTCATTTCTTGAAATCCTATATATAATCAACAACTATTCAAGACTACAATAGGGGCAAACACATAAACACCACCAACAGTCCACTCTATAAAAGAAGATAGATAAACATCAGTCCACACACAATCCATGAATTTCAATTTTTCCATCATACAACTGAAAAGCTCACATGGACACCGACCAAACACCCACATAACAAGAATCTAAGAAGCACAACAAGTACAGTCTACAACAAAAACATTAATTCCGCAAGTAATCACTACTCCTCCTATGAAATGAGAGTGAGAAAAGCAGAAACACAAAACATACGGAGTAAGGAGTTCTTTACGGAAAGGAAGTCCATCAGCGATACAAGTATAGATGACAGTGGCGGTACTCCCACATCCCAGTACCAGGAACGCCGTTCTCAGCCCAATTGCAAGCGCTGCTGCCATTAGCTTTGAATTGTAAGTTTGATTTCTGTGTTTGGGAGATTATTCAAGAAATTGCATAAGCCGTACAGGAAGCATCGCAGTTGCGTGGCCACTTCCAGTCTCACAACTGCGTGGCAGACGATGAATCCACGTCTTCGCTCTTCCCACCAGTTTCCATACAAATTTCAATTTCTCATAATTCTATTCGAAATTTTAATAAACAAATCAATGTAGTGTGTAATTAGGGTACATAAAAAGCTTTCTTGGGTGTTTTTCTGTCTTTTTAACCAAAAAGGCATCAGTTCATAAAACGTGTTTATATTAATTGAAATTACAACACGCTTTCTTCATTTTTGATTGCATACGCTTATGATTGGAAGTCCCAAACATAACCAATGTACATAAACATGCAGCAGTGTCAATATTATGGATATAGATGAGAGAATTTGGGAACAAATGTTGCAACCAAACCTGCCCATGGAACAAAATCTGGAGATGCAAATAATGAATAGAATGAGAAGGAAAATGCAAACAGAAACTGGGAAGGGAGGAATGGAAGATTACAATAATACTGTTTGTGAAAAGGGGTGGGACGAACTGAGCTAAGAGTTAATCGATAGGATGCTTGTCGGCTTGACGTGAAGTGTAATGTGCAGAGAGAAGAAGCAGGGAGAGGAATGCACTGGCAACAAATATGGCATCAAACCATCGATGGTAGAAGTCGAACTGAATATCACCTCCCAATACATCGGTTATTATCAGCCTGTAATAAGAAGGGTGGGATAATCAATCTCAGAAAGCCATTGCTAAGAAAGAAGTATATATCAGAAAACCACTATATATTGATAACACAACAACTTACACAATATCATTTTCAATTTTAAAGAGGGCAAAAATAAAGCGGTGTAGATTACCATGCAGACCTAGTGTATTCGAAACTACAAGAAATACAAACTTAACATAGCAATAGCAGTGAAGGGTACCTGTATTCTGTTGCCAAGCTTTTCCGAATCAACAATATGGAAGAGACAAAATACATCCCCATTATCTCAGAGAGGAAAAGAACAACATTGCTTGAAGATCCACTTCCAACTCTTGAAACTGCAAAAAAGAACTGTACAAAAAGGCAAGAATCAGGAGATTGGGAGCATACCAGACAAATAGAATGCTCCGCGAGAGCAAATCTAGACTTGCATGAGACCTGTTAAGACTTATGAAGGGTAAATCATTCATCAAGCAACTCGGTAGTATATTCACATATATTTAGGAGGAGTTCGGCAATTAAAGCAGGATGAGAATCAAAACAATTCCAATTGGAGATCAGAATGATTTTAACTACATAACCCTCCACTTTGAATGCCCACACCACTGGTTCCCTCGTAACACTAAAGTAGATGTTCCAACTTTACAAAAGAAGAAAACAAGTTTCACTAACATGTTAGAAAATACAAGCCAGCTAGAGTGACAAAAAATTTGTAAGATGCTATGCAACACGACTGGGACGAAAACATGGGAGTAATGATGTTACCTTCATCAAATTTGACAAGAAACCCCTAACAGATATTACTATCAGCATCCCGATGAATAAAAGAGAAACATACTGCACAACAGGAGACAAACAAGGGTTATTGTGATTAGTGTTAATCAATAGTAGAAATTGGCACATAAGTCATGCAAATTCAATGGTTTTATATTCGAGTGTTAAAAATAAATAAATAAAATTAATTATGTCTCATTAATCGTAACAATCTCCATATAATTACATAGTATTTTCCCAAAGTTTTTTGGTACCGATTTAAGTTCATTACTAGCTATCCAATTTAGATCCAATTTTTAGACGGAAAAAAGTCATTCTTGTAAATCACTATGAACTTCAGAGAATATCAATTACACTCTCAGGCATTGCATGCAACAAGAATCCTGGATGATTCAGCATGAATTTTTTCAAATAACGCAAGGCACTAACCTGTGATAATAAAGTTACATTGATGCCTATATCAAAGAATTGCAGGAGTATGCTGATTGTCTTAGTCACAGGATCAACAGAACCAGCCTGCACAAAAGTTTGGACTACTTTTAAGTACCGATGAATTTATTGAGACAGATATCATACAACAAAGATAACTAAGTAGAAGATGATAAACAGAAAGGAACATTACCTCCTTAAATACAACACTCTGCAAAGACTGCAAAGCAAAACAACAAAGATAAATGAAAATTCAGTATCTTGCTAATAAAAACTTAGTCAACATGTTGACTATGATAAGTCGACAGATTACTAGTCAAAAACTCGTTGTCCACGTAAGGGTTTGTATCAAACATGCGCAGACCACATTGTCCATTATATTAGATCACTTATGCTTATACAGAGATGTAACACTTCATATTTGTTTATATTAACGATTCCATTGCACAATCTCACATGTAGATAATGTTCTAGTTTATAAAGCAATCCACTTGTATAACTTTTATTAAGAAAGATGACGATCGTGATTGAACACTGAACTTCTATCTGATAATGGGAAAATGCATTGCCCAAAAGTTTAAACTATATCAATTTACATTCATTTATATAAATTCTAATATACATGATTCACCTTTATCATTTTATATACACAATATACTGAACAAGCATAGCCCAGAAAGTTCTGCATATGACCCTTCCAGGTCCTTGAATAAGCAGCAGCTTCCTGAAATAACATTAAGGGTGAGATTTCAGAAGAAACTTAAAAGCCAGTCCACAACTAAGAGCAATAATATCCTAATATTAAACTTAACTTGCATAGTACAGGAAGGGCATAAACGCAAGTATACCTTAGCTTGACGAAGCTCATAGATTTCCAGAAAAAGTTGCTTGGAGAGCTCCTCTAATGCTTGTACCTCTGCTTCCGTGGTTTTAATATCTTCACAAAGAGGACCAAGATAAGAAACATTGTCAATGATCTCTTTCCTCGATGATTAAACAAATGGTAATTTTTTGTGATAAAACCAATTGGTCTTATAACTTAAAAAGATGGCATGGCAACTGCAGTTCAAACTGAAGACTTGATTAAGGGTAGGTCAATGCCATGAAAATCAAACTACATAATACAACAGAAGTAAGAAAAAAAAAAAAAGATCTGATACAGCACCATCTCATCAGCAACTGCACATGTTGAGGATATGATCTCATACATCTTATCTAAAACTCTTAAAAGAATCTGTAAGGGTATACACGTTGCTAAAGTACGATGTAGTTAGTTACTAACCTTGCTCCTTTTGGTCATCATGAACGGATCGGACAACTGTTCCTACTAACCTCTTTAGGAAGGACCTATTATTTGAATTCTGTCACATTAAAGTAAGCAGCAATTATAATCTGTCTAATTTGTCAGATTAAAGTACTCTATCATGTTTCACTCTCATGAACATACTTGAAAAGTCATGCTTGATATTTCCGATGATGCACTAAAAATCATATAATAATAATTCCCATGTTTGGATATCTTTTTTTTTCACCGTTAACTTTCAAAACACAAAAAACCAAACATAAGTTTTTAAAGAAGTAATATTTTCTTTTGAAAAGATACAAATTTAAAAGTCAATAATTATTCACTAATTAACCAATAATCTACATTCAAATTAAAGGTGTCATACTCACATAACACTATATTCCTAGAATTAAGCATCAATTTGACACACAAGCACATCATTCAAACACATTATTATGCTCTATATATTCAGACAGAACATCTTAAAAGCAGGTATCTAAGGGCTGCACAGAAGCTAATTTCATGCAACATTAAGCCATCAAAGACGACTTTCGAATAGCATTTTCCACTTCCAAGCTGCACAGTCTGACAATTGACTTTTCAATTACTAAACTCAACCATCAATTTTGGGATAATGAATCCACCAAAGAATTCTAAGATTAACATCAACAAACACAGTGGTGTGAAATCTTACTGCAACCTATGACTTGTTAACTAAGTTTAAATATGGCATCAAGGAAAACACACCTCTTCAGATCCCTGTTTTCGCTCTATCTCCATTTGGCTGAGAATAATTTTCTTCTTCTTTGCAATGCAAGTCTCAATAGACTGCATTAGCTGCCTCTCAACTGACTTGATTTCTGATTCATCAATTTCTCTTCAAGTTGGGAGAGGTAAAAAAAACATGCATATGCATTAGATGGTAATAACTGAATTGAGAATCAGTAAACATAGAGAAAATTTCAGCTTACCATAACTAAAACCTAGGAAGCACAATCTGCTATGTGTTAATTCAGCATCATGATGGTTGATCTTTCCATTGGTTCAATGACAAGCTAATGGTTAATATATTTACAAAAATTCCTATATTAGTCAAATATGAACATTTTTGCATAATACAATGTTCTTTGAATTTAAATTTGTAAAAGATGTTTTTTAGATAGTTTTCTTCCAACTAAAGCCTCATAAAAACTTTTAAGTTGTTGGATAGTTATAAGTTCTGTAGAATTGCTTTGAAAATCTCAAGCAAAATGCTTGTAAAATCTATAGAAGTTGTCATGAAATAAAACTTAAAGCTCTTTTATTAAATGACATCTTCCTTACCATTTTACACCATTATATTCACCCTAATTTGAATTATTAGATTATGTTCTCTAACATTTTAGTTTCTTCTTAACTGTATATGCTAAATAATTAGATTTGAATATTTATCAAGAATTAATGCATCACATGATGCTAATCCCCTACAGAAAATTATGATCATATAAGCTAAGTTACAAAACATTGTACTTGTTATATAACATGTGTAGACAACACATGAACTCAAATTAATTGCTTTTAACCAAACACTAGCTCTCATTATTATTATTATAAAAAAGGGAAAAAAGTAAAAAATATCAGTGGATATGCTCCTTCAGCTGTAATTCTATATTTCTTTCTCAAAAAGAGAGAGGCAGTACATCCTAAAAAGATTTTAATGGCATTGTAAAAGCTATAAGAGCATATAAATTTGAAAAAATAAGTTCTATCAAACACATTCCAAGCAAGGTCAGAAAAACTCCATTACAAATAGAAAGTAACACATACTAGAGTGGTAATAACGCATCTAATGGACAGTTAGCTAAGAAAATGTTGTAGCCAGAACCTTTTAGCACTAGAATTATAAAAAGACCTATGGTGCCAACTTATTCTATAATCACAGCTTAACCAAATAAGCTTCACAAAGAATACAAGATTTGTCTCAGAGAAGCATACAGAGAGACAAAATTAACCATCATATAGCTCTTTAGTGTTTTATAATAAGTTCAACAATTCTTACCTAATAAAGAGAGAAAGATAGCTGTATGGCAAATTAACTGCTCCAAAGCCAGATAAAACAGCCATGACAGTAACACCAATAACTCCAATTCTGCTAACCAACTGGGGAGTGGTGAAAAATCCTGAGAAGCACAATCATGAAGCAGCAACATACAGCCAAACTTGAATTAAATGATTTTCCAGGAAATGAAATTCTTTAAACAATTAAATTCCACACACACAAAAGAGATTAAAAAATTAAAAAAATTGTACAAAACCAATTGTTTTTCAGATAATGAGACAATTAATACATCAAAGACGTAGGAAAATTTGAAGCAATTGCACAACAAAAGAAAGGTATTTCCATGGAAACAACCAAACAGTCAAGTGGTCAACCAACAAATGTCTGGCAATGTAACAAGACAAAATTAACATTTGTTCACCATAAACAACAAGCCATGTCCTTTGTGTAAAAACAGTGTGGAGTGTGGACTCCAAAATAAAACAGACAAAGCATTAACTCAAAAGACCCCAGTTGGGGCAAGCAAGATAGAGACCATTCCTGTGGCTTTCCAATGAATTTTTCAAGCAGTCGTCCAGAATAATACAGATCAATGGGTATGGCATATTAAAAGTAGAAGTTGATTTAAAGTGAGATACATCATATAGATTTCACAAGATGCTTGAGCATGGGCATATAGTTCCACTGCAATTGCAAACGAAAAAAACACCTAACCTTTATCTGGAGAGGGCATAGGAAAATGAACACCCATTCTCCAAAAACCATACAGAAAAGCCAGCAAGAATATTACAGCACCAAGTGAAGCCCGTTCCTTCCTAAGACCTGAAATACAGTCAACAATATTACAAAATTAGAATATAAAATTGTAGTGATTAAATAAGATTTCTCATGAATTAAAGTATCCAAACACCTACTTACAGAGCAGTATTACAGATATTTAGACTAACGAAAACTCCAATAAAGAAAATCTTGATTAATTTTTGGTGTACAACTCTAATGCAAAGAAAATTTTACAAGACTTGTTAAACCCCATCTTAAATTAAACCAAGATGTACACACACACTATCAATATGGGATAGTCATTTCAAGAAATCAATAATCATCACAAGTCTGTGATACTCAAAAGGTCTTACATTATTCATGAGAAATTATTAGGTTGACATCTGATGACGGTAGGTATAAGAAGTCTGCATATAGAAGACAAACTAAAAAGAATATAGATACGCAACACAAGCAGGCATAAAACAGATAGAAATCGCAAATAAATGTGAGACGATCATCTAAGTTTCCATGTATAAAGAGTAGATAGCTCACAAACAAGCATTAATAACAGTAGTATAACCAAATGTGGCACACTAAATGTTGCAAAATATGCATTTTAAGCAAACTGCACAGCTAGCCAATTTGAAATGCAAATTAAGGTTCTAGAGAAAAGCCTGAGATCAAAACTCTAATACCATTGCAGGAATCAAAATTGAAAAGAACACAGGAAAATCTCACATTCTATTTATAGAGTGAAGCTACATAATTATTAAAAAACTAGAAACACTGGAAGAAAGCTTAAATTATCCCGCTTAAACAAATCCTAATTCTACAGCAGGATAACAATAGAAAACATTTTTTATATGACTTCAACTCTAATATCCTAACAAATGAAACTATATTACTATTTCGCACACATTTAAAGAAAAGGGATAGATAAATATGTATTTCCCCAGAATGGTCAAGATCAAAAGCAAGTAATCTTCACAAAGCGACACAATTATTGTTGGAAGTATAAACTGAGGAACTACCAACAATTTCAAATGAAGTGTAAACACAGCAAACCACCTCCATTTCCCCCTCCTTAACAAACGGATCAACATGCAGATAATTAACTTTTTGGAGTCAAACTCACCACTGTTACAAAGCATGAGATAGCAATGATAGTATGGCAACATGAAGACGAGCAGCAGTATCAGACAAAACAAATCCACCTTCCAGTTCATCCTTCTAGCACTACAAATTACAGCAAGTGAAGCAATTCATTAGATTGAAAGTTAGGGTCTTAATCTCCACCAATCGACACAGTGCCAAAAAACAATATCAGAACATTTATTACTCCATCGTGATTAAATAAAGACCACAACACAACCTCTATGATCTAATACAAGATGGGCTTGCATACAATCCACTCCACTAGCAAATCATTCCAGAAAAATACGTTAAACTGAAATCTGACAAAACAAACAATAAATAATACGAACTGCTTACTCTTTGGAGAGAATGGGAATAATCTCGAAGAGGACTAGCTGGAAAAGATTACAAGAAAAGGCAAACACAACGCTGAAAATGATCTGAACCAACACCCGCTTCTCTTCGTACTCCTTGTAAAGCCGCCTGTTCAAGAACCACAAACCGCCCCAACCCAAAAGCAAAAGCGACCCTATTGCCACGACTCCCTCGTACACCACCCTCCCCCACCCCATCTCGATTCCGCCCCTTCTTTCCCTGAAACAAGAATTCCTTTCAACTCCTCACCCGACAGACCGTCAATTCGGGCTCACCGGTGCCTGTCACCGATGGATTGCGGGAAGCTCTTGAACAACAAAATACAGCGAATTAAGAGAAACCCTAATTGAACTGGGAAGAAAGGGGAAATGCCGAGGCATGAGATCTTGCAGCGCTGATTGCCAGAAGCACGTATCCTCGATGCAATTACTGGTTCTTGGAGTTAGATTTAGATGGCAGTCGCAAACTCCTGGTTCAAGAATCAAGATAGCAAATAATGGAAATTGAGCATGAACTTGAGGGTGGGCTTTCCCATGTCGCTGTGGAATAGTGTTGGCTCAGTGAATAAGTGATGGCGAACAAGAAAGAGGATACAGTTTACCATCAAAAACAAATCGTGGAAATGAAGCACGGAACGAATCAAGAAGAAACGATCGACAATGGACGCCGAAGAGTGCATGAATTAGTTTATGTAAAACCTGTTGAAAACTTTTACAACGTAATCTGTATTTTTATTTTTCTGTTTTATATATATATTAAAAAATAAAAATAAAAATCTCTTACATTTCATCGGATATTTATGCTAATAATAATTTTTCTCGTTATTGTTATTGTTATTATTATTATTATTATTATACTGTGGTTTTTTAGACATTTATTAGCAACTTATTTCCTTTTTTTTTTATATTACTATATTTCAATTTCTTCTACTATTTAGCTTCATTCTTCTTAACAAGATTATCAGATATAATTTCGCAAGAATCTGGCTTTAAAAAATATATACTCCGTCCGTTCACAGACGGAGGGAGTATTTAAATTTTAAGTTAAATAATATTTTAATCTAATCTTTTATGAAAAAAAAAAAAAAACCTTATATGTTTTGTAAAAATGATATAAATTAAATAGTATACTTTAATTTGAAATTAAAAGTAAAATAAAATAAAAAAATCCTTGGTGAATCAAATTCTTACTATCTATTTAGAAAGTCCAAAATATATTCCACTCAAATTTAACTTTTTTTTTTTTTGTCTTATTTATTACGAAACTTAGAAAACAATACAATAAAAATAATTTCATATTGACTCGTCCAGATCAGTAACCTCTTCCATCCCATCCATACTACAGAGGCAGCAGCACATGGAATGGAATGTTTACATGATTTTACAAAACATAAAAAAACGTTTCACGCACATCTTCAACCAAAATCAAACAGCTAATTATCAGCCAATAATCAAGTAATTAAACAAAATCTGCATCTCACGTCAAAGGTAAAATCCATTAGATTATATATACCAATAAATGCAGGACTACATTTAGTAAAACTAATGCTTTTTTTTACCTTCCAGCAGCTCTTGCACTCATGGACGAATGGTAATTGGTGCTTCTCTCTTTCCTGTAAGACGAGTACACATCATCATACTGACTTTGCTCCGCCGGGTTGTTCGTTGCGCCGAGCCCCAGCCTGCCAGAGCTGCCGCTCTTCGGTTCCATACTTCCATCGTTATCTGGCTCAGAGTTTAGGCTGGCCGGCGGAGGTATACAAGCTCCTCCCTTGCGGGCAGGGAGGTCTTTCTCATAATCGTAGTCATAGCCATCATCGCCCCTTGTTTCGGACGAGATCATGGGTCCTTCGGAGGGGTTCACCTCTCCAATCTCTCGGAAGAACTTCGACACTCTTTCAAGAATATCTGACTGTGGCACGTTTGAGGGTGGAATCACGGTTGGAATATCCAGAGGGCTCATAGGAGAGTAAGGTACTCCGCTGCCTATCTGCATCTTTCGGACCATACCAGGGATGAGACCCGGTGGAAACAAGGGGTACGGGGGCAGTTTTTCGCCAACTTTTCCGGTAGTAGGTGGTGTTGGTAGATTTGGTTGTTGAGCGGAAGATGGCAGAGGCATTGATCCGGTTAATCCGCCTGAAGGAATTGAATTGGGATGAAATGGTTGGGGTGGAATAGAGGGAACTTGTTTATCAGCAAAGTCGTGCTTGTCTGGCTGCCATTGCAAAGAACTATTACTTGCCAATGGGTGCAGTCCTGTGAAGAGAAATGTTACAAAACAACACTTAATATCGTATTCCTGTCTAAAACTACTAAAAACATATTAAACCTCTTAATACTGACGTAATCAAATGAACTTATGTATTAGCACAAGGTTAGAAACTAAAGAGATCATATTTCCATTTAAAACTATCGAAAACATATAGAAACTATTAATACTGACATAATTAAATAAACTTATTTCTGAACACATAACCTTCAATGTTAGCTTCTTAATGCCAATAATCCATGCATGTAAAAGGTGGTTTTCAAGAACCTACCTGGGGCAGAAGGACGATCTCCTGCAAGAGCAGATGCGTCAGTGTGGGGTCCAGGTACAGGATTTAGTGGCAACCCACTCATCATTTCATTTTCAAGCCCCATGATCGTGTCCTGATCATAAACTTCTTTGGAGGCCCAGAATTGTAAGATTTTCTTCAGACGGGACTGGTTTTCATCCTTGTTTTGTGGATTGTGGTATATTCTTGCAAACATGGAACCTAGAACAGGCTTAAATGCAAGTGCTTCACTATCAAGTTCCTGAGCATTTGCCCGCCTCTGCAAGCTGCATATGTCAGAAATTGCACATTTCAACGATACGACACAAAATTGCATAATGATGCAAAGAAGAGGCAAATGAGTATCTACAGGGTCAATCACTGAAGCAAATTTTTCAATCAAATTGCAAGTATAATTTAAGTTTAGAGAACCACAGCCAATATACAAGCAATTCCATTACTTACAAACTGCTTAAATGAGAAAGGTGTAACTATTTCATAGGTGATAAGCACTTCGAAAATAATTACTTCTATGAGTTCTATCAATTACTGTGCCTAATAGTGCAAGGAAGCATAATATTTAAAATAGTGCTGTTATAATAGAAATAATTCACTACTATTATTTAATTATCTAGATTATTAATTAGTATTAGGTTCATCACTACAAAATATAGAAAATAACCGACAATGGGCTAAAGAAATGCATTGAGGAAATGCAAGTTACCAGTAAATAAATATGCAATAAACAGAGCTTTCCACCAGAATACATTCAAGAAAATGGATAGACAAGCCGCAGCATACCTGTCAAATAAAATATCATTGGCAAGGTAAACAATATGCAGCTGTCTCTCAGAATCATCCAGAGAAAAAACTCTATCTCGAAGCGCTTCAGCCAGAGCAGGAATAAAAGGAGATCTCTGCATAAACCAAGTCTTTGCACCTTTAATTGATTCCTTTGTTCCAGTAAGATTGTTGAGAACACCATTTAGCTCCATCTCAACATCAGAAGGCAGTGTTCTAGATACCCCTTTGAAAGGTCTGTAAGATTGATCAAAATCAGGACGGCTATGACCCACCAAAGCCTGAGAGGGATGGGGGTGCTGCTGCTCAAAGAATGGTGGATAAGCAGGCTGTTGTAGGTGAGAGGAACCCATTCCTGGAGTAGAAACAGTGGAAGCAGCATTTGGAGTATTTATAGCCGCAGGGTTCATGATGGGATTGGGAGGGTGCATCAATGGCACAGAAGAGGGAAAAGGTGGTGGGTTGTAAGGACCCATAAGGGGTCTTGTGGCCATCCAAAGCTTATACCGGTAGTAATTATGCCCTTCTCCACCAAAGAGAAAACTGTAAGCAGGATTATCATTCTCTCTTTCACGCACAATGGCTTCAAACTCTGGGCCATTCTTGACAGTATATTCAACAAATTTGTCAATCCGTTTCTGATGTTCAGGATCGGATGGTGGTGGAGCAGGAGGTGGTGCAGAATCATACGGAGCATGAAAAGGGACAAGATGTGGGGGAACATGCGGAGCAAAAGGAGGTGGTGTCTGTTGATGGAGGGAAGGGTGGGGAGGTAATTGAGGATAGAGTTGGGTTTGCTGCATTGGGCGAGGATAAGGAAATGGCTGAAGTGAAGGATGAGGGGGCAAAAATGGAGGGCCATGGCCAGATGGGGGAAATTGTTGATGTTGTGGGTGAAAACCATATTGCTGCTGCTGCTGCATATTAGCCCCTTGTTGCTGCTGCCCATATGCCATGGGAGCACCATATTCATGAGGCTGCCGGTCCATCAGCAATGCCTAGAAACTGGCTTGTTGAGCGTCTCTCAGAAGTTCTCTTGAAACTGGACATAGAAAACGAGAAATCCCATCAATATTAAAACAATATATCACTTAATCAAAGACTTCTTAATAATGAACATTAATTTCCCGTTTAGTTGAATAATATCTTAGGATTAGTTGGAGGAAAGAAACAGTGCACCATAAAACTCATTAGTAACTGAGTTCAAATTTTTAGATCCCATTACCATGCAAGTTGATAATAACAGAAAAATATGTGGACAAGCATAAGCCCTAACCTGTAATCAGTATCCTCTTGAAAAGGCTTTTACTAACAAAGATATGTTAATTTCAAGCTACAGTTTATCCTTTTCTTTTATGGATCTTCACCACAAATTACACTAAAGTGGACAAGATGAATAACAATTCAAGTACAAATTCATAAATAAGCAGAAACAAAAAGGAAGGAAGTGGCAATGTAAAGCATGAAATGCATATTTTATTTTTAAAACTTAATTAAGAAACTTAGTGCAATAGCTATCAGTTTACAAATCTGTCATGAAGATAGAAGGCCATTTCAATCAAGAATACTCTCAGAATTCAGATGTTTCTGGAACGCTTGATTTTCTTACAACAGAATATCAACTGTAGCCCATCCACCAAACTACCTTCACTTCTACATGAAGACATTTCAAAAGAAGAATTTTCTTTTCTTAATGTTCACTAAATCATCAATGATTGCATCCTTAGGCATGCATATGAAACAACGATTTACAAACAGCCCAGTTATCTTTGCTTATTTATTCTACATATATCGTTACTTTATATGCAGTTATGCATGTATATGTACACCATATATACCCATTAAACATGTGTTAGTTCTCGGTTAATATTCGTTCTTTTTTCCCCCATAATCAATGGAGAAAAGAGACTGCGCTGTGTCATAACAAATAATTAGAGTTTATGACATAGATCACTCAAAAACAACCATACCATGGCCAGGACATAGCAAAACCAGAGACCAAAAGAACATGTTTATAAATCCATTATTCAGTGGCAAGACAGATATCGCACCTAAACCGAGACAAATGGGCATAAGGAGAACCGTCAGTGCAATATTGTGAGTCTTAGCAAGTGAAACATTCATAAACAACACTAACTAGAAATTGATCCCTGTCGTGAGAGGTGAAAACCCGCCAAATAAGCTCTGAAAGTGAAATAAAGCCATACCGGAGCCTAGGCTTCTCAATTTATCCAACCAAATCCAGCAGTTACACATTTTTCCTCCTAGTCTCTATTTTCCACCGGATCCAACCCAGCAAACCCGCGACATTTTCCTTGTTCTTTTTTCAAGTGTCTCCTATGCAACTTTGTCTGAATACAATTGGATTGAAATGACAAATCACCAAGGAATTGAACACAATGCAAATGCTCTAATGATTCTGCTTGCTTCTGCTTTAACCGTTATGAATTAGATCGAAATGAATCACGTAACATAAACACGATCAAACTCAAAATTGGTGAAAAATAGAAATGCTTAAATGATTATCACACTTGCTCACCATCGAATCCAAAAAAAAAAAAAGAAAGAAAAAACCAATTCAAAAATAACAAATCCAAATTGCAGTAAATGCTTATTCTCACACTTGCTTCTCTTGTAGGAGACGACGCAGTTGAAGGAGAGGAAAGTCCGAACCACCGTCAGCTGAGGAGAGACGCGGAGTAACGGTGAAGCGGAGGAGAGTCCGGTGCGGGTAAGTGAAAATCAAACGATTGGGACTAGGGTTAGTGGAAACTGGAGCCTGCCTGTGTCGATAAAATTGAAATTGGGTGAAATTAATTACAGAATCGGGTGCGGTTCGGGTTCCCGGGTGGATTTTACCCTGACCGGGCTGGGACCCATTTTGAGGGCTGAAGGCCTCAAACACTGCTTGAAATACCTTAAGAGTGTTTTTGTCGGGATTGGATTGGATTTACATTATTCATTCAATTTTTTTTTTCAAAAATATCAAATCAAACGTGTATTTTTCATTTTTTATATTATATTAAAAATCAATTTTATATTCAAAATATCACATCAACACCTATTTATAACACATCATACAACTATTTAAATTCAAAATTTTTACTATTCAAATCCCAACTTAAAATCCAACCCCAAACAAACCCACCCTAACTCTCCTCTAGTAAGAGATGGCTCTCGTTCCGAAAGGTATGGCCTCCTCTAGTAACAGATGGCTCTCGTTCCGAAAGGTATGGCCTAATGGCTAATATTTTGTAATAAACTTGTCACCGTTGAGGAAATCATATATATATATATATATACACTTTTTCCGGAAAATATTTTGTAATAAACTTGTCACCGTTGAGGAAATCATATATATATATATTTTCTCCTTTTCCGAAGTATCAATTTGCTTTTTGCTCGTAATTTTATAAATATTAGTATTATATTATAATATAGTAGGAATAAAGTAAGAAATAACTAAAATAACTTTATTAGGGTAATAGTATTTGTATAATATACTGTAAGTTACAAGGGTATTTGTAATGTTAGGTAAATAGTACAGTTACTAAAAAAAATTGATACTTTGTTATGGAGGGACTAAAATGGAAAAATGAATATTTGTTATGGGACGGAGGGAGTATTATATTTTCTCGGTCCCGAAATTATAGTTTTGGTTGTGTTGGTTGGGCACGAGATTTTTGGTAAAAAAAAATATAGATAAAAGACATTTTTGTCCTTGTATTAATGTAAAAAGTAGTGTTAATTGTTAATAATAATAATGAAAGAGTAAAGATAGTTATACAGTGATATGGTTATTTATGGAAATAAGAAATAAGACTATTGTTTTGAGACGAACAAAAATAATAAACAAAACTATTATTTTGGGACGTACAAAAATAGTAAACAAAAATATTGTATTGGACGGAAAGTAAATAAAAGAGTTTAGTATTTTTTTTTTTAAAAATTTTGCAATTCTACAATCTCAAAATTTTGAAAATTTTTTTCTTTTTTTTTTTACTCCCTCCGTCCCAAAAAACATGAGACTATTACTGTAGATACGGGAATTTAAGTAAAGTATAATTAGTAAATAATTAAGAAGTGTATTAGTAAAAATAATTATTATTTAATAATTATAAATTAAGATTAAGATAAGTAAATAGTTTAATTAAAATTAGGAAAATTTAAAATTTAAAATGCGATTAAAGTTGCATAATTATATTTCCAAAAATAGAAAGGAAAAGTTACGTGGGACGAACGAAAATAGAAAATATGGACAAATTATGTGGGACGGGTGGAGTAATATGTTTTTTCCTTTTACAATTTTTTACATAACAATAGAAATACAATTTTTTTTTTCTTCTGCAAATATTTATTGTTTATTATTATTATTTTCATATATTACTTTTATAATTACTATTTTATGATACATAATTAATTAACTTTTTTTTTAATTTAAATTATAATAGAATAACTTGAAATAGTTATGTCTATAAATATAAAATTTTGTTACTAAAATTTTATTTTATTTATTTATTTATGAAGTACTTTAATAATTATGAAATTTAAATTAAATATATTTATTTTTTAATATTAAATACATTTGTTTGGGGGTTTTGATTTTGAGTTTATTTGAATAGTAAAAATTTTGAATTTGAATAGTTGTATGATGTGATATAAATAGGTGTTGATGTGATGTTTTAAATATAAAATTGATTTTTAGTATAATATAAAAAATAAAAAATAGGTGTTTGATTTGATATTTTTTTGGACAAAAATATGATGAAATCCAATCCCCAAATAAACACACCCTATATGATTATCACATATACACTCATATTGATATATTAATTTGTATATATATATATATATATTATTAGTATATTTATTTTTTATAAATAATGTGATTTTGTAGATAATTTTATAAATGGAAGAGGTTTTATGGTTTTGGTTTTAAGTGGAATTTTAACTAAATGTTAGGGGAAAAACTAATTTTTACAATTTTTTTGTAATCTTTATAAATGAGTTGACTAATTATATTTTTTTTAAAAAAAAATTCATTATATTTTTTACATTTTTCTTATTTCCTTTTTATATTCTCTCAATTTTCTAATATTTTTTGTTATTGATTATAGTTTATTTTCATTATTTTCTTGTTGTTTATTTTAGTTGGCTTTTATAAAGTTGAATTTGAAAAGACTGTCTTCTAAGTTGCCTAGTGTTTTCTTTTCATGATGTCATATTTACTGCAAAAATAATTTAAATAATAGTTTTATTTTCATAATTAATCAAGTTCTAAACACATCCAAAATATATATATAGCTTTTATATATTACCTCAATCCATCACCGATCTATCCATTTGTATTTGCCGTAATTGTTTTTAACATTAAAAATATTCTTATATTTGTATAATTTTTTGTACAAATTTTATTTCATTAGTATTATAAGACACCAATAGAAATATTTTTGTCATTTTTTCTTAATTTGTACTATGTGATATAATAATTAATATTTAAATATTAACATGGAAAAAATAAATGGATAAATTGGCAGTGGACGAAGTATTTTTTTTAATTATTTTGTTCATAATAAATTAAATTATTATTTTAACATTAAATTATTTTAATTATATTAATATTTAAGGTAAATCATAGTTTATATTATTACATTCATTTCATTTGAAGTTTGTAAAAATTTTTTTTTTTTAATTTATTTTAAATGATAATATTTTTCTAAAAAAATTAATTGTTATTTATTTAATTATTACTATTTTTATAAAAAATTTATTATTCTTAAAATTATTAAAATATTTGAAAATAAAAATAAATTTCAGTAATAATATATTTTGAAATGACTAACAAATTTTCGTTGATTGTATTGTGCGTAGCAATTGGCATTTACGTTAGTAATAATATAAATAAATTCAAAGTTCGATTGATTTTGTAATTTAAATTAAAATTTGTGGTGGTTATATAATTAAAAAAAAAAAATCATATCAAATAATTATTAAAAAATTATAAAAAAAAAAACTCAATTTTAAATTAAAATCAAACAATTATTTCATTATTATTATTGTTATTACTATTTACTGTATTTTAAATTTTATATGTTGAATTAGGAATAATTACAATATTAATTCAAAAGATTTTTTTTTTTTTTTAAAAAAAAAAACTCACATAAACTAAATGCAGTCATGGAATATGAAATACTTATATATGTAATTATTCTTTTTATTTATTTAATTTCGTATGTAATTTTGTATTACCGAATATGTTGTTCATATATGTAAGATGTGTTTGTTTTCATTATATTAATGTTATTGCATAATAAATTTATTTATTTATATTGTAATTGTACAATAAATTGAATACAAAATTTTGAAAATTCAATTTTTTGAACGTTATTTTTATTATTTTGGTTTAACTAATATTTATATATGTATTTTTGTTAAAAAAAAGAAGTAACTTTTGATATAATTATGAGAATTAAAATGGTAAAAATTTAATCTACTTGGTATTAAAGATTATATTATATGTTAGTTTTTTAACATTTGTGATAATTTTATAAAGAAAGAAATATGAGTAAAATTATGCACAGTAAACTCAAAACAATAAAATATTTAACAAATAATAAATAGAATAATATTTTTTAATTTTCATACAAAGAAGTGACAAAACTAAAATAACAGTAATCAAAGTAGAGGAATAGCTAATATTTAACTACAAAACATAATATATATAGTAACTATTTGAATGTTAATTAAGCCGACAGTGAACTAATTAAGCATCGGCTTAAAGTTAACTGTGAAACGGGACTTCCCATCATGTCGATAGCCGGATATTTTGACCACATAATTTTTTTCTAAGCCATTTTGTAAGATTAATTTTTTTTCATTCTTTCTTGATGATTATCATGTGGAGACTTGACCATATCGCCAAATGTAGGTTGTAGATATCTCCATTCAAATCGATTGTTGCGACTTCAAAGCCTCCTTCTTTAGTAACGACAGCTCTTTCTTTTTCGATCAAGAACTCCATAATTCTTTCGTTTTTGGTGACAAATAGTCTGTTTTGTCCCGGGCTAATGTCGGATTTCTGCAGCTTCTTCAAGTGCAGGAAAACCGGCACTTGACCAATTGCTTCAGCCAATGGTAATGAAATTTCTGGAATTTGATCGACATCGTTGTTTCTGCTGTTGTCGCGTCTAACCCTTTGTCATGTTGATTTCTTCTTGGAATCGGTTGTGATGACGACGCCAAACAGCTTTATCGAATTCTTCTTCGCCATTGAAGTAGAAGTTTGATCTATTTTTCTTGTGCAATTTGTGTGAATTTTGTGTGCATGTAATTAAGTATATATATATATATATATAGAGGTAGAAAAATACTTAATTATGGAATGTTAAGTTGTAATGTTTCCTAAATTAACAAGGAAGTTTAATGTTACATTAGTAACTACTTAGCTTATTTTTATTATCTAATATATAGTTGTATTTTTGGAAATTTTATGGATTTTTATTATGTGTAATTAAGGTAACTAATTCTCCCATCTCTTATTTATTTTTATTTTTCAAAATAAAATAGTTTGTCCTTGTTTATTTTTTAATACAAATTCAAATAGAATTTGCCAATATATTATATTTTTATGATTTATTTATGGAATTGGTTACTACATTTACGAGAAGTTATAAATGGAAGAAAATTGTAATTTAAATTTAGAATTTGTTTATTAAGTATTTAATTTTTTATTTTTATTTAACTAACAATTGTGTTTGATGTTTTGTAAGAAAATTAATACTTTTTAATTTTCAACATTTTTTTTTTACCATTTTTGTATATTTCATTTAAAAATATTTTTTAATAATAAAATTAATTCATATGTAAATTTTAAAATATTCTTTAATTTTTACAAAAATATTTATATTTTTATATTTATAAGAACACAAATATCAAAACTATTTTTTTATTTATTTTCTTATATAAAAAATATCTTATAAGGATACAAATATTAAAAATATTATTTTTATTAATCAATAAAATATTATTATCTTCTAATCTACTATAAAAAAATAAATTAATAATAAAAAAGCATCTTGAATTGAGTTACTACATAATTAAGATTAATAATTGTATTATTTGAATAAGATATATTTACATTAATACAAATATATATTGTATAGGTTGCTATATACTCTATAATTTAAATTAATAATGCACATGAATAATTATTGTGTTATATTTACTATTATCATGTCTTATCAATTCTTGTATTTTTAAATAATATATTTAAAATATACTATCTTATTTAACTCATATTAAAAATTTTGAGCGAAATAAACTATTTTTAGAATGTCGATGCATTTTAGGGAAATATATATATATATATATATCCACGTCACCCACCAAAGTATATTTATCTTCTGGACTACTCCTTCACACACACCAAACGACAATGGCAGCGCCGCCGATCAACATCGGGATCGTCGGCTGCGCCGACATATCCCGCAAAATCTCCCGCGCAATAACCCTCTCCCCCAACTCCACAATCTGCGCCGTCGGCAGCCGCTCCGCCGAAAAGGCCGCCCGATTCGCCGCCGACAACGGCCTCCCGGATTCCACCAAGATACACCCCTCCTACGACGCCGTTTTGGACGACCCTGACGTCGACGCCGTCTACATGCCGCTCCCGACCGGCCTACATATAAAATGGGCCGTCGCGGCGGCCCGCCGGAAAAAGCACCTCCTGCTGGAGAAGCCCCTTGGCCTGAATGTCAGGGAGGTCGACACCATCCTCGAGGCCTGCGAATCCAATGGCGTCCAGATCATGGACGGCACCATGTGGATGCACAATCCCCGAACGACGAAGATGAAGGAGTTCCTATCCGATCCTTCTGAATTCGGAAACCTCAAATCTGTAAAATTATTTAATTTCATCTCTTCCGCGATGTTTTCCCCCTTTTAGACCTAATTGCAGAAACCCTAATTAGGTCCACAGCTGCTTCACCTTCGCCGCAGACGAAGACTATCTGAAGAACAACATCCGCGTGAAGCCCGATCTCGACGGCCTCGGCGCTCTCGGCGACGCAGGATGGTACTGCATAAGGTCGATTCTATGGGCGGTGGACTTCGACCTCCCCAAAACGGTCCTCGCCTTGCGCGGCGCGGTTTTCAACGCCGCCGGCGTGATCTTATCCTGCAGCGCCGCCCTGAGTTGGGAGGACGGCAAGGTCGCGACCTTTCACTGCTCCTTCCTCGCCAATTTGACAATGGACATGACGGTGATTGGAACGAAGGGCACTCTGCACCTCCATGACTTCATCATTCCGTTCGAGGAGGCGAAGGCGTCGTTTTCGGCGTCGGTGGAGCCGGAGTTCAACGATCTGGTGACGGGATGGGCGCGTGGGCCGCGCGTAGTGACTGTGGCGACGGAGCTTCCGCAGGAGGCTCTGATGGTGAGGGAGTTCTGCAGATTGGTGCAGAGGATTAAATATGAAGGCGGCCGGCCGGAGAAGAAGTGGCCGAGTATCAGTAGGAAGACGCACCTGATTCTGGATGCAGTGAAGGCGTCCATTGAGAGTGGGTACCAAACTGTCCACGTCGCCGGATAGATCGATGCCGCCGGTGGACTTGTCGTTTTCCGGCCATGGGACACCAGATTCGTCGTTTTCGTTTGGTCCAGCACATCTGTTTCTTTTTTTTTTTTTCATCTAAAATAATTAAATCGAACCTAAATTTTTTTATTTAACTAGTAAATTATAACATAAATTCAAGACTATATTTATTTTTACATATTTAAAATTTTTAATTTTATTTACAATAATATATATCTTTAAATAAAATGTTGTACTCCATCAATTTTTTTTGTTATTTTAAATTTTTTTACAAAATGTTTCGCGTAAATCCAAACATCCTGTTAAATTGGGCTGTTAACTATAATGGAGCCTGTATCGGTTAAGGACAAGAATCTCTCTATATATATATAGAGATCGAGATCAGTTTTGAGTCATTTCTTTACCATGTGTATTAAAAAAGTGCAGCGTGGTTTTGCATTCTGAAATATCATTGCACGGCCCATAATGTATTAAATTAATTTACGCAATCCAATGAGGAATCAAACCTGACATCGGCTCACCTGCCAATACGCAATGACGTGTTTATCTCTTCCGAATGATTTTAAATTATGCTTAAAATTTAATATTCCTTTTTTCATTATTTTGATCTTATACTCCATAATTTATTTATTTTTTATTTTGATTTATTTTTTAAGGAATATAATTATATATTTTAATAATATTATAAAATTAATAATTAATAATTTTTTTATTTTAATTAAATTATTAATTATTTTAATGTTAACTTATAATTATGTGTATTATATTATAATTATTTTTATTAATATATTTTTTAATTATTTAATATTAATATAATACTTAAAAATTATAAATAGTAAAAATATAAAATTTTAGTACGATATTCTTTTTTTTAAAAATATTAAGAATAAATACAATCTAAATATGCTTGTATTGTTTTAATTTTGCATAATTTTCATTATATCCACGTCTACTTAAAAATTTAGGACGAGATAAATTTAAACAAAAAAACTACTGTGTGTTTGTTTGGGGGATTGGATTTTGAGTTGGGATTTGAATAGTAAAAATTTTGAATTTGAATAGTTGTATGATGTGATGTAAATAGGTGTTGATGTGATGTTTTGAATGTAAAATTTATTTTTAGTATAATATAAAAAATGAAAAATAGGTGTTTGATTTGATGTTTTTGGGGGAAAAAAATGGGATGAATAGGAATATTTTGTAAAAATCTTACAACCGAACACACCAGTATTATTGTACGGAGTAATATTTTTTGAAAAAAGAAAAAAAAAAAAGGTTAATGATTTTTAGTTTTTACGCTGCCAAAGTTGAGCTGATTTGGTTAACGTCAAAACAGCAGTAGCCACTCACAGCGCTGGAAGATGATCGGAGCCGTTCGCCGTCAAATTTGGCCACTTCTTGCTGTTGCACTGCTATTACTCTTATCGCCGGCGGTTCTGAGCGTCGAAGACGACGATGCTTCATCAATTATATCTAGGTTTCAGAAGTTCCTCACAATCAACACCGCGCATCCCAACCCCCGCTACTATGAAGCCGTGGATTTCATCGCTGAACAAGCTAAATCGCTGTCGTTAGACACGCAGGTTCTTGAATTCGTCGAGGGAAAGCCGTTGGTGCTCCTCAAATGGACCGGTGAGAACCCAGCCCTCCCATCCATTCTCCTCAATTCCCACACCGACGTTGTACCGGCTGAGCACGCGAAGTGGAATCATCCTCCTTTTGAGGCTCACATCGACAGCTCCTCCGGTCATATTTACGCCCGTGGCTCTCAGGACATGAAGTGCGTCGGCCTTCAGTATCTGGAAGCCATTCGGAAGCTCCAGGCTTCTGGATTCCGTCCCCTGCGCACGGTCTACCTCTCGTTTGTTCCGGATGAGGAAATCGGCGGACACGATGGGGCCGAGACGTTCGCCAATTCCGATATTTTCAAGAGCATGAATGTAGGGATTTTGCTGGACGAGGGGCTTGCCTCACCTAATGAGAATTACCGGTTGTTCTATGCGGAAAGGTCACCACAGTGGCTGGTGATTAAGGCTACAGGGGCACCTGGTCATGGAGCTAAGCTTTATGATAACACTGCTATGGAGAATTTAGTCAAGAGTGTAGAGAGCATCATGCGGTTCAGGGCAGCTCAGTTTGATTTGGTGAAGTCTGGACAAAAGGCCGAAGGAGAGGTTATTTCAGCAAACTTGGTCTTTTTGAAAGCTGGCACACCATCTCCTACGGTTAGCTCAATACCATTCTACTACTGGGCAATTTGATTTGATGTTGCACTGTTAAGTTTTTAAATTTGATTAGAAACTGTAGTATCAAGTTTGATGAAGAACTCATAATTATGGTGGTGTATATCTCCCTTGCACGTGAGGGACGTGTTAGTTGACTTTCGTAAAATATAAATTAGAAGGTGATGTGTATCCATTCAAGTTGTTTAAGCTGGTCATTAAACATGATCTAACAATTTTCAATATTTGTCAATCTTCTCCTTGAGCTTTTAAATCGAGGAGTGCTTTCACATCTAGTTTGCACTTGAATTCTGTTGATGCTCTGCTGGCTTTGATACAAAATCCATTCATCCATCCGTCTTTGAGCATGCTGTAAAGTTATTTTATTTTATTTTTCTTTTATTTTGTTTTATACGATTTTTTTTTTAGTAAATTAAAATAATCACATGCTAATACTTCAAACTGGACTGCAGGGTTTTGTCATGAATTTGCAGCCATCTGAAGCTGAAGCAGGTTTTGATATCAGAGTGCCACCAACTGCAGATATAGCTTCTTTGGAGAGGCGAATTGCGGAGGAATGGGCTCCTTCTAGTCGAAATATGACCTTTGTGGTAAGAAAATATATGTTGCCCCTCTTCAAGTCACATATTTTCATAGTTTCGTCATTCAAAATATTGGCTCTAGCCTCTAGGAACAAATCCAATACAGTTTTAGAATGTTGAGATTACATGTGGCTCTTTTCTATATGAATTTAAGTTTGAATCTCAAAGATAAACAAGGCTGATGCCTTCAATGTTTAAAAATACATGATGAAATTTTACTGAATTTGAATTTCCTATAACATACTGGTTCATGGCATGAGATATATACACATCTTGACCTAAAACTGATATATCAAATAAGATGATAATATATTGGAGTTTTATGTAACTAGAAATTTCTTTATGGAAGCTGTTGGTACTGATTTTTAACTCAAGTGGCTTGGTTGTTGGTTGGTTTATCGTCTCTGTAAAATATATGTTTTCAAGCCATCAACTCAGATCCTTTCTGCTTAGATGATTGACTTCATTCTGATAAATTTTATTGTTGGGACAGTTTAAGCAGAAGAAAGATGTATATGACAAATTTGGGAATCGTGCTATTACTGCTATAGATAGTTCAAATCCTTGGTGGGCATTGTTAGAAGAGGCAATAAAAAAAGCTGGTGGGAAAGTTGGAAAGCCGGAGATCTTTCCTGCATCAACCGATGCCCGGTATTTTAGAGATCTTGGCTTGCCAGCTATTGGCTTTTCCCCTATGGCAAACACTCCTATTCTACTTCATGACCACAACGAGGTGAACAATTTTCTTCCATCTTTGTGTGGCTTCACTGTGTTTGCTTATTAAAATGTGTGGACAGTTCCTTCATTTACGAGAAACATACGACAACGATTTGCATGAAACATATGTTGATCTGTTCATTTAATCAGTACTTGATGATAATTTGCAAGTACGACTTTGATTGCATTGTTAAGAAAGGGATATGTGCAGTATGATGTTGATTGCGTAACTAAAGAACGCTATGTGCAGTACAACCTTGATTGCACAATTATGGAAGGGCTATGCATTTCATATCAGCTTTTTTGCAGTTCCTGAACAAGGATGAATATTTGCGTGGAATTGCCATTTACGAGTCAATATTGAAAGAGTATGCATCTTATGTTGGTTCGGCAATGAAAGAAGATCTTAGAGATGAATTGTAAGTATGCAGCTTGCCTTCCTTACTTTCCTTTGGATGAGTACTGGTGCTTTGCATTTTAATCTGCTAAACCTCCACCTTGTTTAGTTTGGAAGAACTGATTTTCTGTCATACTGAGAACAGTTTAGAATGGTTATCATGGACATTATGCATATGTGAAATTTGTTATGGGTTTTAAAGTAGTCAAATAGTTTTTTAACCAAGGTGTACAATAGTTATTTTACTTATTATTCAAATGCATATTTCATTGTGATGAGTACGTGCCCAAGTAACTATCTAGCTTTTGATGATTTTATCTGATTTTATCTGTCACATAGTGCCTTAAGTTTTAGTCTACGGAATTTTCCAGTGAGTATAAATTTATCACTGCATTATTCTGTGTCCTTTAAAAAAAAAAAAAAAAAAAAAAAGAAATTAGCATGTTCTGAATGATTTATGAAAGTCATAGATGTTTATCAAAATTAAAGAATTGTTTTGCAATCTTGTATGCACAGTAAGCTGCTAATGTTTTGCTCTTTGAGGATGCACATCTGATTTTATACCTATTAGCACATTTTGCCTATAAATCCAACTTGTGAAATAATTTCGGCAGATAAATGGTAATTATTATTATGCTCATGCAGATAATCTTGCATGATTATTAACTTACCCCTGTTGTCAAGGAAAAGTTGTATATTGTCTTATGTTGAGGTGCAATCTGCTATTACATACAAAAGGTATAAACACATTACCCAATCTATACAAGTTAAAGATCAAGGAGAATCCTTGTTTTAGGAATGGAAAAACATACAAATAATAGACTATGAGCATGTTTATTGATTTTTTGTTTTTGTTCTCATCTCTGTATTATGTAATCAACAATAAATAAATAAATAAACAATAAATAGCTTTTCCTGCAAACAAACAAAAAAAAAAAAAAAAAAATCACATCAAAATCCTACTGTCCATGCAAAAAAAATTTAATCCAAAACACACCCTAGATCTTTAGTCACTTTATGCTATTACCCGGCAATAGTCATATGTGCTTCTCTGGTGATTATCTTACAATGCCACTAAATGTGATGTTACCTGGACAGTTGCCACAACTCAAGGATGCATACTTAATACCCCACTAATATGATGTGATTATCTTGGCTACTTTGAGTTGCCAATGACACTTATGGGTGTACAAAGCAGACTGATTTAGACTATGCTGTCCACCGAATCGGTGTATATACAAATTATAGTTGATAACCTATACCGATACTGTGCATGAAACTCAATATTCTGCATCCATTAACTTCCTGCATGATTTTATTGCTTACACTTTGTACATATGTTCTTTTTACCTATGTAACAATACCTTATGCATCATGACCATGTATCCTAGGTAATGGTGAGCAAAGCCCATGGGGAGGGTGGGTTCATCGCAGTGATTTGAGGATCAGATGGTTGGGAGAATGTGTAGTGACAAGCTATGGAGGTTTTGAGACCACAGCCATTTTCATGGGACTCTATTCACATTGTCTTCCATAACATGACCATCTTTTGTGAACTTGACTTGGTTTACCTTTGATTGTCTCACTTTGCTATTTTATATCATTGTTGACTGCTATTTTATAACAAAACATCTTGCTTGTTAGCCTTCGGTGATCCACAAAGGATTTTCTTGAAACTGCAATAGTAGTGAAGGGATTCAATCTTTTTGGCTTAGTTCTATTTGACCAGCTTACATGCAATTTTGATATATTATGTAATCCATGCAAGGTGTAAATCATTTATTAACTAATAGATTTAAACTTCAATATTAGGGGTTCATGCAATCAAAAGAATGTTACTGAATAACACTTGACAGCTTTGGGACTAATACAATCAACACTAATCACCCTATTATGACTTTCTTGAGGAAAAATAAATAAGTTATGAATACAATATTAAATATATAGAGAAATTGATTGTAGAATAATTATATGAATTTAAATCCTCAGCATCTGGGGAAGTCTGAAGGTGGAGGAGATATGCTAGCATTTATTCCCTTTCCATTTCTGGTAATGAACACCATCTCCATCCCCCAACTTATATGTCTTTCAAAATGACAGTGCATCAGCCACACCCCTGTTTTGTACACACTAATGTTAAATAAATCAATAAATAAATATAATCATGAATTAATTAATTAATTAATTCGTTACCTGGATTGTTTGCCCTGAACCTTATGGCAGTCCAGCCGCTCCTGGGAACTGCAATGGTGTTCATCAATGGCGGATCCACAAGATTGTAACTCAAAGGATCCCTGCTCTTGTTGAAGTTCCCGAACCCTGAGCCGACCACGTAGAAGCTGTGGCCGTGCAGGTGCATCGGGTGGTCGATTCCGGCCACCGTGTTGGTCCCCTGGAACACAATCTCCACCGTGGAGTTGTACTTAAGGACCTTCACCTCCGTCCCGTTCTGCGGCGTCCACAAATCCCTGGGGACGAAGTCTGCAGTGTAGTTGTACCTCAGCGGCGGCCGGCGGGGGAAATCGTCGCCGTAGACGCCGGCGATCCGCTCGTAGTAGGCCTGGAGGATCGACGTCCGGGGCTGCTGGAACGTGATGTTGTTCACGCTGGCGAGGAGCCTCTCCCCGAAGGGGCCCTGGCAGGAGTTGTTGAAGCAGGGGCGGGCATTAATGGAGAGCACGAAGAACAGGGAGGTTGTGACGGTTTTGGGGACGGCGATGGGGTGGGTAGGGGTGGGGAGGCTGCGGAGCTGGGCGGTGAAATTGGCGGAGGCGCGGGTGTCGTTGAAATTGGGGAGGGTGGGGAGGGAGGGGGGGGGGCGGGGGGAGTGTAATTTCCGGCGTACTGGACGACGGCGGTGGTGGTGGTGTTGTCGAAGGTTCCGGCGGCGGAGTAGGCTCTGGCGGCAAGGTAGTAGTGGGAGGGAGGCTGGTCGGCGACGAGGAGACAGTCTATGGTCTGGCCGGGGGAGATGGCGAGGTAGTCGGAGGTTAGGGGTTTGGTGTACGCGCCGTCGGAGCCGACGACGGTGAGGTTGTGGCCGGCGATGCGGACGAACATGATGGTGTTCATAACGGCGTTTACCATTCGGAGGAGGTATCTCTTGCCGCCGTCCACCGTTAGACGGAAAGTATCTGTGGACACGTGGAGTCGTTAGATTGGTTCCCCAATCCTCACTGTAAATAATAAATTAAATAAATGTGACACTGACACTGACAGTTGACACGTTCCTTTTTTCTTTTTCAATTTTTCTCAATACTTCCATCCATGCATTTTTTTCAACAATTATACAGTAGATATTTTTTTCAATGTTGTGTTTGTTTTTTTGTTCAATAAAGGTTAATCGATTAATTAAGAAAATATCGACGTACCTTGTGCGGAGCATGGATAGAGGTCACCAGGCTGTCCGTTAATGGTGAATGCATCGGAGACGTTAGGATCTCCTCCAGACCGGAGGAATTCCGACAGAACTTGCTGCACATCGCTTCTCCACCACTCCCCCAACACAATCGGTATTTCAGCGTCGGGCAAAGGAAATGGATAATTGTTTCTAATTCTAGGGTAAACAATTAGGGCACCATGGACGGTGGCTCTGGACCAGTCGCTGTGGGCGTGCCACCAGAGCGTTCCGATCTCGTCGGACAGCACGATCTGCTGTCTGAACATGCTCCCCGGCGGTATCGGACACTGCGTTATGTACTCCGGTCCGTCCGACCATGGATACCTCAGCTGCTTCACTCCATGCCTGCCCGCACATCAATCAATCAATTAATTAATCAATTAATTAATTGGATAATAATTGCCTACCAGTGAATGGTTATGTTTTCGGAAGCTTGGTTGACGACGACGATGGCGAGGGTGTCTCCTTCAGTGACACGGATTGTTGGACCTGGAAACTGTCCGTTTACTGTAAGGATGCTCTTGTTGCTGCATAGCCTGCTGTATGGCGTATCATCCACCTAATATATATATATATATATATATATAATTATTGTAAGTTGATTAATGAATTATTACAGAGGAATTTTTGTGTTAGGTGTTCTTACCAGAAATCGGTAGTGATGAGTGGTGGCGTGGGTAAGAATGATTGCGAATTGAGCAGCAGCCAACAACCAGATTGCTAAAATCGATCCTCCTGAGCCTGATCTGATCTTCATAATTCTGCTCTCAATACATATATCGCTTTTGATCCGTTATTGAATTCACGAACAATCAAAATACAATAACAACACTGATTTTGACCATATGTGTGTATGTAAGAATTTGCAGCAGAATTTGGTTTATCTTCTTCAATAAGGGTGTCCAATTTTGACACACAAACACACGCATATTTATATATATATATATATGTGGATAGAGAGAGATGATTGGGTGGGTAACGAGAGGGAAATCAAATGAAGCAAATTAAGAAATTTGTTAATACGATACGGTCGTCGTGGAACGATTAATATTCATTATTATTACATCACACGTCTCTTCCACGAGGTATATCTATCTATATATATATATTCCCACTCGGAAACAACAACCTTAATTAAGCTTCGGGCTAATTAGGAATTTATCACCACCGTATTGATCATAAAATATATATTGTATAAGAGTATCTGTTATAATTATTATTTTTATTTTATTTATATCATATTTATCACAATTTTTACATTATTTTATTTATCTTCCGTTATACTAAATCACCTTCAATATATTATATTTAAATAAAATACTATTTACAACATTTTATTTATTTATATATTTTTATCGTGTAATAATATATATTTTTTATTTATTTATACATAATTTAATATATTTTTACTGTTCAATAATATTTTTATATAATATTATGTTTTAATTTTTACATATTAATCAATATAAATTTTAATAATTTGAAACATATATAATTTATTATTTTAAAATTGAATTTGAAAGCTAGAGAACAAAAAATAAATTTAAAATATGATAGATAAAACGTGATAATTATTTAATGAATTTTAAATATTTTTATAAATATTTTTTTGAATTTAAAAATTTTTAGATAATATTTAATTATTTTTATTATTTTTGTTAAAAGTAACGTGCTCTTAAGAAAAATAATAAATTTATATAACTGTATTTGTTGTTAAAGGTAATGAATATTGTTATTATAAAAACTGGACAGGTAATCACAAAGATAATAAATAAAGTGACTGTAACGGATGTTCTAAAATATTATTCCTTCCGTACAGCTAGAAAATATACATATTTCTATTTTGGGACGTCCAATTACAAAGTAAATATTTCATTAAATACCTCACTTTTTTTCTACAAATACCATTATTTTACATCACTTCGTTACTTTTACACTAAAAAAAATAAGAGTAAAAATGTCATTTTACTACTTTTAACTATCCGCTGCGCCAAAAGTAAATGTTTACTTTGGGTGTGTTCGTTTGAGAGATTTGGACAAAATCTCACTATTCATCCAAAATTTTTCCTCCAAAAACATCAAATCAAATACCTATTTTTTATTTTTTATATTATACTAAAAATCAATTTTACATTCAAAACATCACATCATCACCTATTTATATCACATCATACAACTATTCAAATTTAAAATTTTTACTATTCAAATATCATCTCAAAATCCAAACCCCCAAACAAACACACCCTTTGTGTGTGTGGACGGAGGGAGTAATATATACAAGCAATTTTATTTATATGTTTACTGTATATTTATATTTTAATGTGATGTCTAATATATATTTATATTTAATCACAGTGTGGCCGCCGCTTAATTAATTATTAATTAGCGATATCAACATGATATTGATTAATTAATTCCTAATGGTGGGTTGTAACAAGCTAAGCTAAGTATTAATTATTTAGGTTATGGTGTCCTAAACTGTACGTTTGAAGTTGGTGGACAAATTTGTTTGTTATTGCTGTTGTTTCCTTATCAGTAGCAGTAACTTTATTTTGTTTATAATTAATGTACATTAATAAAGAAAATACATAAATTTAATTAATATAATATGTGTTGAAAGAATATATATTTATATTCAAATTAATTATGCGTAGCATATATATATATATATTGTCTGAAAATATGTTATATATAGGAGGGTCGTTTGGGTTGACTTAAAAAATAAACAGAAGTCAAAAGCAGAAGAAGAAGTCCAAAAGTCGAAGCAGTTCGATTTTGTATTTGGATAAATCATTATAAAAACAGTTTTTCGTAAAAAACTGTTTTTGGACGTTATAGAGTTAAAAGTGTTTTAAACTGGTAAAATTACTTAAAAGGACATGTTGTTAATATAATAATATTTTTTTATAATATTTTTATAATTTAATTTAAATTTTATAAATTATAATCAAAGATTTTAAATTAAATTATAAAAAATGTACTTTTAAATTTTGATTATTTATATTTTAAAATTTTAATTTAAGGATAATATATCAATTAAATATAAAATTATAATATAATATTAAATAATTTGTATTTTATAATTCATTTTAAAATTTTATAAATTATATTTAGTAATTTAAGTATAATTAAAAAAATTTATATAATCCTATTTAAATTCGGTATTTAAATTTTAATCAAAATATAATACATAAATTAACAATAACAAATTAATTATATTTTCTAATTTTTATGAAAATATAATATATAAGTTATTTATTTTTATATTATACTCCCTCTGTCCACGGATAAAATATACATTTACTTTTGGCGCG